TGGAGGATTTGAACTTGGATCTTCTATATCATTGAAGAAAAGAAATACAACTTCCGCGAAAAATTAGTTGGTTAATAAAATATCACCATATGTATAAAGAAAAATGAGGAAAGGAAACATCAAGCTTTTGGTATTGCTAGAAAATTGGTATACACATACTAATATGTACTCAGTTGGTGCTTGTTTTGAGAACAACTTTAGATGGATCTTAGACTTAGTAATGAAAATATTTAATCCTTCTTATCATATAGCATCATCTAAAATGTGAGTGCGTACGACTTCTTTTTTTTAACTTTACAAAGCCACCTAAAGTTCCCTAGCACGAACATTTAGCTTTTGATAAGCATAATGAAATTAGAAGATTTTCGACGTCTGTTTGCCAATCACATTCTCCATTGTCATACAGAAACAGAACTAAGGAATGTCAAAGATGCTACCAGATATGAGGTATATGAAAATGGGGCTTTCTGATATTGCTTTATGCATTGAACTTTTTCCTTTTGAACCCAATAAGATTGCACAAGCATGTTTAAGCTCTGAGCTTAAATCCCAAATACATCAGAATTAATACTCTTTGATAAAGAAACAAATAAAATTTGACCAAAAAGTTAGGGCCACTACAAATGCGGTGGCTCACATTGCAAAACATAAAAGAGAACCTCGGAAAGTTAAATGGTAGAAAATCGGCCCTTGATTTTCCTGGAAAGGAAAAGTGCAAAATAATATAAACGCGATTGAGAAAAATAATCACACAACTACAAAAGAATTTGTAGAGGGTCATTCAATACTAGTGTTCCTAGATTGTATAGGAATATTCAATATAGAAGAAAGATGAAAAACAAGTGCACGCAGTCGAGTGTTTTCCTCACACTGTTTAAAGATCACTTTGATATAGCTCCCTAAAAGTCCTATATATGTATATTGTATACGACTTAGGGTTACATTGGGTAGCAATTAGGGTTAAAATATGACACAAAACATGTTGGAATTAAAACATGAAACGAGGTCCATCCTCGTAGGCTCAATTTGCTACTTTAGCCGGCATATATTCCCGATTTTTCTTTTAGTATATCACTTGAAGTAGTCGATATATAGGTGGGCACAGTTTGGTTTGGCTTTAGTTCGAGCCTGATTATCCCTAAACCCAATGTGAATTTTCTATTCTACTTGCTTCCTCGCCATAATCGAATCTCACCTCCACCCTTCTAACAACCGACTAAATTGATGTTACCTTGTCCGTGCGGCCCTCCTCACGTACAAGAGAGCATCCTAAGTTCTATTTTCTTTATTTATTTAACAACATATAGATGATACTCGTTTTGGGTTGTAGAAATGATCCTTGAATTAAGACTAAAGGATAAACAGTTTGGATCTAAAGGCGGCCTTGAGGGGGTTAAAACGGAGCCACTATAAATCCAATTTTTTAGGGGCCCCAAATTTTTTGCCCATGCATATATCATATAAGTATGTTAAACGTAAATTTCCTTATTAAGTTAGAGCTTATCTTGGTCGGTTGATCGTGTTTTACATCCCACACTATATATCTCATGAGATGACTAAATTAGTTAAAAGCCGTAAATTTTTTTGAGTAAAAATATGAATTTAATGCTAGAATGAATTGTTGTTTGGGGCTTCCTGACTAGAATGTCCCCTCTTTCTGTATTCTTCTATGGCGACCAAAATAAAAATGGAGAAGCAGAAGCTATTATTCTAGTTTTTGGTCCTAATGAAATTCCATATTATATTTTTAGTCAATAATATTATATGTGTTCTCTTAGTTGTTTGGTAGTTCCAATCTAATCCCAAATTAGAATTCGGATAATTGTAATATTGTTTTTTTAGGACCTTCTTATTGAGAAGGGCAATAGTAAATACTAAATTTACACACGCTACACATATGATAGGACTCGAATCCAGAACCTTTCCAAATGAGCAATTGCTCCAACCTACTATACTAATGGGTCCTTTGCAGATAATGACTAATGTTAAACTATGTACAAAAGGCACACAAATCTGGTTGTTGGGGGACAGTTTAACATAATTTGGAACAATTATATTCTCTTAATAAAAAAAGTTTCAAGAGAATAGGTTGGACATTTAAAAAAACATATAAATAATAATAATTAATGGAAGGAGGGAATATAGCCTGGGCTGGGTGGAACAGCAGGAACTAGGAAGCTTCAAAAATCTTCAAAATGGAAACATTAATGTTGAGTTTTTTTTTCTTTTGGTGTTGCTTCTTGTATAATCTAAAACAGCTTTGGTCCAGCTATGTCCGCAGCCAAACGCGTTTGTGGTTATGTTCATGAAGGCTGCTAACAGCTTTCTCTTTTTCTTTTCAAATTTTATTTACTCAAAGCATATCTCTCTCGTTTTTCATTTAAAGAAAGAAAGCAGATGTAATGTCTTAGTTTTTGCTTTTTCATATGGTCATCTGAGTTTTTTAATGGAAGGGGTCAATCTGAAAATTTTAAAACAATTACTAAGGAGGGACAAATATTTAATTTTATTAACCCAAACAAATTTTTTGTATTTACTTATGAAATAATTAGGTTCAAATAAAACTATGTAAATTTAGCACACATGTCAAACAATAAGCGGCACATAAAGAGGAAGGACTTATTCGATGAAGGAGCCAAGCATAAAGAGGAACTACTATAGACCTCATGAATTTTTAAAAAGTAGAACAATATAGGTCATAGACATTTAGGGCTAGTTTGGCATGCTTTGCTGTAAAAATAATTGCTGTCAGATTTGCTATGAGATAAATCAGCTGTGAGATAAAACAATTTAGTGTTTAATAAACTTTTTGTTAAAAGTATTGTTGGTACTAATTCCCACATAATTAGAAAATGATTTCCACATAATCATTAAACTCAGCGCTTCTTCGAAATTGATTACTGCATAATCAAAAAATGAAAGCACTTCATTAGCTGCTTTCACTTATTACTTTCTCTCATAGCAATTTTTAACAATAAGTGATTTTCTCATAATTTACCAAACAGACTGAGCTTTCCAAATTTTTTAAAAAGCACTTATCACCCCAAATAAGCAATGTCAAACGGCCACTTAAAAGGTTGGATATGCACGGGAAAAATTTAAAAAGGTAGGTACTAATTTGAAATGATTTTCAAAAGTTAGGTACTTTTATATGGTTAACCCTTAAAAATTCAAGTGTTTTTTTCAAAAAACATTAGAAGTGATTCTTACAGAATCACCTATAATGTGATTTTTCAGAGAAAGAACTTTGTGATCCAGAATCACTTATAAGTGTTTCTATCAAACGCTATTAAAAGTGTTTTTCGTTATCAAAACATGCTTTTAGTTTTTTCAAAAAGAATATCAAAGACGTGATAAAAATGATTAGTACCGTCCGGTATTATTGTTTTTGGAATGATATTGGCCCCAAATAAATCGTGGCATAGCAACATTCTGTCTTTGCTACGCTCCTCTTTGACCAAATGATGAACACGAAACAGCTCACAAGCAAAACCCAAAGCAAACGACTAAACGAATATTTGAGCAAAAAAAACGACTAAGGGAATAATATAGGCAGCCAGCTCCTATTGGCCTACCCACACCATCTCCACCGTTTGATTCTTCCCACGTGTCTTCACAGAAGCCCTTGATTCGTGTTCGGTGTTTGTTCACTTGGAACATGGAAGCTGCTTTCAAACACTTTCATACCAATTAACAATTTAATATTGTGTTATATGCTTTGAACGAACATAATCATCGAGCCCTATCGCTTTTCAGCAAGTCCCTTTCCTTGAAACATTGCTTTCAAACGTTTACCTAGTATATAACTTAAATTATTTTGCATAAAAGTCCCTATATCTTGATATATTTAACTCATCCTGTATAAAGCCTAAACTTAGATACGTAGATTCATTCACAAAATTAGTAAACGTTTTCTTTATTTCCCTTAAAAATTAAAGAATTGAACTTAGGTCATATGTTTAGTGGTTCGGACTGGACTAGACTATTTCAATTAAATTGGATTAGTGTATTGGTCGTTATTTGATGAATTTATAATTGTTGGGATTAGACTTATTAAATTGGATAACAGTTTAACATATTGTGTCTTATAAGTCTCATCTATAAAAATGAAACTCATAAGAATTGATTTCGACTCAACTCAAAACCAGTCCAAGTCGAGCCACCAAACAAATTTGAGGTTTACAACTTTGTTGTGTTGTAGCATGTGTATAGAATCTGAGCTTTACAACTTAATTATGAACGGTAAGATTTTCTCAACTTTTTTATGTATATACCAGACAATGTAGGGGCATCAATGCAAATTTGAAGTAGTCTGTGTCTTGTATCATTTCTTCCACACCAAGGATGATGGTTTCCCTATTAAGAAATGAGAAGGTGAAGAACCCATATATAATAATTTTAAAATTCAATGAAACCTCCAGAACAACAAATATCTGGGTCCTTAAAGTTGTTGTTTCTGCTGTTTGGAGGGGTCCACTACCTTTTCTCTGTTTGAATCTGCTGAAAAGAACAAAAAAGAGTCTATATAAGAAGTAGGCCTGTGTAAAAGAAATATGTCATTGGAAGGAAGGAAGTAAAAGAAAGCAGAGCGAGCAGCCTTAGAAGCCTTTCTCTTTGAGAGTTGTAAGGCAAGGAAAGAATCCTTGCAGTTTCTTTAGGGACAGCTAACTTTCCAATGTTCTCTATATAAATTTTGTTCATCAAGTAATTGCTAAAAGGCATCTAGCTCTCTGTTTTTTTTCTCTCTTGCTCATTTCATCACCTGTCATCTCTGTTTTCTCATTAGTCTCCTCTCCTTTACAACTTTTTTCCTAGCTGAGCTTGTGTTAAGCATACGCAGCTTCTCTTAGACTCATTTTGCTTGAGTAAAAAAAATAAAATCCTTGAGACCTGAAAATGGGAGTTGGAGGAACTTTGGAGTATTTGTCTGATTTAGTGAACAACAGTGGCCATAAACACAAAAGAAGAAGCAATTACAGACTGTGGAGCTCAAAGTCAGAATGGACTGTGATGGCTGTGAGCTTAAGGTCAAGAAGGCCCTCTCTTCTTTAAGTGGTATGTTGTTGTTAATATTGTATCATTTTTTCTTCTTTGAAAGTTGAAAATTTTGAGCTGAAAATGTTGGGTTTTTGTTGTTTTGCAGGAGTTAAGTCTGTGGAGATTAACAGGAAGCAACAGAAGGTGAGTGTGACAGGTTATGTTGAAGCAAACAAAGTGCTGAAGAAGGCAAAGTCAACAGGGAAGAGGGCAGAGATATGGCCTTATGTACCCTACAACTTAGTGGCACAGCCCTACATTGCCCAAGCTTATGACAAGAAGGCACCTCCTGGTTATGTCAGAAATGTGGAGAACATGAACATGACCTCCTCCACTGGCACTGTCACAAGATATGAGGACCCTTACACCACCATGTTCAGTGATGACAACCCCAATGCCTGCTCTATCATGTAATAACATCATGGCATCTTCTCATTAGTCTCCTCTCTCTCTCTCTCTCTCTCTCTCTCTCTCTCTAGCTTTTCAAGCCCCTGTAATATTTTCAATCTAGGACCCTTTTTGTCTTCTTCATTTTCTTAGTTTTGTTTCTTATATTATTGTATTTTTGTTTTGGGTTCCCTTTTTTTAATGAGAAATATGAGGAATTAAGGATTTTGATCATGCTTGTTTTCTTGCCCTCCGACGGTCCATATCATTAAACTTATGTGGTTTCCAATCAGTGGTTGGAGTTAAAGTTAGAGGAAATAATCCAAAACCATTAACCAAAATCATCGATTGGTAATAAGTGAGGAGGTTTAAGATTTTATATGCACAGAAGAATGCGATATTGGGTGAAGTGGAACAATGAACTTGAAATAGAATAGACGAGACAATTCTATATCACGCTTTTTATATTAACAACACTTTTAAACCCAAAAAATACAAATAAAAAAGAAAAGAAGCAGTCGAATAGCTTTTTGGGTATTTGTTGAAACTAGTTGAGTTGTTATGAGGTACCTATCATACATAGCTTTATTTTTATGTTTACTTCTCGTGCCTCTGGGATGGCTTTGGTTTGTTCACAGCTGTATCTCTTCATCCCAAACGAGTTGGTGCTAGCTGGCTGTCTCTTCTATTTTAAGTTAAGGGGCCTTAGGGGTTGCTGTTGCGGCTCCATAAGCAAAACAACCATACATGGCAAACAAAGTGGAAGTGGACCTAGATTTCAACTTTGTAGGTCTTTGATGATTATACAAATAACAAATTACATATACAATGTGTGACATTGAAGATCCCCCAAGATTTTAAGTGACTAATATGAAATCGTATAATGTTGTTGCAAGGGTTTGTAGCTTTAGTGATAGCGTGCGTTTATGCCCACACTCATGACTAAAGTTCGAATCTCTACCTTCCGGGAGGTTGTGTACGAAAATAACATGTCTAGGGCGTCTAGTATTCAAAATAATTGGCACCAACGTTAACATTATTCAAATCCATTTGGTTCCAGAAAGAGCTAAAGGAAATTGCTAAGGAAAGCAGATCCGTCTTTTTGGTTACTCAACCAAACATGAAGAACTAAGGAATCAACTTTCTTCCTTTCTTTCCCTTTTAACCTTTTCTCTTTTCTTTCTGTATCCTTTCTCTGATCCAGAGGAAGCGTAAAGACGTTTTCATATGCATACCTAGAGCTCAAAAAACAATATCTTTGATAAAGCAATGTTAAGCAATCAAACCCCACCTCTTAAATTTGTTTAAAACCATATTCACTTCACTCCAAATCCTAAAAATCAAAATTACAAGCATCTAAGGTCTAATCACAAAATTTATGTTTTCTTGTGAAGTACATATGCCATTTGACAGAATTTTGTACATAACTTCAATCACGGTGCACTGTTTACCCTGTCATTTATCATGTTGTCAACTTGCCACACATTACATAATGACTAATCATAGTTAGCATATGTGATTGCATCATTAGGAAAATGTTAATCTTAATAAGTTAATACGCGCAACATAATATACGTGATCACAAATGACCTGGTGACAATGATGCACTGCAGTTGAAGGTGGTGAGCAAAATGTAGGATAAAGGTAAAAAGCAAGCCCCCATAGTGTAAAGTATAGAAGGTTAAAGTGGAAAGAAATGAAAACTACTGGACCACAACAACATATTCCCAAAGATAATTACTAATTTATCAGGTCACTTCCTTTGATAAGATAAGTACCTACAACACTAGTATCCTCCATTTGTGGCATTGATGTGAGGGGAGGAGCCAAAGCCAAACTTGAAGTGGTGTTGGCCTTGTTCTTCTTTTTATTTTTATTTATTTATTTATTTATTTATTTTATTATTATTATTATATAGAAATGATATTGGGAGATGGGGGATTTGGACACAAGACTCAGTGAGATAACTGCTCTTAATCACTTAAACTACAAATCCCTTGCGTGTTAACCTCCATTTACAATGATAAAGTCATTTGTGATTAAGTTTTAAAGGTCCATACAAATCTAAAAATCCTAACTCCGCCCGTGGAAATATTGCAGATGGCAAACCATCAAACATATTGATGTACGCTATATGTACAGAAAAGGAAAAAAGATATACCAAGCTCCATGACAGGCCAGATGAGCGTACTAACCAACCGACAGGAACTTTGGTCGTTTTAATAAAGGTGACCAGACCAGTGTCAGCAATAAGAGAGCAGCTAGGCAGTGAGGTCCTCTAAATTTTCAGAACTAAGCCCATTTTGGGCAAATGTAGATATTCCAGAGAAAAGCCATGGTCTCAGCAGCAACATATCTAACATAAAGCAATCTGAAAGATTTGGTTAAGGATCTTTTATTTCATCATGCTCTTCTCTTCCCATAGGCATGCATTTTGAGACACCTTTTGCTGGTTTTCACAGTAAGATAAAATTGGAGTATTATGTCGTATGCCAAATATGTAAGCAACCATCCTAATCCCATCAGCATTACGGGTGCCACTGAAGAGTTAAAGCCAAAGCATCAGCTCTAAAACCAAATCTGGGAATTGTGCTTTTTTTTAAAAAAAAATGGAAAACTTTCATATGACCTATAGAGAAATGAACTCTCTGCTGCAACCCAGTGTTTTTGATTGAGCTTGACACTGATCACTTTATGAGGTGAAACTGCTAACTGAGCCTACTTTTATAGGTATTAGCATTCAAATCAGGGACAAGTAGTTTTTTTCAAAGTGTTTAAATTACATAAGATAAGTATGTTCATTAATAGTAATTTTCATGCGTTCCATAGAGGTAATGCCATATACATAAAAAAATGTAAGGTAGAATGTAGAATGAAATAGGCGGGAGCTATACCGACTTTATTCAGGGATAGATCTCCGGTTAGCAAGCCAAGCGTACAAAAAGAAGGTGCTCTCATATATGCATGCTTGAGGAGTCCTGTCTCAACTTCTATTTAACAGTGGAAGCCTTGAGTTTCAGGAAAGTCAGGAGATGCACTTGATCTGGGTTCCCTATCTATTTGCTGGCAATGGCCTATTTCCCGAGTAGATACCTACGAAATTAATATCGTAGACAAGAGTAGCATTGCCGGGTATATTGCAGTCACCTATAAGAAAAAAATTATATATTATATCAGTTTCTGAATAGTTGTCAAAATGATTCACTGAGTATGCTTTCATTTCTCCTCATGCTCTAGGAATAAATTAGAAACCGTCACATTTAAGTGTAGCACTATGATACCATAAAATACCGAAAATTATGAAAGCAAATATCGACAATGTTGTTATTTAACTGTCCTGAGAAGTTAACTCATAGTATATAGCTAGTATTTCCAAACATATACAGATAATGAGGATGATAGTGACTTAACCACATATTTTATGGCCTTAGTATAGGCTAGGCATTTTAAGATGATAGAAAGTTACCAGTTTATGACTTTGGCCAAGGGCAAGAGTTAAAGATACCATAACCTAGGAAAACTAACAAGTCAAGTTATGGGTCCTCACCTGAGAAGCATCCTGCAGGTTCTGGTCCATATGCTAAATGTGAAGGAATGTGGAGCTTACGTTTTCCCCCTGTGCAACATTGTTGAGTAATGATTTGTTATCTTCTTTTTTCACAAATGGCAAAAACATAGAACACAATAACCAGTTCTGAAGTCCTACCTACTTGCATTGGAGGCACACCATCACCCCCATAAATTCCTTGATCCAATCCTCTAATGACCTGGACAACAAAGTATACATAAGATAAAGGTAAATGAGCACACATAAATGAGGCCATATGGAGAGGGATAAAACAAAGTGCAAAAGGGGAGATAAGCATTCGTTTATTGAGAAGTTGAATAAAACAAAGTCCAATTGTTCTGTACGACAAGTTGGACAACTGCATACAATACATACACCATGCCCAAATGCAGTTGCAATTTATCTAACAGCACACTCTCTTATGTTAAGGGAATAACATAAATTGCACCTAAGTAAGCGAAAGACAGAACAGCCGTAGAACAGAGAATCAGCAGTTCACAGAAAGCAAAGTGCACATGATATAGGCAGTTAAGATGTAATTTTAGTATGAAAATATAACAAGTGGATAACCATAAGATATCTAAAAAGAATTTTTTCTTATGATTATTCTGTAACTTTTGCGCTCATTAAGCAGTGTGATCCTAGATTTAAAAGCTTCATGCATGATTAACGTCAATTGGGAAATGAAGAGATACTATTTCATCTAATTGGCAATAAAGTAGAGCATTATCAATCATTTGAGACAATTTCATACCTTGCCAACACCAATACGCATAGTCAGAGGTCTGCCACGTTTGTAGCTGCTGTCAAAGACTGTCCCATCAGCAAATCTTGCAGTGTAGTGAACCTGCATTCGTTTTAGCAGGTTATTGTGTTATTACGTTGTGCTTGATAACAACTGAAGTTTAAGAGAAATGGAGGGTAACATCGTACACAGGTAAGGTTTTTAGAGTTTATTCATCTGAATCTTGGTATATCATTTCCGGTCATTTATTTTCTAAACATGTACTGCGCAGTTTTGTTTTGTTTCTGAAGTTCTACACATAAAGGAGAATGTTGGTGAGTATTTTAGGCTGAGGCTAATTACATTGTCAAGTTTCTCTTTTTAACAGTGTAAATTTTTGGGATCAAACAACTAATTAACAGGCCAAGAAGATGAAATCATAAAACTGATTTGAACAGACCAAACAGATGCTGCTTGTATATTTGGTGCAAGTGAGTCAAGAAATTCTCCCCTGGCAGGTGAGGATAAGTTTCACTAAATATAGGGGGACAATTGCTCTCTATGAAGGAATGAGCGTTTAGATGGACTTTTATGGTTTTCAGAAGCTTGTTGCAGAGAAGTCCTACAGGTTTCTGGACATTTGACGTCATGACAATATATTCAAGGCATACAAAAACTATTTTCTTGAGAAGATACAAAACCTAGGGAATGTATGTACGGTGAATGAACACGAATCAAGAAGGGGAAAATCATGAGTAAAGTAATGCTTGGAAAAAAGTTCAATACCAAGGTCTGAGAAATGTTCTGGATTCAATTTACTGAAACACAATCAACTTCACTTGTATCTCTCTTTCCCAATGTTTTGATCATATATGATATGAATTCATGTCTTTTATACTTGGGATTTTAGAGAGACAACAGCTTTAAAATTTTCTTCATAGTCAGTGTATTTGATATCCATTAAAACCTACCAAAACTTCAAATTCAGTAAAAATACAACAATGAAAAACCAAACCAAGATTAGTTTTCCATGTTCAAGTAAAACTGAAGCAATTAAGCACAATTAGAGGATAACCCAACAAACAAGTTTGTACTTTTATTTCAAAATATGTAGGAAAAACTCACATTAATGAGCTCACCACGAGGAGCGTCCACACCAGAACCCACTGAAACATCACAGAAGCCAAGCCCAGAACGAACAAAGTTCAATTCACACAAAGGCTCCCCCACAGTGGCGTAGTATTCAATTCTTGTGGCATTAGCTTCCAAAGGTGACAATGCCACAAGTGAAGCTGCTAAAAGCCCAAAACCCACATCCAAAACACTCTTCTTGGTCACAAATTTTGAAGCGCAAGACACCTTTGCATTGTTTTCAGCTGTGGACGGTGAAGAAGATGAACAAGAACAAGTGGGTTTGGAATTGCAGGAGGAGAAGGAGGTTGTAGGATGAAGGCTTTGAATATTGGGGAGGGGCTTTGGAGTTGTAAGGATTAGAGCAGAGACCTTCATTCTTCTTTTTGTTTTTTTTTTTTTGCCTTTTTTTTTTAAGTTTTGGCTATCTGGAGCTTTGAGTTGTATGTATGGCTTAGCAAAATGATGACTGCTAAAACGACTCTGGTGCTTTGGGTGGGAAAGAAGAGTGGATACGATGGGACCCATTTGGGGATGATCTGGGCCGGTAAACTGGGATAAGAGTCGATCTTGCCTTTTCTTTGAATCATAGTTGGGGAAACCCCAAAATTTGGGTTTTTTGGGCCGGCCCAAAATGTTATGAATTGAAAACCACAAGAAGATGAAACTTTATGCAAAGGTTGAGTTTTGATTAGTGAAGATGGTGTTATTGGCAACAATCAAAGAAATGGAACATTTTTGAATCATGTCTACCATAAGTTTTTAGAAAGTAGTCCCTGCCTTAGAGCCTTGAACACTTCAAGCCATTGCATATGGAGGACGGGAGATCCGAACTTATTACTTCTTTCAATATTGGAAAGAAAAATATCACTAAATTAATAGCTAGTCGATACTAAAATTAACTGAGATTATATACGTGGTTCTCCATAGAATGTATTAATATGATATTAAAGTAGATTGAACATTCACCAAAAGAAGGTAGAATTCAGAACTATATGAATTGTCTCTTTCAAGCAAGTAATGTAAGCTTAATGGGGTCTTACTTAAGTGTTTTTGTTCATTTTAGTTTAATTAAAAAGATTAAAATGTTAAGCAATGATTTTATAATTAGGTTGTTCTAATCAATTTTTGTGGGCGCGATCTCGTTCTTACATATCTATATTTCAATAGATACATTCCCTTGAGAGATTAATATTAATCTATTAGTTAATAGTTGGTTTATGTTTACATAATATCTGTGCATAGACTCTTTTAAGCAAGTAAGCTAAGTTCACTGCGATTTGTTGAGCTCATCATTTGATCTACATCACTAAAAATGAGTCAAAACTTTGACTCGGTTTAAATGTGAAGCCCCTTTAAAGACAATACCTGAAAGCCTGAAGCACATTCGTCCGTTAGTAAGTCACTCTCTTCATGCAAGTCACCTCACATTAAACTCATCTGTTTTGCTTTCCATTAAATCATAATCCTCTGCCATTACTACCCTCAGATTGGTTTTCAACTTATTTTGCATGCCAAAAGTACAAGAAGAAAGCAAAATATCACTCCCTTTCTTCCTCCAAATTCTCATCCATTCTTACCTCTAGTTTTTATGTCATTCATGTAATTTTGGGACTACTCTGTCAACTTCCTTGCCAAGGTCAGTGAAGGTTCTCGGTTTCTCTGGCATGTATTTCATATGTCAATTTATTTCGAATCATCACCAAATTTGAAACATTCAATTTAAAACAGATGCCACTATGTAACATTTATTCTGTAGGACGAGTAAAATTCTGCACACGGCCTTTTATTTTGAAAAAAAAAATAGTTATTACCGTTGAGACCGTTAAAGGACACTTTTACCGTTAAGAGGGTTGGGATCAATATTTTGCGTATCTGTGTTCTCACGGGTGCATGGCATGGACCGTTAGGTTGAATATTCGAATCTTGGCCGTTAATACCGTTATGTTGTAATAAATATTCAAATTTTATTTATCAAATTTTCATTGATATGGTTTTTCTTTTAATCTCATTTTAAGAAAGAGGATTCGTAAAATGTTTAAGAGTACTTTTTTTTTTTTGGGTGAGCTACTTCTGGAGACTTAATGCTGCCCTTTCTTTTAATTTTCTCTATGATATTCTGAAAATTATTGTTAGATTTATCTTTCAGAGGCTTGTTTTGCACAAAAAATTTAATTGATATATATATATATATATATTTGCCCAATTCCAGCGAGAATCTCTCTCATTTATGACATGACACTCTTTTTACAAGCTCATCTTTTACACGTAGCAAATGTAACCTGAATATCATTTGTGTTATATATGACTTGCATTCTTTGATATATATATATATATATATATATATATATCTCCCCTCTCAGAGTCATACTCTCATATATACACAGCCTTTGCTTAATTAGAGGAAAGCCATGGCCAACAGATCATCGATGGAGAGAAAGGTACGTAGGACTTCAATTTATTCATTTAATTTCTACTCTCATATGAACTGTGCTTTTCAATTACTTTTCTTTTATGCGCCATGGTGATATAAGTATGTATTAATCCACATTGGGACATACGTTTTCTGTTATACAAATTTATAAAAGAGGATAAAGTGATTTTTTTTACTGAGATGAACCAGTTTGCGAATTAGATTATCAGAATGATTTTGGTTTTTATTTTATTTTTACATATCTAGGGGAAGGCACTTTTGGAGCCTCATCATGTTGCTTCGCAATTTCCTACTAGCAGCAGAAATGGGACAAGTTTGCAGCCCCTTGAAGTGAAGTCAGTGCTCTCTCTCTCTCTCTCTCTCTCTCTCTCTCTGAAGTTAGTACTCCTCCCTCCCACCCTCCCTCTCTCTCTGTGAAGTTAGTGCTCCCTCCCTCCCTCCCTCTCTCTCTCTCTCTCTCTCTAGATTAGTAAAGTAGTTTAAAGCTTTACTAAAATTTCCTTTCAAAGAAGGATTTAATCAATTTTTTTCTTTTTTTGTTATGTTTAATTTCTCATTTAATGACTCTACTTTTATGAACCCGCTCTACATTTAAAAGAAAAATATCACTAGTAAAACTATGAAACATAATAATAATAAAATGTCATGTAACTATCTAACTCTTGTTCTAATGATTTTTTTTCTTTTACAACATTCAAAAATGTCTCAACTTCAAATTCCCCTTCGACTGTGATGTTTGTTTTCTTTTTCCTTTCGTTTCTTCCCGAACTTTAAATTTTGTAAATATTATTTTACATATATCTATTTTGTCATGAAATTTGTAAACGCGCAGGAGGTATCCTAATCAAATATCGCTAAATAAAGCCCCCCAAAATCCAAACGCAAATGCCATGAATTTTCCTTCTTCAGTCCTGCTAAAAAAGGCCTTAAGTTCATTAACCGAACCACCAAAGTCCAAAAGTCCAGGTTCATCTTCAACAGCTCACCATGCCAATCCTACAAGCACCAATTATGGCAACAAAATCCATACCTTATCACCCTCTACAATTCCAACGCAGGTAATTAATTAGCTGCTTCTTAATTTCATTTGACAACTAAATAGTTGAAATAATGTGATTGTACAATATTCATGGCAGGCAAACAATATCCATTTGGGGTCTGTTCCATATCCGCTAGCACAACCAACTAACGATGGCCAGGGCTTCAATAGATCACTCCCAAGAAACCGGCGGCTCCCGGTGGTTGGCACAAGTGGTAGTGCTGCCTCAGCGCTGCCGTATTCCAGACCTGGAATATTGGGCACTAGTCCAGCAGTATGCAACTTTAAGTTGTAGTGGTTTGAAAGTTCATTATTTCTATTAAGCAATGTTTAATTACTGGACATTAATTAATTATATGCTGGGTTAAATTATTTTGGGGCTAATGCAGGGCAGCCAGGGGACCGTTGGACCAGTGATCATCACGGGACCAGTGCGTAGGAATGTCCCACGTTTTCATGACTCGGTACAGGTATATATATCAGTCTAAACCCTAAAAGGGTTCTTAGTATATATTTCCCTTTTATTGCTACACCCTAATTGTATGTTTTAGCAAAATATATTACGTACTGGGAATGCTAGAGAGACCATATTATTGTACCATATATTACATCTCTAATAGAGGTGATATACCTACTCGTATTTGCGGGACATACCTCTATTAAAGATGTGATACACAATGTGCAAGGAGGGACGGAGCTACATACATGCCTGAAGTGGTTGTGTGTAAGTTCATAAACTTTTAAGCTATTTCTCCTGCCTCCGACTCCCGGTCCCCAAAATATATAAACTCTAGCTTCACCATTTACAATATGGTATTCCTAACCTTACTTTTACGTCCCTGCTATTTTCCTCACATTTCTGTATACTGAAAACGGACAGCTAATGGCGGTCCACTTATTGAACAGGGTTTATATGGTCGGTCCTAAATCACTTAACACATTTCTTTATATCATGACAGAGAGGAGCTGTGACTAATCAATATAGGCAACAGCTGTTAGCGAATGCAAGTATGGAGCTCCGACGAAGGTTTCCAAAAGTACGTAATTAATTAATTTAGGACAATATTGGACTTGGTTTAATTAGTTTCTAAAATGTTCATTAATCAATAACTGTTGATTAAGCACCGTAGAATTAAAAATCTTAATCACAGGTACAGGTACGGGGACCAATAAGAGACCATGATCATGAGAAGCTGGCATTGGCAACCGAAGAAGCCCATCAATGGCCTGTGATATATGGCCATCCTCTTCGGGTACGTGCCAACTTCTAATTATAAGTTCAACTTAAAAATCTATTAAATTTCAAAGTGACGGGCATGCGGCCCACTACTAACAACACTAATATGGGTCGGGTCAATGGCCACACCGAATCAAGGTGTGATCGATCTAGGTCAGAGTGTTAGTTTGAGTTTGGATTGGGGTGTTAAATTTCAAATAGACGAGCCTACAGCCCACTACTAAGAGCGCTTCCAGCAATGGCCCCTTGCCCAAGCAACAGGAGGCCCAAGCTCTAATTTGTAGTTCCAACGGGCTTCTACAGCCCTGGTAGCACATGGGTCCCACCAAACCAGGTTAGCCCAAAGGCAAGATCAGCCTGGGCTGTTGCCTAGGTTTGCTGACGTCATGAACCAAAAAAATTTTAAAAAATCTAAAAAATTACTAAAAATTTCAATTTTTTAAAAATAAATCCTTAGTCATATTCTTCACTTCCCACACCAAAACTCTATACAAATTTCTATTTCCATGGTAACCACTATTCACATGAATAGTAACAGTCATTGCCTTGCCCTAGCCTTTTGTCATGGCAAATGGATGGAAGTGCTCTAACAACACTGATATTATCCCCAACTTAACCACCTACAAAGCCCAGTAAGTGTGGGGTTTTATCCCAAAATGCCTCAATGTTATTAAAAGTTGAACCACTTATTATAAGTTGTAGTTTAATCAGTCAAGTTTATGATATGGGACCTTTTTTTTATTTTTTATTTTTTTATATATTATGAGATAGGGGAGACAAAACCCCAAAAAAAAAACGACAACTAACTACCGATTTGGAACTTTATATTCTTCAACATAACCATTTTCACCATTTCTACTGTAGAGAGGAGATTTTTGAACTTTTAATTTTCTATTTTTAATATAAATTCTGATTACTTGTTTAATATTTCTGCGGCAGGATTTTGATGTAACCAAGGGGATGTATAATGGCAGAGAAGATGATCATTACTACCCCTTCCCAGCGCATCTTATCAACATAGATGATTTCAGTTAAATCCGAAAATGGGAAAGTAATTTGCATTTTACTTGGAGTAGGGTTGCTTGGAAGTTTAACATTAGCATGGCATGGACGTGAAAGTAGTGCTTGGAGCTTGGTTATATATTTGAATGTTTGTTTACTTGGAAATTATATGTTTCCATGCTTGTTATTTTTTATACTGCTCTTAATCAACAAATTATTCCGACAAAAGTTTGTTCTTGTGCTCCCACCCAAAAGTTTCTTTTTTAACTTCAATGAGTTGTTCAGAAAAATGTCAATGGAAAAGAAAAATTATTTAGACAAAAAAAACCTTTGAGAAATTAGGAAAACCCAATACAAGAACTAAAACAGAGGAAAACAAAGAAAATGAACCCAGTCCCACCCCTTGAGAGAAGTTAAGGTTTCACCCCAAAATTAATTGACAATGAGTGAGTAGCTCAACTCCTTTGCCGATGCAAGGTTTATAAACTTTAGGGTGAGGATCGTTGAAAAGTTGAGAGATCGGGGCTGTGGAAATTTATATGGAAATCTAAATTGATGTGAGCTAGACAAAACAAAAAAAAAAAAAAATTAAAAAAAACTCATTCTTATCCAATAACTGCTACAAAAAAGTGACTCCCCTTTGCAAGAAGGAACCATCATTATTAAAAGGTGATGTTTATTTTTGGTAGTTCACCAATAAGTTGGACTAATTTCAACATGGACCACTTTTGGTGGTTGTTTTTAACATTTGCCTAAAATTTACAGAGAGCTACAATACAACTCAAAATTTTGAAATGGATTTCAATTATTGAATACAAAATAAATGTTCCTGTGCTAGATTTTTACAACAAAGAATGTAATTAAACTTGGTTCTTCAATTTTTCTTTTCTTCCTCTGCAACCTCTTGCTTGGTATATTTACTGAAGCACCCACAAGACAAGCACCAATGACTATGGCCTGTGAACTCCTCTAGTTGCACCACAGCCCATTATAGAGGAAGGCAATTTTCCCACCTTATCAATTCCTGATTCAAACACCACACCCATTCCCATATAGAAATGAGACTCTATGTGGCAATGAAACGCCCAAGCCCCTGGATTATCTGCCCTGAACCTCAGAGCAGTCCACCCATAACGATGAACTGGCACAGTATTCTTCATGATAGGGTTCACCAAATTGTACTTCTTTGGATCATTGAACATGTCAAACTTGCCCTCCCCATATCCCAGGACCCAGAAATCATGCCCGTGAAGATGCCACGGGTGAGTCTCGCTGTTGTTCGGGTTCCTGGTGTTGGCATTTTGGAGTATAAGGTCCACTGTTGTATTGAACTGGAGCCTATAAATCCCATTGCTTACTGTAGCATTTGTGTTGTTTGGTGTCTTGTAAATGTCATAGTTTACAAAATCGTACCCATCAGGTGGAGAAGTTTGATCAAATGCATCAGTCAAGTTCTGCTTGAGGGCAATGAGATAAGGTGTGTGAGGATGAGTGAATGACACATTGTTGACTGACCAGCGGACATAACCGTTGACGGTGTTTTGTGTGTTGAGAAGCACAATCACTCTGTCTGCGGTTGGGGGAGGGGTGTGGATGAAGCCTTGGTGTGATTTGATGGCAAGACTTTGATCCAATCGGGCGCGAACATTGTCCCAAGCAGGGCCTGCTGGGGGTACCGCCGAAGGAGATCTCCTCGGGTGGTTTGGATAGTAATTGAGAATGGCTAAACCAGGTGGGGTGGTGGCATTTCGGCTAACCACATTTGTTGTCATCCAATAATTTCTTGAAGGGTCTTGGTCTGCTTTTATTAGCACAGAATATGTCTCACCAGAATATAAGAAAAGGTTCTTCACAACAAATGGCTCAACATAATGCCCGTCTGCCTCAACCACTGTCATATTATGGCCCTGCAACATGGACAAGTTTTGTTAATTATATGCTAATACTTAAAATTATGCAGATTGTGTTCTGCATACTACATGAACATGGATAAATTAGTACCTCTATTTGAAAACTGAGGGCAGACAGAGAAGTCAAGCTAGCAACCCTTAGTCGATACGTCTTGCCAGGGACGACTGTCATTGAGTAAGGGGAGCATTCGGGGTTCGTTGCGTTACAAACTTCGGGGTCTAAGCTTGGAGTGGTCAGTGTGGAGCAGTCGAATCTTCCTTTTCCTTGTATCAAAAGCGACTGAAATTTTGGAGAAAAGGAAAACCCATTAACAAGTGCATTGACAGCAGCAAACAGTAAACTAGTAAATTCTATTTGTTACCCAAAAACTGAATAGAGAGACAATTAATTACCTGAGGTTCCCCAACCCAGGCAAACTTAAGGGAGGACAGCCCAACTGCGTGTTCATAAGTGCTCTTGTGGTACCAATCATTAAGTATGATGCTTCGATCATAATCGTAAGAAAATGGCTCTGATTCTCCATCAGGAAGTGCTACACGGATTGAACCATATAAACCAGCTTCTCTTTGCATTCCATAATGAGCATGGTAGAGGTATGTTCCAGGCTGCAAAAGGCAATTTTATCATACATGGAGATCAGTATAAATTATTAATTCAACAACAATAATCTGTCTACCATGAAAATGATGTGCTACTTACCCTATCAACCACAAACTGATATTTGAAGGTGTCTCCAGGCACTATTGGGCATTGAGTCACACCTTCAGTTCCATCACTCCATGGTGTTCCAATCTGCAACCGAAAAAAGAAGCACACTTTCAGATGCTATGAAACATTAAAAAAAAAGTTTGCTGATCAACTAACAAATAAATAGGAATTGAGGAAATTACGAGGATTGTACCTGTCGAATTCCATGCCAATGTATGGCTACATTTTCTGTCCATAAACTGTTTGTAAGCTCAACAATGATGGTGTCTCCCTGCTGAGCAAGTATGGTTGGTCCAGGAGATCTACCATTAATGGTTATGACCAGCTTCTTGAAGCAATCAGGGGACTTGTACTCATACTTCACCTCCCATTTGTAATGCCTAATTCTAGCCTCCACTGCTGGAACCTCAACCAAAGACAAGAACAGAAACAAAGCCAGAAATAACTTTAAAATGCAACCATTTCTCTGTAAAAGCTCAACCATTTCTCTTTGGAACCTTTACAAAGCTCACTGAAAAAACTACAGAGACTCTATTTGAAAGTTGATGAAATATTAATTATATTTCTGTAAAAGTGCTAGCTGCTTCAATTGCTTTTCCCCCCTCCAGCTCTATATATAGTGTCTGAGTCTTTGGTCAAACATGGTAGCTAAAGACTCAATCAATTACTCAGTCTTTGGCGAACCATGAAATTACTGGGTATTTTCCTGTTTATGAGCCTGTGTTTTTCGTATGAACCTGACATCTTCAAATTATTTGCAAACATCAGGAAGGTGGAAGAGATCCTTAATTAGGAATTTGTCTCATTGACTTAATCTGTTCATAACCTTGAGTGTCTCTTGCTCTACCTAGTTATTGTATATTTAGCTTCATCTTTTTGTAATGGGGATCGATTTGTTTATTCTTTTCTTTTTTATGAAGTTTTAATTGGTCAAACCAACTCCATGTCCATGTTGCCAAGTTGTATTTTGCTTTTTCTTTTTCTTTTTGGCGCCGAAATGTTGTACCATATCATGTCAAAACAAGAGAAAGAAATCCAGCAGTAAGGTGGCAATTTCTATGAAAACTCGTTGTTTCAGGCTTTGGTTCTTGCAGCAACAAGAAGACATACTATGGATGTAAGCTTATTTGAGATGAATTTTTTGTGGAGCTCATCATACTTTGTATTTCAAACATCCGAACTAAATATCTTTTTTGTCTTTATTCGTAAAATGCTTTGTATTTCAAATATCCGAACTAAATATCTTTTTTGTCTTTATTCGTAAAATGCTTTGTATTTCAAATATCCGAACTAAATATCTTTTTTGTCTTTATTCGTAAAATACTTTGTATTTCAAACATCCGAACCAAATATTCTTTTTGTCTTTATTCATAAATCATTTTTACGAGAAATCGACAATATGAAAGCGATATAAACACATTAATTAATTATGAAAACATTAAAAGAACATCCATTTGATCGAGAAGATGGAAGAATCGTCCAGTTGAAGCTGATTAAATATAAGCAAAATATGGTCACGATCACATTTTAAACTCCTTTATCGATCGTATTGAATTACACTTGTGTATTTTATATGGCGGAAAAAAGTGCATACGTATCCCTCTAGTTTATCCTATCTACACAAGTGTTCGGGTGGTCTATTTTGTGACCCTATTAAGTATTGTCCTCTACAATAAGTATTATTTAAGAAATATCATTGTGAGACCCTTATGGTGTAGGTTGAGGAGGACCCTCTCCTTAGCTGGGGCTTCACCAAAGTTTGATCTGCATTGACCCGTTGACCAGAAAATAGTAATAAGCATGGTGCCCTATCCAAATATATCCATGCATGATTACCCCACCATTCCCGGTATGGAACTAATTAGTACCTAAAAAAGGGTTTTTACATATAAGTTCATAAATAGGATCTAATATATATATCCTTGATAGGGGTGGAAATTTGGATAGACATTTAAAAAATTGACGGTGAGTCCTTAATTGGCCATTTTCATATAGTTTGAGTCCTTAATTTATATAAACAAAATAAAACAAAACAAAACAACAGGTAAATTGACAATTATGATTTAGTTCAAGGGACAAAACCACACTTTAGCTATAAAATAATGATTTTGTTTTTTCAATTTTCAATTTTTAAAACCGAAACAATAATCTAGCCACTTTCTATTTAAATGTACTTCAAATGTAGTTATTGGCCTCTTTTCCTATAAGTAATAAATCTTGTTATGTCATAAATATATGGAATGTGGATGACCACCATATCATCCATTACCTCCAATTTTTAATGAGTTGTAACCTATGTTATTGCTATTGTAATTAGTGCCCTTTAACTACAAATTATGGGTTAATTTTCTATATATGGTTGTAAGCATATAAATAGGTGTTTATCAAAAATGAATGTGATAAGTTGGTAGAGCAAATTCTATTGCCTTTCTTTTCTCTCTACAATTTCCTCTACTTTTTTAACATGTTAGTATATACATAATTGTAAAAAAATATTGAAATGAAGTTATAAAAAAAAATTACAAAAAAATGCAATATATAAGTCAAATTTGGCGTGGGCCTATATCGATCCGTTTAGTGGCTCGGCCCAGTTCCATATGGACTAGGGTTGTGGGCTTGGGCTGGACTTGAGGATTTTCTTAAATAGACGGGTCCGACACGGCCCGTTTATTAAATATACCAACTCTAAACTAGCCAGACCGGCCCGACACGGCCCATTTGACGCTTTTACTCTTTATTTAACTCTGTAAATACATGTGTTCGACCCTTTATTCGACCCAAGATATGTCAATGCTTTGATATGTCAACGCTTTCACATGCAAAAAGGTTAGAATCTAACTTTTGACATGACAACTCCGGTGTAACTAATTTATATCTATATCTATATATAATGCAAAAGATCATTATTGTTGAAATTTTAAAAACCCAACAAATGCCCTTACTGAACCAAAATAATAAAAGAAAAGACAATTATAAAATGAGTGTAAAATAATTTTTTTTTAAAATACTATAATAAATTACACATTTCTCCTCACCCTAAAGTCCTAAACACATTTGTCATTCCTAAAAAAACAAATATATATATAAAGCCACTTGACATGCGTGAGCATAGATTGAGAAGCTAGTATTATATAAGAGCATCTCCAAGAGACGAGATAAAAGAGTAGGCAAACCTCGCGTGGTCTAGAAGCATGACATAATCTTAAAATAATTTCTGGTTTGCTTTGCATGTGTGCGTTTGTCTAAACCTCACATGATTATAATCTATATATATAAAACAAAAGGCAGAGAATTGTGAAACATTCAAAATACCAGAAAATGTCCTTGATTAATTCAAACATTAAGAATTAAAATTATAAATTAAATGAGGATAATATGGTAAATTCACATTTTTTTCATATTAAAAAAATTAAAATTAAAAACAAAATCAGATAATAGGTCCTACTTTTATGGAACATAACTACCCATATTATTTTTTTCTTAATTCTAAAAATAAAATAAAAAATAAAAAAGAAAACCAATTGGCGAGCATGTGCCAAGGGGCTAGTAACTAATTACATTAGAGTTGAGTCATTCCACACGACTAAGACAAGGTCAATTACCTAATATTTAACACACAAAAATTAATTAATTAATTTACGATACGAAGCCACAACTGAAATTGTCTAGGTGACTCAGAGGTTCAGCACATAAATTGTCAAGGTCTTCAACTGAAATTTCCATGGGGAATATGTTGTAGAATACAATTTAGTTCAAGTGATCACACAGAGAGATGGGAATAGAAAGATGAGGTTGCAAAATATAAGAATGACAAACGTTGCAAAATGTTAGTCAACTGCGTATTCATAGTATATTTTGAACATTTCCTTGAGTTGACATTGACAATTACGTTGATTTTTTTATAGATTACGAAGCTATATAGCAACGTACTTCATCAAATACAGTGCCAATTAAACAATCCTACAATAATTTGTGAATTATATCAAAGATGGAATAATGACAGTCTAGAGAAAGAAAAATAGATATACTAATATGAGTATCGATACTATGTGGTTATTCATTCTTATAAGGACTAAAAAATTTGTCGATAAAATTAAATTGATCTCTACCGTCTGATTTTTCAAAAATTCTGTTAAATTGCTGACATGGAACTTAAGTAGAGCCCACATGTCATCAAGTCATGTGAATTTTCTACGAGAAAAAATATAAAAAAAAAACGCTCCAATTTTTAGCTATTTCATTGACAAAGGATATTTCAGAATGTATTAAACATGGGCAATACTGGCTGGAAAAAGGTTGTTTCTGCATTTGGAGATGACGTTTTACAACCTGATGCAGAAGTTGATAGGCCTAGACTAGGCCAGCTTATATTCTCTAATCCCGAACAACGCAAACTTCTGAATTGTTACTTACCCTTTTGCATATCGTTCCAACTGCCACCATATCACCATCAAGGGGCCTGATCCTTGAACTCACCTAAATAACCTGATAATGTAATCACGATTCCATGTACGTACGTTTCAATAATGCTAAATGTTCCTTGCCCAAGAAAAATCAAAGAAAACTCAAAGTTATAGTTCAATGGTCTCTGAACACAACATTCCAATGGTGACTGGCTGTTCCTCCAAGAAAAGAAACCCTACATAAAATAAGACATGAAATATGTGCAGAGGCTAACTGATTTTATCAAACCCTAAACCTAGAAAGACACCCATCTGGTCCCCCAGCATAAAACCCACTTCTTGCTCAAGAGAGTTCAAAAACCCATTAGATCATGGAAACCTCAATGTAGCACAAACAAATCTACTGCAAGAATCTCTATTTCAGGACAACACAAAAAAGGTCCCAAAATTTACAAGATACTAAAGCACAAAGAAAACAGCTCAATCTGACCTTTTCCCAAAATTACTCCACTGCAACCACAATCATAGAAAATCATCTCATTCATCTCTCACCACAACCTCTGTTGCCGCAACCGGTGCACCCAAAAATTTAATCTACTCCGAGCACTATCCTATAAAGAGACACAGAGTGGTTGGAGGGTTAGAGGGGTCGTGTAATGTAAAATGGGTCAGCCTGTCTCTAAGAGGTGTGAGCCCAAGTCTACATAGTGACGGTCATTAAGAGTGAACGGGCCAGCTTATATGAAATAGGGAAAGGGAAATTGGATACAAATAGTTTGGATCCAGAGGCAGTTGTGAGGAGCCACTGCAAATCCAATTTCTTAGGGCCCCCAAATTTTTGGCCCATGCATAAATGAAATAAGTATGTTAAACGTAAATTTCCTTACTAAGTTTGAGCTTAGCTCGGTTGGTCGATCGTGTTTTACATCCCACACGAGCGTTATTGATATGTGGACTTCACCTAAATAACCCATCAACAATAACAGAAGTTTTGACGGAACTTGACGATATGGACCAATTTGATATATCCTAAGTAATCTTGAGAACCAATCATCTCATGAAAAAATATAAATGGTCAAATGTGATAATTTCGTGAACTTCATGAACTATTTGTGAAAATAATTTTTTTTTATAAATACAAGTGATAATGGGGAAGGGGAATCGAACGTAAAATCTTAAGTGCACGGGTAAATGTTCTTAACCGACTGAGCTACAAGCCCATTGCTTTGTTGTACTGATTTTTATGAAAGAGCAAAAAGATTTCGAACAGAAGCCAACAAGTTCCAAAAGAAAAGAAAAATACTATTTTGGAAAAAAAAAAATAATAATAATTACTGCACGAATTGGAAATTACGCTCCAAGACGTTAGAACTAACGCAACACAATTCAATAAAATTAGAATTAAATATTTTTTTTTCATTGAGTTTTATAAAAATTTCAATTTAGTCATTTTTTTTATCAAATTTTATTTTAATTTAGTCACTGAATTAAAAAAAATTGTGATTGGAAATTACACTCCAAGACATTAGAAAGTAATGCAACACCAGTCAATAAAATTTATAATTCCAATCAGCAATGCCACCAGTTTCCTGATTCCTCGTTTCGTTTTTTTTTTTTTTTTTTTGAATTTCTTTTTACATTAAACTCAAACGAGGGGCAATCTCGATTCTCTCTACTCCAATTTCCACCACAAGGAGGACGCCAACCAATAACTTGGCAAATCGCCGGAGGTAAGAAATGTCTTCCCATTCTTTCTGATTCAGTTGGTTTGATCTTGTTTGTATGAGTGCTTATTAGCTTGCATGGAAAGAAAAAGGCATGTTCTTACCATGAAGGGCATTTTGTTTTGCTGGAAATGTAAACTGATTGGGTTCTTGTAATTTTATGTACTGTAGTTTCTTGTTTCTGGTTTCCTGTATTTGGGTAAGTTGATTGCAGAAACATTTTCAAAATTAAATTAATAAGAAAATGCAACCAAAACTGTTGTCAAATTGCAAATTTTTCTTTATTCTTTATGTTCTTACTTGAATGTGTTGATAGAAACAAATGGTAAAATTATTATATGCAACAACAGAGAGGCTCTTCATTTCTAGGGAGCCAAATTCCAAATCTTTAGAATGGGGAAATTGATAGGGTGCACTGGAGCTCCATCTTTGTCTTACTTCTCAAAAGAGCTAAAGAAAAGAGATAGCTAGAGCAATTTTCATTGGAGATGCTCTAAGGCCTTTAGCTAATTTTGTTCTTATATTTGATTTTGCATTCAAGAATGAGGATAGTAGGACTGACAGGTGGAATTGCGTCCGGGAAGAGCACCGTCTCAAATCTCTTCAAGGCCCATGACTTTCCCGTCGTTGACGCAGATCTTGTTGCTCGTGTAAGTAATGATCAAGCCCTTAATACTCTTATATTGAAATCATAAAAGATTTATGGCAGTATATTGTTTTTAGCTAGTTCATTGACAGAGGATATTTCAGGATGTATTAAAGAAGGGCAAAACTGGGTGGAAAAAGGTTGTTTCAGCATTTGGAGATGACATTTTACAACCTGATGGAGAAGTTGATAGGCCTAAACTAGGCCAATTATATTCTCTAATCCCGAAAAGCGCAAACTTCTGAATCGGTACTTACCCTTTTGCAGATAGTTCCATTTTTCTTTTGTGTTCTAATTGAGATTATCACTTAGTAATACTATTAGCTGTATGATTTTACTTCCTACTTCAACATTATCCCTGGTGCAGTTGAGTAAATCATAATCTTTTACAAATCTAGTCACCATTGAATACAAAAAGTGTGAGAAATTTAATATTATATTTAATATTAATTTTCTATTTGAATGGAAATTAATAAAATCCATTGGGTTAAGGACATGACCCTTGGGTTAAAGACATATTCAATTGGGGGGTGACAACTCTTCGAACTAAGGAATACATTGTTTGGGGTGATAACTCTTCAAGACCAAGGGATGTATTGTTTGCCTTTTCAGATTGGGATACCTTTTTGGAAAGGGTATTTCATCATCTATAAATAGACCAATCCTCCTGCAGTTTTAATCATTCAATCAATTCTCTACATACATACTTTCAAACATATAGAGCATTAGAGTTTCATAAAGAGAGGTTCCTGCATAATTTTGGTTCAAAGTTCCTTGTGAATTGTAGTGCTTCTTTCATAAGGAGGAGAGTCGTTGTATCCTGGGAGGCGAACGCTAGTGAACCATAAGCACCAGTGTGGGGCGTAATTCGTCTTAAGGTCAGAGTGTCCAACACTTGCCTCGACTCAATTAAGGTTCTTGTAATTCCATTCTGTTGTTGTAAAAATCTGTTTTGTTTGTAGTGTTTATTTATTTATTTTATAGCAATTTAGCACTCACTTTTTCCTACAATCTTAAGACGAATTATATGTGTTAATTGCTATATACATTAATCTGTGTTTAATTGCCATATGCATTAATCTGTGTTTGTGCATTTAAATGTTAACGTTGCAAAAGGTTTGATTTTGTACAAACAGCAAAACATTTTTTTTAATTAGTTGTCTATTCTATTGAATTGGTTTCCTGTTAGTTTCTTTTGTTTTATACAATTCAAAGTTAAACAAATCTAAGTTATAATAATCGGGGACCTTTCAATAAAGTTTGCCACAAACACTGATTGCCTTCTGTTTCTATTGTTAGACAAAGTCTACTTATACAGCATCGGTTTTTTTTTTATTTTATTTGGAATCTGTTTTCTGTTTGGCATCATTTTTATTATTCTGTTTATAAAATTCTGATTATATTTATCCATATACATTAATTTCACTGTACCTGTGAATTATAGCATTCTGTATTACTGTTATCTTGAATAATTGCATATTGCGTTTGCTATACTTTTTATTGGTATTGTGTTATTAATTCTGGTTGTGTTTTATTGTAACACACTATTGCGATTCATTATTTATCTATTAAAGACTGCCAAATATTTGTTTATTGACATTAAGATTGTTCACTCAATTAAGGAAAATGTCGAATGAGATACAGAAAGTGGGTCCTTCTGTGAAGACAAGTGCACCTGCTGTTGTGTTGCCTTCATCCCATAATTATGCAGAAAAGCCTGAAAAATTTAATGGGATAGATTTTAAGAGATGGCAACAAAAGATGTTGTTCTACATCACCACATTGAATTTGGCTCATATCTTGAAAGCAGATCCTCCTGCACCTGGTGATACAATAGAAACAGTGGCTGCTTCTGATGCATGGAACCAGTCGGATTTCCTTTGCAGGAACTACATCCTAAATGGTTTAAGTGATGCACTATACAATGTGTATAGTCCAATTCAGACTGCCCAAAGCTTTATGGGAGTCACTAGACAAGAAATATCGGAACGCCCCCACCGCCTGCCCCCCTCCCGCCGCTGCCGGGCCTGCAGCCCCTTTCTTGTCGGCGGGTTTCTTGCTCCAAGCTGGTGCCTCCCGCCGTCTCCGGCCCGTCACGCCCTCCCCTCCTTCTACAGGAGATACCTGCAGCCACGGGCCGCTTGCTCGTGCGGTTTCCCGGTGGCTGCGTCCCTTGCCCCTTACCACCCCTTTGGGGGCCGGATTCCCCCCTCCCTTCGCCTCCGCGCCGGCGTGGGACTTGCGGCTTTGTCGTACGGCTCCGGAGCCGCGGCCCCTCGGCCCGTGCTGCCCCCCGTTGGCTCTCGCCTGGCCGCTCCGGCTACCCGTCGTGGCCCCCGCGTCCGCCCTCCCCCGCCGCGCCGCCTCTGGAGCCGGCCCCCCCTCCCGGGCCCCCCCCCGGCCGTCCCGGCGTTTTCCGGGCCCTGCCTTCCCTTGCCCCACGCCCGGGCCATCGCGCGTGCGGCTTGCGCCGTCGCACCTGGCCCCGGCCCCCCCCACGCCCCCGGGCCCCGCCTGACCGCCCCCGGACGCCGCCGCTCCCCTTCCTGCTTGCCGCATTCCTCTTTCTGCAGTCGTGTCTGCCGTGCCCCTTGGTGGGGTCAACCACGCCTGGTGGGGGCTCCTGGAGCTCCCGCCCCCTATGTTTCTGAAAGGCCGCTGTTTTTACCTAGTGCAGAAATGACAAGGCGAGCCTTTATGCCTGGGCCCTCCTCCCCTCCAAATTCCTGGCCACGGGAAAATCATTCCAGATGACATGGGACCGGCGTCACTCTCATCCTGTCCTTTCCCGTCCCTGACATCGGCGCCCCTTGGGTTTGGATCCTGTCGCACGCCTGGGTTCCGTCGTCTTTGGTCTGATACTTTTCCTCCTACGCCTGGCATGTCTGGTGGGGCCAAGGTCCCTTCCTGCTGGCCTTTCCCCGCTGCATGTCCGGCCTGTGTCCCCCCCGTTCCTCTCCTCCCGTCGTTTGCTTCTCTGCTTGCGTCCTTGCTTGTGGCCTGGCCGCTTCGGGCTCTGGTCCTCGCCACTTGCGTCCCGCCGTCACCTGGCACTCCCTCCGTTATATGCTTTCCATCCTCCTGTGCACCCTGTGTGCCTGCCCCCCCTCCCGGCTCTCTCATTCCCCGTCTATCGCCCGACGTCCCGCCCCTTCGCATTCCTTCCCCGGCTTTTGTGCCTTACCCTTTGTCCACCCTCGCGGTGGTCCCAGTCTTTTCTTCCTTTTACTGCTGCTGGTCCCAGCTATTGTCACTCTCTTTGATGCGCCGCCCAGCTGCGGCCCTCGCCATGTTTCCCCCCTTATCCCCGTGCCCGGTGCGCCCCCCCTCGCCCGGCCCCTCCCGCTCTTCCGCCGTGCTCGCGGTGGTGCATCTGAATCCCCTTTTAGGGAGTTTTGTTCCCCCCCCGGATATGCCCCCACTACTGCTCCCTCCTCCCCTCCGCCACGGTTGCTGCCCGTAAACATCGTCCTTTCCCGCCCTGCTGACGCTTTGTAGTCGTTCTGGCGCCCCCGCCTTGTGGGGGGCCGCTTTATGTCGGCTACCCTCCATTTCCACCACTTGGCTCCTCCCCCAAGTTACGCCCCCCCCCCTTCTGCGTTCTGGCCCCCCCCACGCGCACCCGTTCCTCCTCCCTGCCCGTTGGGGGTTGTCTCGCTCCCGTTGCGGTTTTCCCCCCTTACCACGGTTCGCTTGGCCCCCCCATTCTTGCCTGTCTCTTTCTGGTTTCGCCTTCCTCCCGTCGGCTCTCGTTTCTTGTACCCCCTTGCTCTATTGCCTGTCCATGTGCCTCCGCTTATTGCCTCATGCCTGATTTTCTTTTGCCCCGTCTTTCCTTCTCCCGTGCTCCCCCCCCCCCGCACGCCCTCCGTGCCGCACCTCTGCTCCTATCTCGGATCGCCAAGAAGGTCCTCAGCCCATTATCGCCCCCGAGCCTGTTTGCCCCCCGCCACTGCCCATGCCCCCCGGCGTCTCCGCGAGCTCCGTCCCCCCCATCCTTTGGATCCTGAGTGTCTAACTTCTTGTTCGCCCCCTGCGCCTCCCCCTCCCCCGACGCCCCGCCTTCTCCTGCCGCTCCTTTCTGGCACGAGGTTCTTCGGCCGACGTTGCCTCCATTCTGCCCGCTCACCTTGGGCCCTTGTGGCTCTTCCTCTGGACCTACCCCTGGGTTCCACTGGCTTTTCGCCGCCGATGCCGCTGCTGGCTCCCTGCCACCCCCTCTCCGGCAGGCGTGTCCCCGGTCTCCCCCCCCGCAGATTGGATCCGTTGCCACCTATTCCCCGTTCGCGGCTCCCCTCCTCGAAGGTTACTTGCCCTTGCAGCATTGCCTACTCTTGGCTCCTCCCCGGCTGTGCCACGGCTTTTCTCCCTGGTGCTTCGCTTGCGGCACTTTCTCGGGCCACCCCTGACGGGTTTCTTGGTCCTGGCCCGACCCTCCCGTATGTCAGTTGTTACGTCTTTGTCCGGTTCACGCCCGCCCCCCCCCCCGGGCCCCTCTGGCCCTTTGACCCTGCACTCCTGTCACTGGTTTCCCGCCCTGCAGTGTGACACTGTGTTTCTTGGCCCGCCCTCCCGATGGTTTTTCATTCTTGTCTTTCTGGTGCTGCTCTGTTCATTCTTGGTCGCCATCTTGGGCTGCTTCACTATCTCCCCCGGCCCGGACGGCTGCTTTTTTTTTTTTTTTTTTTTTTTTTTTTTTTTTTTTTTTTTTTTTTTTTTTTTTTTTTTTTTTTTTTTTTTTTTTTTTTTTTTTTTTTTTTTTTTTTTTTTTTTTTTTTTTTTTTTTTTTTTTTTTTTTTTTTTTTTTTTTTTTTTTTTTTTTTTTTTTTTTTTTTTTTTTTTTTTTTTTTTTTTTTTTTTTTTTTTTTTTTTTTTTTTTTTTTTTTTTTTTTTTTTTTTTTTTTTTTTTTTTTTTTTTTTTTTTTTTTTTTTTTTTTTTTTTTTTTTTTTTTTTTTTTTTTTTTTTTTTTTTTTTTTTTTTTTTTTTTTTTTTTTTTTTTTTTTTTTTTTTTTTTTTTTTTTTTTTTTTTTTTTTTTTTTTTTTTTTTTTTTTTTTTCCACACTCAAAATGTTTATCATTAGTTGTTTTTATGTTGATGATATGAATTATTGGTAGCAATATTGGGAGATTAAATCTACCAAGGAAACTGTGGACCAAAAATTTTGACATGAAAGATTTGGGGAGTAGCAGATGGTATCTAGGAATTAAATTTCTAGAACATCTAATGGACTGTTTTATCCCAATCACATGTAGTTATTGAGAAAATACTTGCAAAGTAGCAAGTCTGATCCTAGTCCAGTAAGAACACCTTATGATCCAAAATCTAATCTTGTGAAGAATATAGGTCATGGCGTCTCACAACTAGAATATGCTCGTATCATTGGAAGTCTCATGTATCTTACGAATTGCACAAGGCCTGATAGAGCTTACTCTGTTAATAGATTAAGTGATACACTAGTAATCCTGGAAGGATCATTGGAAAGCTATAGCAGAATTCTAAGATACTTAGATACACCAAAATGTTGGATGCATTATACAAGATATCCAGCTGTACTTGAAGGATATAGTGATGCTAATTGGATATCTGATACTAAAGACTCCAATTCTACAAGTGGATATGTCTTTACAATTGGAGGTGCGGCTATATCATGGAGCTACTAAGCAAACTGTTATAGCTAGATCTACTATGGAATCTGAGTTCATAGCATTAGATAAAGCTGGTGAGGAAGCTGAATGGCTACGTAATTTCTTAGAAGATATTCCATGTTGGCCAAAACCAGTGCCTGCTATATGTATACATTGGTGATAGTCAATCTACAATTGCAAGGGCACAAAACAATATGTACAACGGCAAGTCTCGACATATACGTCGAAGACACAACACCGTTAAGCAACTGCTCTCCAGTGGTATAATTACCATTGACTACATAAAGTCAAGAGATATTTGGCGGATCCGTTTACTAAAGGTTTGAACGGGAGAGCAAGTTTATAGATCATCGAGGGGAATGGGGTTAAAGCCCATGTCAAATGAGTCGTCATAGTGGAAACCCAACCTAGTTGACTGGAGATCCCAAGATCTAGGTTCAAAAGGGACAACTAAATTATGATAACTCCAAAATAACACTGCGGAGATATATTTCTCTACCCATATCCTATGATGACACAGTGTTGTATGAAGTATGTTTAGGTTAAGCTATGCTTTTAATGATTCCTATACCTTGATTATCCGAGTAAGATATGAGAGGATATTACCATAGGAAATCACCTATATAAGTGTGAAATGGGGCCGTTTCCATGAGAATTTTTAGGGCTCAATTCTCTAAAGCGCTTATGAATGCCAGGAGTTTGCTCAGGGCCAAAAACGAGCACAACCGATCGAACCAAATATGTCTAGAAGGGTATGGTGTGAGTATTATTGTCTGGGTTTACACGAACGGCTGAACAGTTCAAGACATCACGTTCACTGATTAGCCAGTAAATCCGATAGTACTTCACTATGGAAGGTTCAAAGCCAAAAGCTACCTATCCAAATGCCATATTCTTCTAATAGGAACTCTCTCTAAGTCTGCATTATCATTTGCATATTGTTGAAACTAATTTCCATTCATGTGGGGGATTGTGAGAAATTTAATATTATATTTATATTAATTTTCTATTTGAATGGAAATTAATAAAATCCATTGGGTTAAGGACATGACCCTTGGGTTTAAAGACATATTCAATTGGGGGGTGACAACTCTTCGAACTAAGGAATACATTGTTTGGGGTGATAACTCTTCAAGACCAAGGGATGTATTGTTTGCCTTTTCAGATTGGGATACCTTTTTGGAAAGGGTATTTCATCATCTATAAATAGACCAATCCTCCTGCAGTTTTAATCATTCAATCAATTCTCTACATACATACTTTCAAACATATAGAGCATTAGAGTTTCCTAAGGAGAGTTCCTGCATAATTTGTTTGGTTCAAAGTTTCCTTGTGAAGTGTAGTGCTTCTTTCATAAGGAGGAGAGCGTTGTATCCTGGGAGGCGAACGCTAGTGAACCATAAGCACCAGTGTGGGGCGTAATTCGTCTTAAGGTCAGAGTGTCCAACACTTGCCTCGACTCAATTAAGGTCTTGTAATTTTCATTCTGTTGTTGTAAAAATCTGTTTTGTTTGTAGTGTTTATTTATTTATTTTATAGCAATTTAGCACTCACTTTCCTACAAAAAGATCACTCAGTGTCATCTGTGTGAATGCTGGGTTCCCACTTATGGTTTTAAATTTATATCATTCAGGTCCTGTAATACTCACCAAGTTTTGACTTGTCCAAGGTAAAATTCATAGTATAATCTCCTAATAACAAGGGAAATTATGCAAATTCCATTAGTCAAAATTGCCTAGATTTTGTTATAATATTCCTGGTAATGGTAATGCCTTATCAGAGATTTTGTGTTGGATTACTTAATAATACAAGTTCCATGACATATCAGTTTCAAAGTCTAGTTTTTATCTTTTTGTAGAGTGCTGGCTCCTTACATATGGTTTGGGATCTTTTGGGAAGTTTTGAAGCTATGGATGGAGGGGTTTAAGATTATTGTTGTTGATGTCCCTCTATTGTTCGAGGCCAAGATGGACAAATGGACAAAGCCCATTGTTTTGGTATGGGTTGATTCTGAAACACAGCTCCAGAGACTCATGTTGAGGGACAGTACAAGTGAGGATGATGCTCAGAACAAGATAAATGCTCAGATGTCACTTGATTTGAAAAAGACCAAGGCAGACCTAGTGATTGATAATACTGGTTCACTGAAGGATTTAAGAGAACAGTTTCGCAGTATCTTAGTTATCGTCACGAAGCCCTTGACGTGGACTGAATTCGGGTTCTCTAGACGAGGTGTCGCGTTGTTTCTTCTCTCCATTGTTGTAGGTGTTTTAATGTATTTTCAGAGAAGTTTATATGCTAGTAGTTTATAGCAACCTTGGAATTGTACTTGGTTGAGATCTTGATCTAAATCTCTCCCTCTTTGATAGAATAAGAACCTTCACTCTGTTTTGTAGCAACAATGAAGAATGATTTTTTGCATCACAGTCTAACGTTATTAAGCCAGAGCCTCGGTTACTTAAGTTTCTTGGTGGTGACTCATTTGAAATCTCACTTAGCTCCGTCAATGAGGTTGTGCGGGGTATAACGAGATATGCATTATTTATGTGCTATGATTTCAACTTTATTAACTTCTTTTGGGGCTATCCCATTCCTTGGTTCTAACTCTAGTCATGCAGTAGTGGGTCATCTAGATTTTGCTCCATTATGCTTATTTTCTTATACCCTTTTTTTGGGTTTTTTCAATTTAGTATTATGTACTTACACCCTTAAGGCATACTCGTATTGTTTTTTCAATTTTAACAATTTAAGCTAATGGGTCTAGCCCAATGAAAAAGGGTTTTAACTTGCAAACCAAAGGTCTCAGGTTCGAACCCCCATGACATCATTTGTGAGTGTGAGAGAGAGAAATTCTTCTCCCCTCTAGTTTAGACTATCACTTGTACTAATAAACAAATCAATGCCACATCTTGAACAATTTAGTACCGTGTTACCTTGTTTTGGGGGCAATCCCATTCCTTGGTTCTAGTCATAGAAGTGGTCATCTATCTTTTGCTTCATTATGCTTATTTATTTTTGGGTTACTTTATGGCATGTTTACTTGTAAATAATAGGGGAACTTAAGAATAAGAAAATAAGGAATATGAATCAGATCAATTACTCTCCTAGTTGATCTAATCCTTAGTTTTGAGGGTATTTGATTACGGATTTTATGGCATGTTTACTTAGAAGGAATGAGGGAACTCATGAATCGGGGAACTTGAGAATTTGGGGGTAAGGAATTGGAATCAGATCAACTACTCCCTCTAGTTGATATGATTCCTATATTTGAGGGTATTTGATAATGGATTTTACCATGGAACTTCCATTTTTTTAAAATTCCATATACGTAAGTAATCGTAGGGGCACGTGTTAGTAACGAAGGGGAATACATAATTGGAATGAATATGATACCCATTATTGATAAGTAAACATGCCTTACAAGAATCAAGAAGTCATGAATTGGAAAACTTGGGAATCAAGGAATGAGAATTGGATAAGCTACTCCCCTAGTTGATCCCATCTTAATTTTGAGGGTATTTAATTACATATTTTAACATGAAACCCACATAATTTTTATTTATTTATGATGTATTAGTAAATGAGGAGAAGTCAGGAATTAGAAATAGTAAAGGGCTTTTCACATTTAAGCCCATATATATGGTCCAAAATATAGAAAAACCCTACAATACTCACACTCTAAGAAAAACTCATTTGACTTTTCATATGGACCAATATACCATACAAGCCTTGAATTACTTAAAAATTACAACACTACCATGAGAGTTCTTTTCTAAAAATCATAATGCGAGCATAATAATGGTATTTCACACATCATTCAAATTTAAAAATAATATTGTTGGTCCTTTTTGAGTTTTTTCTTCAATTTATAGGTCTTAGTGTTTATATATAAAATCAATGCAAGAAATAAAGTTTATTATAAAATTCAAGAAAGATAAGAATCAAAATTCATTTTCTCAACAACTATAATAGATGAAAAAGAAAAAGAAAAAATAAGATTGATACAGTCTACAAAGACTCTTCAAACTGTTAAGATTTCAAAGAGACAAACCATTGGCCCACTATTAGCAACATCGATATTGTCCCTAACTTAATTACCTGTTTAGCAGGTGTGAGGTTTTTACAAAAAAGGCCTTGATGTTATTAGTAGTGGAGCTATTCATTGTATATTATATTTTATTTGGTCAAGTTTCCATAACTTCATATTCTTCAATACACTCATTCAATTTATGTTTTTTCTTCAATTCAATTACGTACTTTCTCATCTCTCCTCCATTTTCTCCTTGTTGTTTTTCTCCCCAGGTCCATGACGTAGAAGCCGAGATGCCACTGACAATGGCTCTGGTGTTGATCCAGACATAGGCCTCCTATTTCTCTCTCTCTCCTCTCTCATCTCTCTCTCTTCTCTCTCTCTCTCTCTCCCCTTTGATTTTATCTGGGAAAGTTTCATGATGTGTTTACTAATTAAGAATTGGATTCCACCTATGGAGGATTCCCCGCGTTTACTTTATATCAAATAATTAAAAGTAAGTAGGGCTCACATAAATTAGGAATTGAATTCCTACTTTTGGAGGAATTCAATTCTTAGGTGGGAAGTGGTATTCTAATTCCTGAAGAACTAATCTATTAGGAATTCATCTTTTTTACCCATTATATCCTCACACAATTTTAAAATTTTAAAATTTTCCATCTACTTTAACCCAACAACGAGGACATTTTAGTAATTAGTACTACTCCTACGCCAATTCCATATGGTTTAGTAAACAACTTCAATAAGAATCCGAAATCTAATCTTCCTCATTCCATATGGTTTAGTAAACAACTTCAATAGGAATCCGAAATCTAATCCTCCTCAATTCAATTCATCCTCAATTCAATTCCTCATAATCCAATTATGGATTAATAAGGATGCCATCAATATTTTGTTTTTGTTATTTTTAATATTTTCTTCGACTTAAAAAATAAATAAATAAATTCCCACGTGTGCCACCACCTTGCAAGTTGCAACACATTTTCAAGCACACCTTGCAAGTTGTAACACATTTTCAAGATGAAATATTTTGTTATAAAAATTGAAAACATGTCTTAAGTGTGCAAGTCATTTCGGGTATCTCAAAACAACATATAACCAATGTCGTTGTTTTGTTTTGTTTTGTTTTTTTAAATCTGAAAAACAAAGGTCGAGGTTTAATATTGATTCTTGACTAGTTGGACTCATCCCAAATTAAAAAGGAAAAAAAGAAAAGAAAAAAAAGAGAGAGAAGAACATCTTGACTAGTCACACAAGTTGAAATTTTGTACTCACCTTGCACACACCCGCTGCCTAAATTAGGTAGGCATGTGCTGTTGAATTATAGTCATGTTTATCAGCATGAAAATTACCCTTCAGGATGGGATCTACATAATTATATGGTTGTCTAGTCTAATTAATAAAAAATTGTACTTAACAAAATATAAGATGAAAATTAAATCACCTGACCTAGAGAGTTTATCATTTCAGTATTAAACATTTACTTACTATTTGAACTTCAACTTAATTTTTTTTTTCTACACCAACTAGCTCTTCATGTGCAAATGCGAGTAAAGCGAATTGGCCACAGTAGTGAGCCCGATCCTTTACATCCAAGTTTGAATTCCCGTATTTATCGATTAGAGTTGTTTAGATTATCGTTTCACACAAAGAATATTAGGAATAGAAATTAATCACATGACTCTAACTAAAACTCAGGAATTGAAGATAAGAAATTGAGTTTGTGCTCCTAAGTGCTCAATCACTTCAGCTCCAACCAAACCCTTACGACAAGTTGTAACTTAAAGGGACATTTTGGAAAAAGCAAAAGGAGAGAGAAAAATTTTAAAAGAAGCAAAAATGGACAAAAATGCCTTTATTTATTTTTAGATTTCCTAAGGAATCCAATACATTTGCATGTCTTTGATTTGAAAGTTGAGCGGTTTTTTTGTCTTTTTTGAAAAAGCCAAAAGTGAAAATTTTTTTATGTCTAAAAATATACCATCTACCAACACCTTGCACAGCCTAACCTTAAGTCTCAGTCAATGCCCAATTCCATCCATTTTCCCACCAACCCCAAGGACCCCATCTCACCCTCTCCTTCCTTTGCTTTAAAATGCAAAAATTTAAAATGCAAGATTCCTCCAATTCACCTAACCCATTCCCAAAAGGAACGATCCAACTTCAACAAAAACACCTCCTCCTCACCAAACCCCCATGGCCGCCTTTTCCCTCCAGACCTCCTCCTCCTCCTCCAGCATTGCTCGTCTCGGTTCCCAAACCCGATTTTCCGGAGCCTATTTGGGTCCAGACCCGAAATCCATAGGTTTCCCTTCTCACCCTCGCTCTAGTCTCGTGCTTCCTCTCAAGCTCGCCAACAGTAAGAGCAGATCAAGAGCAATGGTGATGGCAGTTGCAGTGAGTGGCAATGACCAAACCCAAATAACGGAAGTCGACATCTCTCTGAGCCCAAGAGTCAACTCCCTCAAGCCTTCAAAGACAGTCGCCATTACTGACCAGGCCACGGCTCTCGTGCAAGCCGGTGTACCCGTAATCCGATTAGCGGCTGGTGAACCCGATTTCGATACCCCTTCTGTCATTGCTGAGGTAGCTGCTTGTTTAGCTTCTTTCATTGACATCTTTATTTGTGAATTTTGTTGCATTGCCAATTGCCAATAATGGGTTGTTTTGAATTTTTTTTCATTTTCAAAGGCTGGGATCAATGCAATTCGTGAAGGTCACACAAGGTACACGCCAAATGCAGGGACTTTGGAACTTCGCGAAGCAATTTGTTATAAGCTCAAAGGTTAGTCCTTTTTGTTTCTTTCTGGATTTTTCATGTGTGATATGTAGTGTATGATTTCACATTTGGAGTTGTAAGTAACGGTTAGGATTTTGTAGAGGAGAATGGGATCTCTTACACACCTGATCAGATCGTAGTTTGCAATGGAGCCAAGCAGAGTATTGTTCAAGCAGTGCTTGCAGTTTGTTCCCCAGGAGATGAGGTCAATTGCTCTGTACCCAATACTCCCACAATCTACTTTAGACCTTATATTTTTTTTATGGATTCGTTTATATCATTTTCATTCATTTCAGATTCGAACTGTATTAGTGGAGTGGAAAGAAACCAAGTGTCAGCTTAATAATTAAGAAATGCTATTTTTTTTTTATCTTTCTGCTTCGTTGTTTTTTGGTGTTATTGTTAGTGGTTATGAATGCATTGTAGTGAGTACCTGTGAAGGTGACTCACATTTGCCAAAAACCTTGTATCTCCAGGTTATAATTCCAGCGCCATTTTGGGTGAGTTACCCGGAAATGGCAAGGTTAGCCGATGCAACGCCTGTGATTCTTCCCACGAGCATCTCCGACAATTTTCTCTTGGATCCAAAACTTCTGGAATCCAAACTCACTGAAAAGTCAAGACTTCTGATTCTGTGTTCTCCATCCAACCCAACAGGATCTGTATACCCCAAGAAATTGCTTCAGGAGATTGCTCAAATTGTAGCAAGGCATCCCAGGCTTCTGGTACACTCACTCTACCTGAACTGAAAGACCTGTACTTTATTACCTCAGCCTTAACATTTTGAATCCTGAATTTTCAGTTACTGTTTTGTTCAGGTTATTTCTGATGAAATATATGAACACATAATTTACAGACCAGCAACTCACACAAGCTTCGCATCTTTGCCAGGCATGTGGGAGAGGACTCTGACAGTCAATGGCTTTTCGAAGGTCAGTATATGGCTAACACCTTGTTGATTTCGTACTCCTCTGGCGTAAAGGTGGCTTGTCCATGTTAAATCTTGATAACTGTTAAACAGAAGAAAAAAACCCCTTGAAGTGGTAGGTTTGATTCTAAAGGTTGACATTTAGAAGGTGGTATCTGTAGGCTTTTGCAATGACTGGTTGGCGACTTGGATATCTTGCCGGCCCTAGACACTTTGTTGCAGCCTGTGGAAAGATCCAGAGTCAGGTATTTCCTACATTAGAATTCCATATGCATCGTGCAAATATATTTTGCCAATTATTTAACAACTAATAATGGCACATGTCTGACAATTGCGTTTTTCAAACCGTTTTTTGTTAGCTTGTGGCATTCATTAATAGTTTTGGGGTAAAAAGTTTGAAAATGTGCTCACACACAAAATAAGAACAAAAAAAAAATCCTTTCAGCCATCCACACATAGACTAATTAATAATTTATGGTCTATGCATTTGAGTATAATGTTAGTTCCAACAAATTCATTTTGATGTTGCTTGCCATTGTAATTAAAGTTTATTCATTCCTACAATGAAATTTATAAACATGGAATATTTTTGGAAGTTTTAATCCTTTGTTGAATTGTAAAATTATGGAGGCAATAAGCATGGTAATGGTGGAATATGTGTTTGAAAAGGCGGTAAGAGGTATCATGCATGCTTTATATCGAGAGGTACTTTAGAAAAAACATACATAATGAGTTTAGTGGAGACATCACTTGTTTAATAGTTTATGCTGCATCAAGTATAAACTAACAGTCTAACATGTCTGGAATGCTATTGATAGTCAACCACCTTTAAGTAACTAAACACCACTACAGCTGAGAGACGGTTCTTAAGTGGCAAAGAGCAGCATGGCGCTGCTATGATAATAATTCTTGTCATTGCTTCTTTCTTCTTCAGCTTCCAACACAAGATTATTTTTTTCTCTGTTTTGGGTTGTAGCTGCTGATCGTTTTGGACATTGTGCTGAAAAATGTCCAAAGTATTTACATTTTAACATTGCTGTTCAGTTCTAGTTTTAAAACTAGAGCCAACACTATTTTGTGCACTCTTAGGAATGGGAATCATCAAATGGTTGGCAGAAGTGGAGCCACCATGGGATTTTGAAAATTCATTTTCCTTTTGCTTGCATTTGCAACGGATTTTTAAATTCCAATACTCTTCTAATGGAGCCTTCTTAAATGTTCCCTTTTGTACTCTTCTTCCATTTGATTAGAAATCTGGATGGGATCATGACTTGCTGCTAAATCCTTAAGCAATATGAGTATTTAATTCTTTGCAGCATGGATATGGATGCCTTTATTCCATGGAAAGTCTAATTTTGTCCAAGCTAAAGAACTTATTGGAATACTCTGTGACCAAGACTCTTCCTGGCAACAATTCTTTGAATGTCAATGAACTTATTGCTTGTCACCACCTGAAAACTAAATCCAACCTGTATAGCCAATCAAGGTTTACTTCAGAAATGTTGTCCTTTTAGAAATCATCAACCTCCAATTTCACACCCCTTTTTACCCCCAATAGTATACATTCTTCTTGCCATGAGGATGACTTTCTGTTAAACCCTTAAGAAATATGCGTATTTAATTCTTCACAGCGCAGATATGGATGTCTTTGTTCCATGTAAAGTATAATCTTGTCCAAGCCAAAGAACTTATTGGTACACTCTGCGGCAGAGAGACTTTCTGGCACCAATTCTTTGACTTTTCGGTGTACTTATTGCTTGGGCAGTGTGTCATAACCATCTGCGTGTCATCTCAAGTTCATGACTGCATACTGAGCTTGTCATAACCACACCTAGTTTTAACCAATGCATAGCTAATTTATAGTTACAAGTATAACGGAACAAGTCCTAAGTTAAGATCATGGATGGTTAATTAGTATCATCGCAAAAGAAATTGAAGATAATTAAATAATTTGGCCTACATTAGAGGTCAATATTTGGACGTCTTCAGTGTTGGATAAAATTTTGGGATGATCAGTATATATACATTACTTTTATTTACATTTGTATATATGTTTGTGTTTTTATAGTTTGCTACACAAAGCTAACCCCAGTGTAATATGCCATAGTTCACCTCAGGTGCCAGTAGTATATCACAGAAAGCAGGAGTAGCTGCCCTGGGTCTTGGCTATGCTGGTGGAGAGGCAGTTTCTATTATGGTGAAAGCATTCAGGGAGCGACGAGATTTCTTGGTCAAAAGCTTTGGTGAACTTTCTGGTGTTAAGATTTCAGAACCCAAGGTACCAGATCTGATAATCCGTTTATTTCCTCTTTATTTTTCTCATTTTCCTTTCCCCCTTGTCTGGAGTATAGCAGTCCTTTGAGGGATTAAATTTTTTGTATCTTTTATCCTAATTTCTTCGTTATATCACTTCTCACTTTCAGGGAGCTTTCTATCTCTTCATTGATGTCAGCTCTTACTATGGAACAGAGGCTGAAGGATTTGGTAAAATTGAGAATTCGGAGTCCCTATGCCGTTACCTACTTGACAATGGTCAGGTATGCATTACCAATGGCTGCTTGTAGATTGCTATTCAGGAAGAGTCATATTTTAGTAGTCCTAATAGTTTGAAATCCCTTGATGGTTCCATAAAATGCTGACATGGGATTGGTCACTATCTATAAAATAAAAGAAAGAAAAGAAAAGAAAAGGAGTACATTGAGTAGCAAACTGACTTCAGTTCTTCATACTTGGGTTGTCATTGATTTACAGGTTGCACTAGTTCCAGGGGATGCATTTGGAGATGATACCTGCATAAGAATATCCTATGCAGCATCCCTCACAACCCTGCAGGCAGCTGTGGAGAGAATTAAGAAAGCACTCATCGCACTAAAGTAAAGCCTGTCTGCCTGCATTTAAATTAAGCAAAATCGTCACTGGTAATGTTGCAACTGTTGTACTTCGGTGTAAATCTGTACTCTAGTAACTCTAGTAATTGTTTCGAAACTAAGTTGGTCCTGTAGGGGACAGTCTAAAATAATTTTTCCGGCGCTGTATTCAACTGTTATGCAATCAAAGGCGTATGTTCCTATTTTATTTATTTTTGGTTAAATCAAAAGTGTATGTTGAATTGTATTTTAAGGATTCTAGACTCATTTTTCAGAATGGTCTTTTCTTAGAAACCTACTGGAATCTGGCATTTTCGTTTGAAATATGATCTACCAAATTTACCTTTTGGAAGCTGAAATATAAGGTTATAGTAATCATTAAGAATTAGTATGTAGTTCAAAAGAAAACAGAGAATGAGGTTACAAAACTCAACTCTGCCCTTTGTTGGCAAAACTTTTATGTTGCAGGTTTGGACTTGTGAGAACGCCGAACCGAAAGTAATTTGCAGTTATTAAACATGGAAATGTAGTCCTAGGAAATGCATCCTAAAAGGGCCGACTGAAATCTTGGGCAGTATTTGGCCCAGCTTTCCAGTCCAGGCGGAATTGCTGTGGATGACCCCGCTCAGACTATAGAAGCACTCGGAAGACCCCAGCTACATGGACCACCTGTTGCCAACTTACCCATGCTGCCTGCGCCTTGTCAAGCCCAGAACAATTATTTATTTCAATCCAATGGCTGCATTAAGTTGCTGTGTCAATTTTTTGTTTTTGTTTTTTTTTATTCTGCATATAATCAATGGCCAGCATATTTTTAAGCAATCTCAATGGGAAAAATTCTAACGGCAAAATTAATTTTTATAATTACTCTAAATCAAATTCAACCCAAAATAATTTTGTGATTATCATTTATCTTAATTGTAATTATGGTTTATCTTAATATGTTTTGATTTTTAAGTGAAATTATATTATGTTTTGGATTTTGGATTTTTTTAGGTTAAAATGTTCAGAAAATTAAATCATGAATGTTGAAATAAAAATAATGTGAAAAAATTAGGGAGTTTCACTAAAACACCAAAAATGGGGACTGAAATTATAAAAAAACCCAACACCCAAAACACTTTATAAACACACACAAAACCCATCATTACACACACTCAAAACTCATTTATAAACACACCCAAAAAATATACAATTGTTGATTTTGGGGTTGATTTTTTTGTTTAAATAGTGCTTGGGTTTTTTTATAAATACATGTCTAGGATTGGGTTTATTTATAAATTTGTAAAAAAATTAACCCAAAAAAATATTAGAGGTTAATCATTTTTAAACAATTTAATAAAGTTATGAACTCAAATTATGAGTATGCATGGTTGGAGGAAAAAACAATTTGAGTTTGGGCAATACATGAATAGTTGTATTTCTAGGGGGAGAAATTTGGGTTTAGCACCATTTGGGTTGGAGATGGCCTCAAAAGAATGACACTATATATATGTTTGTTTTTGTTAATTTATGATGAAATAATTTTTTTAGGGGTAAGTTTATGCTCAAGTATTGTGTAAAGTCCACATGGAGGCCCCTCATTACTTGCAACTTCTTGTTCTAGTCCATTTTTTTTTATTTTAATACAAGTGATAGTCTAAATTACAAGGGAAGGGGGTGTGGGTTTTCTCACACACACTACCAAAGTGTCATAGGGGTTCGAACCTTAGATTATTGATATGCAAGTTAAGACCCTTTTTAACTGGGTTAGACCACTCATCCCTTTTCCACTTTCTTGTTTTGGTCTGAAACATTCACACACAAGATATTAACTATTTGTATTCAATAATTGAAAAATTAGGGAAAATTATTTATATTCACATTCACATCATGCTGCCTTACCCAAAAAGTGAGTTCATGAATGAATACAAAAGGCTTATGAATTTTCATCCTTAAATATATATATCATGAGAAAGGAGAAGTAAGGACAAAGAGAAGAGAGAAAGAAAAGAGACAAAGCATATATTTATGTAGGAAAGGGAATAAATTCCTGCCTAGTTGGAGACTTTGCTTCAACTGTTCCAACATATTCAACAATGGCCTAATGGATGAAGATTGTCAAAACTTGTCCAAAAGGAAGGTTCCCTCCAAAGGTTACCGTTTGAAAAGCAATAGCAGAAAGAGGAGAAAGCAATTCCTGTCCAACTGGAAATGCTTTTGTATATGACATCTTGAGGAAGCTAAGGACTAAAGAACCCCTAGAGCCAAAGCCAAAGCCTGAAACTCTTGACTTAAACTACAAGTAACTCAATCTCACATAGGAGGAATTCCCTTTCTTCCACTCTGGCCTTTCTCTCTCTCTCTCTCTGTTTTTTTAAACTTCACCTTTATATATAACCTGTACGTAACGATGATGAAAATTACCAAAAACCTGAAACCCAAAAAGGGAAAACCAGCTATAACCTCAAATGGATGCTTCTACTTCATCATCCAAAGAAGGCACACCAGAGATTGTGTTCTTTGACATAGAAACAAATGTACCCAATAGAGCTGGACAGAGGTTCTGGGTATTGGAATTTGGTGCAATTGTAGTTTGCCCTCAGAAGCTTGTGGAGCTCGAAAGCTATAGCACCCTCATCAGGCCAGGGGACTTGTCTGCTGTGGCATTGAGATCTGGCCGGTCCGACGGGATCACTAGGGAAACTGTTGCAAATGCACCCTTGTTCAAGGAAGTTTCTGATAAGATATTCAGCATTTTGAATGGTAGGGTGTGGGCAGGCCACAACATCCGAAGATTCGATTGCATTCGGATTAAGGAGGCCTTTGCGGAGATTGGCAGGCCTGCTCCTACTCCGGTTGGGATCATTGATTCTTTAGGGGTGTTAACTGACAAGTTTGGCAGAAGAGCTGGTAATATGAAGGTAAATATAAATGTTACAATTAATTGTTAAACCCTAAACCAAACTGTAATTTTTGGCTGCAAAAACAATCTTGCTTGATTTTCATTTGTTCAGATGGCAACTTTGGCATCTTACTTCAAGCTTGGGCAGCAAAAGCACAGGTGGGGAATCACATTTCTAGTTACTATATACTATTATTGGGGTATATCAGAAGAAATTCACGTTTGTTTATATAATTCCTCAAACCATTTATAGGAGCCTTGAAGACGTTAGGATGAATTTGGAGGTCCTCAAGAACTGCGCAACTGTGCTATTTTTGGTACTTCCCACAAGATCATGTCTATTTGTTTTCCCCCGGTTGATGAATAAAACTTTTAATTAGCCTTTAATTAAACTTTTTAATTTGTAACACCTTAGGAAGCAAGCCTCCCTAGCCTGCTAAATGGCAACTGCCGAGGCTCTTCAACGATCACAACGCGAAGCAGAAGCAATGGGAAATCGTTGTGCAGAGAAGAAACTAGCCGGAAGTCTCCACCCACTGCTTCGATTGGATATCAGAGAGCGGTTCCATATGCGTCAAGGGGGAGTTTGGAAAAGGTTTAGCATTTAAAATCTTAGTTAATAGTTAATATCATTCATGATTAATACTAACGAAAGTGAGATTAATTAAATAATTGGTTCTCCTTCATTATTATTATTTATTTTGAAAGCAGATGACAGAGAAGGTAAAGAATCTGCTGTGTAGAGCTCAAGGAAATCAGCCTCTTAATACCATACTGAAGCATTCTCATTCCCTACTCCGGTGACAAAGCAAACGACGTCCATTTTTCATGCAGCTGAGCAGATGATCTCTTCTCCCTCCTTCTATCCTATTGAGAAACCATGACAGAGAGAGAACACAAATTTACAACTGCCTGCAGTGAAAATCAGAGAGAGGAGATTAAAGCAAAGCAAACAATAGCAACAACTTGAACTAGTTATTATCCTTCGACTAATTGATTCAATATATATTTATAATAATTTCTTTTTTTTGGTTTCAAAACCATCTCTTATTTATCTGCATTCTTTTGTTATTTCTTTGTCTATACTCTATTCATTAATAAACATCCTTCCTAACATCTCATGGATCATGTGATTGTCAGTACACATTGACTAACTAAGCAATTGAATTTGAATATAATTTTCAACCCGACTTATTGATGTCAAAAGTTGGTCGTAGTTAGTTTTGACCCAATTCACTATTAGAGAATTATCTCTAAACCATTAAAAAAAATTGTATAAATGCTAATTACCTTAGATTTCCAGCAGTTCAATAGCTTAGAGAATTAGCTCATCAAAATATCTCAGTTCAATTAACCAATCACCAATTCACACTCTAAGACCCTCAATTAACTCAAACACCCTTCAAATCACAAGGATCGAAACCTAATTAGCGCAAGAGCTCAAGACAATTCGGAATGTGAAGAAAGCCCACAATAATTTACCTTAGAGCTTGTTTGATAACAATTTCAGTTTTTAGTTTTTAGTTTTTATTTTTAAGAAATTGAAAATAGAAAACTTGTTTGGTAACCAATTTTAGTTTTCAAAAAAATTGAAAATTGAAAAATTGTTTAAAAGTTGTTTGGTAATAACTTTGATCAGTTTTCAGTTTTATGTGGAATTTGGAAATGAAATTTTTGGGGGTCAAATTATGAATTTTAGATCATAGAATGAAGTGCATGTTACAAAGAGTTTGTAGTATTTTTTGGAGTTCAAATATTTTTTATTTTTGGGTGAAGTTTGGATATGGAGGTCTCGAGGCTTGGACTAGGTCCGTTGTTGAACACAAGAGTTGAGCGGTCGAGTCTAAGTCGGGAGGTCCCAAATACTGAGTTTTGGTAACTAGAGTGCATTGCATGTGTGGTGATGTAAAATTGGTGACTGAAAAAGGAGTGCAAGAAAAATGAAAACAAGAACAATTTCAAGGATTTTTATTTTTTTAAAAAGAAGAATAAGACAAAACGGCACACAAAGATTGACATGAATACAGTAGCCTCATTAAAACCTTCCTAGGAATACCATTTGGGACAAACCCCAGAGTAAGAAAGAGTACTACACATGTGAAGTATTAACAAGAGAGTCCAATCCATACCACAAAAGAGCGTTACAAGAACAGGAAAAAAAAACATCTAAACGCCAACACAGTAGACCCACAAAGAGAACCGCATCCCAACTGTCAAAAGAAAACTTCTATGACAAAAAGTTATAGTCCCTTGACCACCCACGAATTGCAAAAACACACCAAGGAAAGAAACCCAAGAGAGCACATGGAGGAAGAGCACAAAACAATAACAAGAAAGGCCCTTGAAAAGCACCCAACTCAACTCAGAACTTGGCAGAGAAACTCTTATGACCAAAGATAGGTCTTTGGGTGGCGCAGAGTAAAGACAAGCTGCAAATGAGCAACAAAACAATGTAAAAGGACAGCAAAATAGACGTTAAAATCGAAAACGAAACCCCTCAAAAGGCACACCACCATAAAGACAAAATATCAGCCACTAGGTATTGAAACTTTGCCAAAGAGAGACCCAATTGAACGTCACTAATATTGCTGCCATTGAGATAGAGACAACACCAGCTACCTACAACACTGCCAAAATAATTAAACAAAACAAACACATAAACAAACCTAGACCCAAATAGATTGAGGCTAAAAACCTAAAATCCAAGTAGATTTGAGAAGGAAAAGAGGAAGTTGAGGGAGGAGCCAGCAAGAGCCCCTAGGAAAGTGGAAAGAGAGGGAGGGAGGATAAGGGCGGACAAGAGATTGTCATAAGGATAGTCTATGTCTCTGGGAACTAGGAGTCTCAAAGATGGTAGGATGATGTGGGGTGTCTTGCATTGCACATCGTCATGGGTACTGAGTTTGTATATGCATTCGCTATGTCGTACGACTTAGTCGGCATGCGAGACATTTGTGGATGCCAGAGACATCGTGGTGCACCTTGGCCACACATGTTCTCTCGAAGGATTCAGCATTGTTTGACGTTGTCCAATACATGTGTAGATTCTATTCGGATATTGACGTGTGTAGGTGACGATCACCTATTGACGGATATTTACCAGTATATGCTCAATGTCATGGAACTGTTAATGGGTTCCAATTTGCTCCATCCGTTAGCCAAAGTGAGTTTGTTAAATGCTGATGTGTCAAAAGTGGGACTCATTTTTTTGATGAGGTGAACTTCCACGTGGAACAAAAATTAATTAAAAAAATTAATTTTTAAAATTATTTAAAAAAAATTAAACATATTAAATTAAAATTTAAAAAAAATTAAAAATCCTACCAAGATGATGAAGACGAATTGGAAGGGAATATTTGCAGACCCATTTTAGTTGCTCCTCCTCCTTCCCTTCACCATGAATACCCATAAACCAAAAGCTAAAAACCCAGAAAACACGCTGGTGGAGTGCGGCAGTTGAGGGAGCCAACTCCAGAAACCGCCTATCCCATTTTGCCGTCATTAATTCATAATGGGAAGTAGTTTAAGAACTCGTGCTTAATTTAGCTTATATTATAAAGGGAAATCATTAATTCATTCACAGAACCCACAAAAACATGAACGCTTAAAAACAAATTTGAGTTTGACAGAGAGAAAAGATGGGAATTAAAGCAAAGCAAATTTTAAAAGCTTGGTGGCATAAGAAGAAACGGTATAGTTGATGGTCCAAAACCTCAAGGCCTCGACGCTGAGAACTGATTGGAGGAAGGCTATGGCAAGTGCGTTAGTTGAGAGATTTGAGGGTTGGGCTGTGTTCAGATCTGGTCGCTGGCCCTCTCAAATCCCTCTCTCTTTCCACATACTCGTATTTCAGATCTGGTTTGTAAGTTGCAGCACCGCTGGGTTCGTGAGTTGCATCATCTTGAACTGAAAGAGCTTTTGTTGTGGGAGATTTGGTTTATCTTCGATTAGTCCCGTATCAACACAAGTCCTTGGCTTCTCATCCCTTCCATAAATTGCAGCCTAAATTCTATGGTCCTTATGAAATTTTGGACAAGGTCGGGCTTGTAGCCTATAAACTTAAGCTGCCTCCAACTTCAAAACTTCATCTAGTTTTCCATGTTTCTTGTTTGAAGAAGCATCTTGGGCCAGCTGTGTCTCCTTCCTTGTCACTCCCTGTTATTACTGATGAGGGCATCTTACAAGATCATTATTTAGCTATTTTGGAAAGAAGACTCGTTAAGAAGGGCAATGCAGCATGCACTCAAGTCCTTGTCTTGTGGCAACATCACACTAAGGAGGAAGCCACTTGGGAGGACTATGATAATTTTTTCGTAAGGTTTCATGATTTCCATCCTTGAGGACAATGATGTTTTGCAGAGTGGGGTGATGTTAGGAACCTTCATCATTGTTGAGCTGGATTAGTGATGAGCTGACATAGTCAGTTTGTTAATTGTTTAGTTAAGAAGTTAGCTTCTAATTGAATTAGTTAATGAGAGCTTTACAGCTATATTAGGCAATTATTGTATCAAGAATGAGATGTTGAGAATATTGTACTGTATCGATAATTCAATAAAGAATACTTGTTACTCTGTGTAATTCTAGGGTTAAGGTTGAAAGGGGTTTAATAGTGGCTGGGGTTGCGACGAGGTTGGGTTTGTGAGTTGCGACAATGATGGCTGGAGATGGGGGTGGGGTTATGCTACAACGAGAAAATAATGAGAGAGTTTTCTGTCTCTAGGTTCTCACAGAGAGAGAGAGTGAGAGAGAGATTTTTTAAAATAATTTTTAAATAATTTAAACTGTAAAATAATCTTTTTATTAATTTTTGGTTCACGTGGAAGTCCACATCATCAAAAAATGGGTCCCACTTTTGACAAGTCATAATTTAACATACTCACTAACGGTTTGGCTAATAGATAGGGCAAATTGTAGGGTTTCTATGACGTTAAGCATGTACTGGTAAATGTCCATAAAATCGGGTATGAACTTGTAAATGACCATATTAGTTGGGGGGTTTTATGTAGTTTGTCCAAAATATTAATAGAAAGTAAAGAATATAGGCTTATTTATGTACATGCCCCTGTACTTTAAAATTGTTTCAGATTACCACATGTGTTTGCAAACGTCTCAAAATACCCTCCAAACTTTTAAAAACAGTCTTACGTTACTCGTTTCGTCAGTTTTATAAACATTCCGTTACGTGCGTTGGGCCCCACTTCGTTTTAATCTTTAACCTCCGCGAATAAGGGTTTTTCAGTTCGATTTTAGGGTTTGTTCCTCTCTCTCTCTCTCTCTCTCTCTCTCTCTCTCCCATTTCAGGTTTATAGTTATTACAGAAGTCTACCCATGCCAATCACTTCACACAAATTTGGATCAATTGATCCTATTTCTGGAAGTGAGGTTGGTGATTATAGTGGGCAGTTTGTCTCGAGTGTCTGTTGGAGAAAAAAGTCTAACATAGTTGTTGCTAACTTTGAAATTATTGCAGATGGTGTGAGTATAAGCTTGTTCCCTAGACAATCCAAGGAATCTATTCTTTCCCAAATTAAAACGAAGTGGGGCCCAACGCACGTAACAAAATGTCTATAAAATTGACGAAACGGGTAACGTGAGACTGTTTTTAAAAGTTGGGGGGGGGGGTATTTTAAAACGTTTGCAAACATAGGTGGTAATTTGAGATAAGTTTGAAAGCACATGTAGGAGAATAGATAATTAGATTTTGTTGTGTGTTCTTCTTCTTTCAAATGTGAATGAGGAGTGGATTTTTATAGGCATCCAATAACATGTAACCTTCACCATATTAAACTAGAAAATTAAGGCATTAATATAGAAATAAAACCTGAAAATTAAATATTTATAATCCCCACAATAAATAAAATAAAACAGCCAAAATAATTAAATAAATCAAAACGGTAAATTTTTTAAAACTTTTTTAAAATTCCAACAGTTTGTGACTTGGTTGATGCAGTTGGAGCACCTTGTGCAACACCTTGAAGCATGAGAGTCAAGGATTGTTGCTAGTTGTGGGAAAGCTGTGTCGTTACAATGTTGTGTGGATTGTTTTCTAGCCACAAGGCATTGAGCCTGTGGTGGACGACACTTGTTGGTGAACCTCAAACTCTTAAAGACTTTTATAGAGTGTAAAAGTATGGAGGTATCCAATTTAAACTTTTAATGATTTTATAAAAATCTAGTGATATTCAATTGTGACTTTTTAAAATTATTTAAAAGTTTGATGGTATTCAGTTGTATCTTTTAAAAAGTCTTTAAAAGTTTGGTGGAATCTAAAAAGTTAATGACTTTTAAAAAAACTTATTAAATGGATGACTTTCATATACTTTGAAGGTTAATTATTAATAACAAAAGTCTTGCCAAATTACTAGTAGCTTATAAATTCTACGGAAGTGTTTAAAAATATGTAAACTCTATGAAAGTTACTCAATTAAAAAAAGTCTTTATAAGTACAGAGTGGATACACCTCCATAAGTATTATAATCTCGGAAAAGAGATGTGAGTAGGTTGACTAAGGACCCAAAAGGGCCTTGGGCCACACATGCTATTCTTGAGCACTCTATTTTACTTTTCTGCAGGTAAGTCGTTTTCTCTCAACTTGTGACACTACGCATGATCAGTCACCATTGTAATTTGTGTGTGGGGAGTTTTCCGACTAGGATAATGGAACTTGAGCCATAGGTGTGATTAGATAGTTTGAGGAGTAATTTGTGGCTTTGAAGGACTTAAAATTACTTTGGATGAAAATACCTCATTTAGATTTGAAGAGGGGATTTTCAAGTGGTATAAATGATGAAAAAAAAAAAAAAAAAAAAAAATCAATGACATGATTACTTATTAGGAATGGAGGAATAATTGAATTTGGAAATTTAGAGAGTAATTAAGGAATTGGAATTGGATAAACTACTTGCCCTAGTTAATCTCATTCCTAATTGAGCTTATTTGATTACGGTTTTTTACGTGGTTGCGGATAAACTACTCGACCGATTCCGACTTATATTTAAAAACCTAACTATTACAAAAAAAAAAACCCAAAAAAAAAAAAAAAAAAAAAAATTGCGGAAATGTTTTTGTTTAAATTTTAAAATTTTCGATTTGTTTTCCGCTTTTCATTGATGTATATTTCTCGATTAGGGATTAGGGCTTAAGATTTGGAGGACGAACATGGGCAAGAGAGAGAGGGAAAAGGCCAAATTTGATTGGGACGAAGTAAGCGAAGAAGAACGAAATTTAGCCGAGAAAAACCCTTCGAAATCTATTGCTGAAAGGAACAGTAGCGATGACGATGAGGCCAATGAAGATCTCAGCCTCAAGATCGTCGAGAAAGCTATGTTAATGCGTGCGGCCAAGTTGGCTCCGGACAACGACGTCGTTTTGGGCGAGCCAAGCGGTTTGGTTGAACTCCCTTCTTCGACTTCTTTGCAGGAAGCTGAAGTTGCATCTGCAGATTTGGAGACTAAGACGGTACGTAAAAGGGAGAGGAAGAAGAGGATTAAGAAGACAAAGATTGAAGAAGCTGTGAGTGGTTTTCGTCTTTTACTCCATTTGTTTCTAGAGAAAATTGATTGAAGGAAAATTATGGAAATTAATTCAATCCGTGTAAAATTTAGTTCCTTTTTGCTAGAAATTTAGTTAAGTGTAGTTAGAGAAGTATAAGTGGTCAGTAAGCCAATTTAATTTTCAAAAAAATAAATTTTTGTATCACTTTTTATTTGTGGTCGTTACACATAATGGGATTGAATTGGAGAAATTGATTTGAAACCGGACCATATGATGTCAAAATTGAATTTCCTGATTAGACTGTTTATGTAGATGTCTGTAGGAAGAAATGTCAGTCTGATTTTCTGGCTTTTCTTTGTTGTAGAAGAGGATGAAAGAGCTGTTAAGCTTGTTTCTTATGTATGACTGTTTTGCATCCCATTATTGGTTTAGGTGGTTGCTAACGAGGAAGAGAAGGTAGAGGCAGCTAATGCTGTAGATTTGGCTGAGGCGGAGCAACTGAATAATGTTGAGATTAGCGACAATGTTGTGCTGCGGAAACTACTTGTGAGTTCAAATTTTTGCTTTGAAATGCCCTATTGAAAATGAAAATCCTTATGAAGACCTTAGCTTGGTACCTATCTTATTTCTGTTCTATCAGCGGGGACCAAGGTATTTTGATCCTCCAAATAGTAGCTGGGGAACATGCTTTAACTGTGGCGAAGAAGGTCATGCAGCAGTGAATTGCACCGTAGCTAAGAGGAAGAAACCATGCTTTGTTTGTGGCAGTTTGGAACACCATGCCAGAGACTGCAGAAAGGTTAGTTACTTTCTGAACAAAATTGTCAAATAATATGGAGTAATGAATTGAATTTAATCTCTAGGTCGAAGTTACTACACATTTATTAGTGTCGGGGGGTAGTGGGCCTTTACGCCAAAGGTTTTTTGTTGACTTGAATGAGTTGAGTTGGATTTCTGTTTTCTATGTTGTATCTTCTCTTATTTTTTATTTTTTTAATAAAGGATTGAGGTTCAGATAAAATGTTGACAATTTTCTTTTGGTTGTGCAATTTAATATTCAATTGCTCTATGTCTCTTAATTTCTGAGAAGGATTGGCTAAATGTTGCTCTTGTCAATTTAGGTTATTGACTTTTCTTGTATGTACACATGCTCTCTTCTATTTCTTAGATCATCTTTTGATAAAAAAGATTAAAAAAACAAAACCGAGGATCTCATTTTCCTGTTTTATGTGTATGCTATATAATGTTAAGTTAGTGCTATTACAAAAATTATGAATTGTTCACCAATTCTTGTATGCCACAGTGCTTGTATGGCATTGTACAAAGATAGGTTCCTCAATCTTTCCTGTTTCTTCATCTTGATTGCAATGTTCTCATTGGAAGCTCTAGAAGATGGTTCATGTTCATTTGGTCTCTTATTGTACCTGCTTTAAATCTTTACAGGGACAAGATTGCTTTATTTGCAAAAAAGGTGGACACTATGCTAAAGATTGTCCAGAAAAGCAGAAGAGGGGCTCATTGAAATCCCAAATATGTCTAAAATGTGGAGATTCTGGGCATGATATGTTCTCATGCAGGAATGATTATTTAACCGAGGATCTTAAGGTATTTTTGTGACTTATAAGTCTATTTTCTATATGATTTTTATATCATATTAATCATGAGATATATTGTTTGGAATTATGTTTAAGGGCCCTTTCTAAATTTCTTTTCCTGAATCAGGAAATCCAATGCTATGTCTGCAAGAGATTTGGCCATTTATGTTGTGTCAAGTATGTTGATACTAGTCCCCAGGAAGTTTCTTGTTACAAATGTGGTCAATTGGGACATACTGGTATGGTAAGTCTTGTTACTTGTTTTTAGGGGTGGGGTGGGGGAGGTGCATTAGCAACTGGATATATGCAAGCAAGGCCTATCGTTTTGAAATGGGGCTGGGGATATTATCCAATCAAACAGTGCTAATATGAACATTTGACCTATTGGGATTTGCTTTGATATGTTGTTGATGATTGAGAAGTGGAATTCATGTTGTGTGTGTGTGTGTGTGTGTGTGAGGCATACAGAGATTTTTAAAGTGGTTCTAAGGACCTGTTTTTCAGCCATTCGGTTAGAGATATGGACACGTAAGATATTTTTTTTTGGACGAAATATGGACACGTAAGATAAACCTCAGTATAACTTATATATTATCTTCTGATTGCTTAGGAGGTTTGATATAACCTGGTCATATTTTTCTTTTTCAACATCTTTTGACCATCTAAATATAATATTCTGTTATAAAAAAGCTATAGTTTCTTCTGTGTCCAAAATAGCATACGCATTCTATTATTTTGCTTCCATTTTGCCGAAATAGTCTACCTTTCTTTTTTTCCTTCTTTTAAGAAAGGGAATTCTGTACATGCAGGGATGCGTAAGTTTGCGTGGTGGGGAAACCAATGATTTTGGATCACCTCGTTTATGCTACAAGTGTGGTGAACGTGGTCACTATGCCCGTGCATGTACAAGTTTTGCTAATGTAATTCTCAGTGTACACCTCCCAGAATTATTTTTATATTGTGCAATCTTCTTCTATGTTGACTGTGGGTAGTGCTAGTCTTACTTTCTGAAAACGCTAACTGCAGTACTCTGTGAAACTTGCAGACTCACCAGAGATTTGGGGAATTATCTAATTACTCTACTCCCATTTTGAAATCTCATAAGGAAAAGAGAGACTACACGGGGTTCAAGTCCGCTCCGCATGACCTAAATAAAGCTCACAAAAGAAAACAGACCCAGTATGAAGAAAGAGGTATGACGACCCCACAAAAGACTAAGCATAGAGGTGGCTGGATAATGGACGATCCAGGGGATTTCTCCCCTAGAAATGGCAAAAGGAACAGTTGGAAGTCTCCAGCAACACCACCATCTGGTAGGGTTCATGCTTCAAGTTCTAGATCCTCTAAAAAAATGTGGAAGGTTTCTGGAAGTCCAATCTCACAAGGGCAATCTAGGTCTTTTCAGCACAGATATTCTGCATCGAGGTTTAGCAACTCTAGCGCTGATGGTATTAGAAGAAATTATGATTGGTGGTAGCCAATAGGTTTTACACAGGAAAGTCCTTTGATGTTGTATCTTATTCTTTTCCTTATTCTTGTTGTTTTCCCCTCTTTCTATAGATGCCCTTGATATGTTTCCTATTTCAAGTTCAACTCTAAGTTTAGGCAGACAAAAATGAGCCTGTTGGATTTTTTTCGTGTTTCTTTTTCCATGGATTTAGAATATAGTGGCCACATATTTTAAATTTTATTGTTATACACATTAATGGATGCGTTATTTTTATTTCCTTACTTTTTAGGCTTTTTATCACAAAACGTCCTTGACATTTGCGAAACTATTAAATTGCATTCTTAAAGTTTTTTTGTATCACTCATGGTCCCTAATGTTAATATGGGTGCTCTTAAATAGTCAATATGTCAAAAAAACTGTTAAATCCAGGGATAAAATTGTCAAATCGATCCCTTTTGACCTCTTCAATGCCTCATCAACTCACAGTTGTAGTGATGAAAAATCTGAAGAACACCGTTGCAGAAAATGTTTAGCCACGAAAAATTTGATGAACATCCGTCGCTAAAAGCCTTGGGTGACGAAAAAGCTTCAAATTTCTGGGCAAAATAGCAGCTGGGTTTTTTGGGTTTTAGGTCCTTTTTTGAGCTTCAAATCGTCCTATGACATTAGAATGTAAAATAATTTCATAGAACTGATGTATAAATTAAATAAATAAACTACAATATATCATATGATCATATGCAGGGGCACGCAGCAAGATGAATTCCTTCAGGTGAGGAGGAACCAGCTGGACCTTACTCTGGAACCATTATATTCATGCAACCTCTTTGCTGCTTGATCATCAATCAGTACAAATAGAACAAAACAAAACTACATATGTTGGTTTGGTTGTGTATTAAATTTCTGGTTTCTTGGTAAATTTGAACCTAGACATTGGTAAGGTATGTGGTCGCAATCCAATCATTGACAGACTGATTATCAAACACAGCCAATGGGGATTTGAACTTTCAAAAACTGTTATATTTTGATGCCATAATTGTTGAGTAAATATATGTATGCTATAAACTCCATATGACTGCCGTTTTGTCTAAAAAAAAAAAAATAATTGAAATGGTAAATAAATGGTAAATAAGTTATTAGAAAATGTTTGAATATAAGACACTGTGGTTATGCACAAGAAAAGGAAATGGAAATATCATGTGAATGAAGTTCATATATAAGAGAAAGGTTAACAGCTAGAATAACATATATCTCATTTTGGACAATTAATCTAATGATTGATTTGATGATTATATTCATGGATTTAACAGTTTTATTTTTATTTTTATAGAGGAATTATTTAAGAGCATCCGTATTAACGTTTGGGACCATGAGTGATACAAAAAAACTTTAAGGATGCAATCTGATAGTTTCGCAAACGTCAGGGACGTTTTGTGATAAAAAACCTAATTTTTATGTTATCAGGCAACTTTTGCATTTGTTGTCTTGATCGGTAAGTGTTACCTTTATCTTTCGGGAGCTTCTATAATGAGTTGCTATGTTGATGGGGTGTGTTGAGGTATTCAATCTGCCCGTTCAATAATAGCTCTTCAATTATGGTGGGTCACAATTGATGGAAAATTTGCCCCTTTTTTTATTTTATTAATTAATTTATATTTATGTTTTTCTTATTTTTGGACTGAAGACAAGACCTCAAGTGCATGATTTGAGTTATGAGCTTCTTGTCTATCCCTTTTGCTAATGAATCTCATTTCAGAAACTTATCATACCAGTAAAACTTTGAAACATTAACACCGTTTGAATTACATTATTTATTACACATTCCTTAATACCACAACCCACTAAACAAGCACATATAACTGCCAGTGTCACAAGTTGAGTTGAGGGGTGAGAAGATTGAAACCATCATCTCATTATTTATGTCCCATCCACATCTATGTACATAAGTAGACTGGGACTTAGGGTAAGTAGCACACATGACAAAAACAAGCATATAGTAATTAACCTAAATGAGAAGGATGTGAACATTCTTCTGAAGAGCTAGCATTAACAAGCTGTAGCAATTTTTCCACCAAAACTTGCATCCACCGCTTCTCCGACCGTCACGAAGACTCGCCCTCCAATTTTTCCCACAAAGTTGGATAGCTTAAGTTTGTGAATCACTTGCCATCTAGGGTTGGCAACGGCTAACTGTGAGAGAGAGAGAGAGAGAGATAAGAAGTTTAAAACAAAGGAGAATGTGTAAATTATGCAATTAATTAGTCAAAGAGGGAAACTGTCTCTTACCTCAATTCCTTCGGAGATCAAATTCTTTTGCAGCTCCTCTAGAGTAGCTATTCCAGATGTATCAATGTTAATCAAATCTGGCATACAAGGAAAAGGAAAGAAATTATGAATCTCTTCAAATAATGAGTAATGTTAGGGAAACCATATTGTGTACCACCTATCTAATACATGTAGAGCTCGCCAATGCGAGTAGGTCCTACCGTGATTTTGTAGTACAATATAACAAGGTCTCGCTAGCATTTTCCTTCTAATATGAAAGCTTGCTGGTCAATGCTGATCTCGATTTTCACATAGTCTCAGTAATTACGTTGTGTTTCTAAGTAATGGTATTTGGTAAACCTTCACAACATCTCCTGAAATACGATCCTCTATCTTTATTTTTGGTGCTTATGTAGTGTTTAAAATCCAAAACGACGTATAAGCTCTGGGTTATGGATTATGTTTTAATGTTTAGGGTTCAATACGTATAAAGTTGGTGTAACAAAATTAATTAAACAGAAATCTAAAACGACGTAGCTTTTCCGTGAACCACTTACTAGACATGTCAAGAATTACGAGATGAATGGCCTCTTTGTCTTTGGTCTGCCCTTTGGTGTCCGCAACTTTCTGTGCAGTTATCCACCTCACAATCCTTGCATTAATTCACACCACAATACAATTTAAAAAAAATTACATGTTATTTTTTCATGATTGGGTTTTAATTTAGAGTAATATCATGTTGTTGTGTGATTAATTAATTAAATACCTTTCTTTAACGAAATTGGCATTTGCAAAACAAAACAAGGCAGACTTGACACGGATTATCATAACTCCAGGAATTTTAACAGCCATTGGATATTGTGCTGTGTCGCAAAACATTTCAGATCCAGGAAGTTTTCCAAGAGTTTCTGTGCCTGGTCGGATTGAGATGAGAATAATTTTTGTGAATGATATGGTCACCTGCAAACGTAACACTAATTAATGTTAGAGCACCAACATTTAAAAACATGTACAGGCCTAAACCCTTCAACCCTTCTTTCTAACTGGGACCGTCCGATGTCAACCACGTTCTAAGTTGACTTCGTTGATACAAACGATATTGAAAGAGGGAAGACCCGAACCTAATTTTAATTACTAAAAACCCTTTACTCCTCATAAGCTGAACATGGATCATAAATAAAGAGATGTGCCTTACTATCAATTTAATCAGATATTCTTCTATCTCCCAGGAACAAATCCACTAAATATTAATTAATGGTAGTCAAGAACTTTAATCATATATTGTTTTTGGAAGATGCTTGTTGAAATAGAAAAGAAAAAACAAAACTAGAATCAAGAACTTTACAAGCCAGGAATGTCGACTATCAACCATCCACTATTATATCGTAGTGGTTCCTTTTTTTTTTCTTTTTTTTTCTGTCTGAAAAGCTGAGAAACGTACGGCCAAGGGTGGAGACTTTTTATTAATTAAAAAAGTGTGTTGTGTTCTATTTGCTGGCCCAAAAATAAAAAAAAAATAGAAAGAAAAAGAAAAAAATGAAAGTTGAGTCCTGTCGTGTCATCCATAGTGTTGCACGCATAAAGTAAATAAGAGCCATATATAATGTTATTACCGCCACTAGAAGACCAATCTCCACAGATGCAAAAAGCACTCCGAAGAAAGCTCCTATGCAAGCCAAGAAGTCTAGCTTATCAACCTTCCAAATTTTGTACATTTTATCGAGGTCAACGAGTCCCGGCAGAGCTGAGAGAATTATGGAAGCAAGGATTGCTGTTGGGGTGTAATACAAGAGCTTTGTCAAAAATTGCAAAGATATGATCACTGTAATGGCCATGACGATATTTGACACCGGAGTTTCACAACCGGCACTGTAGTTCACGGCCGTACGCGAGAATGAACCTGTTCATGATTAAAATTAAAATGAAAACGCATTCTATTATGAGAGATTCACTATTATATCTAATATAGGGGTTTAAATTATAAAAAAAATTCTATATAAAATGGATTTTAGATTTTAGAAACACACAAAAAACTCATTTACAATATAACAAGGAGGCTTCTAACTTCTTATAAATTACAAAACTGCTATCAATTTCTTAAAACAAGCAAGCTCAACCCCAAAACTTCATTTAAAAAAAAACTCAAAACACTCAATAGGACGTCAAAGTAATTTAATAATCAAAATTATATTCAATAGGGTCAACTGTTATTTTTTGGATTTTTTTTGAATTTATTCATAGAAATTAAATAGTGTAGAGTTTATCCATATCATTAGTGCTAATAATGTTAAGAATGAGTATATGACTAAATATCTATTCTATTATATCTTATCAGCTGTCAAAATTAGTAGTCCAAGTTATCAAGAGCTAGCGTAACTCCATTTTACTGACCATGTGAGACGCACCCATATTAAAGAGATGGTATAACACACGAAACATTGACATGATACAAATAGCAGTACTCTTCTATAAAATTACTTACCGGTTGCAACATAGCAAGAAGTAAAGGATCCTACTATGTTCATGAAGCCCATCGCCATCATTTCCTTGTTCCCATCCATGTGGTACCCTTTTATGGATGAAAAAGATCTTCCAACTGCAATTGCTTCCTGAAGTTTGCCAAAATATATACAATAACATCATTCAATATACAAAGGAGTGAATTAATAATCAAAAGGAAACCATCCATTAATTTCTTAGTTTTAATTTAAGATTGTGATTGAGTGATAACCAACCGTGAGTGCAACGAGAGCGACAATGAGCCCAACTTTGGCCACATCCCCAACATAGGGGCCGTTGAGCTCTAACAGATTAACTGAGCTGGGGTTTAAGCCATCTTTGATATGTTTAATGATCTTAATTCCATGCTTATCCCCCCTTGTTAGATAAACAATAAGCGTCGATAGTATGACAGATAGGAGAGGAGCAACGGCTGGCAACCAGAAAAGTTTCTTGTTCTTTTTACCCTGTAGGGATCAGAACGTGCAGAGTAGAACTTTGGTAAGTTTAAAATGAATGAATAAATAATGACCCAATTAGAGCAACCGTAAAATATTACTAACAGGGTTGCAGTGTTAATTACTCACCAGATATCTAGATATTAAGATGAAACACAGGAAAGAGCAGCCAAGAATAAAATTATGAGGGCTCCACTGCAAAGAAAGACATGGATATGAATGATTGAATGAATTCTATATATATTCTAATAAGGAATCATATTTTTATTTGTATTTTCTTAAAGTCAAGTAAAGTGACTTATACAGGATGGTGGAAAGATGTCCAGACAGCTTCCATAACAGAGATAACATCAGTATTGGTTGGAAAGTGAGTGATCCCAAGTAGCCCTTTCAGTTGTTGAAGACCAATGATGATGGCTGCTCCCGCTACGAACCCTACGATTGCGGCATGGGAAAGAAAATCCACAAGAAACCCCAATCTGATGATAACCAAAACAAGAAGGTAATTTTAAATTAAGAAGTATACAGCAAATAAAAAAAATTAAAAAAAATATATATATATTACGACAACTACGCACATATGCTTAAGTCACATGCTCAAGAGTCGAGAGTATAATACAGTTTAGTATAGTCCAATCCAGTACAGTCCATATGATACCTGAAGAGTCCGAAGGAAGCTTGGAAAATACCGGTGAAGAACGTCGCGGTGAGAACGAGCTTGGTGTAAGCAATTGGATCAGCCCCGGGGTCTTGTAACTTCTGAATCATTGAGGGCAAAAGGAGAGACACCACAGCTACAGGTCCAATTGCTATCTCTCTTGAAGTCCCCATTACAGCATAAATAAGAGGTGGTACAACACTTGTATCTAAGACCAACAGCACAACACATAATTAAGTCTACATACAAACACTTGGAAAAAAAATAAACTTATAATTTAAGCTACATGACTTACAAAGACCATATTGGGGATCAAGCTTTGCTAAAGTTGCATATCCAATACTCTGCATTCAGATTCATATAAAGGCAACATGCTATATGAATTAAGTTGTATTATACTAACACTGATTGTTATAATCCAATGCGATTTAATTTTACCTGGGGAATGCAGAGGCTTGCTATAGTTAGACCAGCCAATAAATCATGCTTGAATTTTGAAATGTTGTAGCTCCTACCCCATACAAGGATAGGAAATATCTCCTGCTGGATAGAGACTACACTTTTGAGTGCTGGCTGATTCTTGAGAGATGAGTACTTGTTTCCACAGCACGACGCCGTCTCCCTCACAGAGTCCATGAGCTCATGCCATAGACCTGGAGGTTCAGGGCCATTCAGCACCCATTCAGACCTTTGAACAGGGTTGCTGTTTTTCTCGAGGTCAAGCTTTTCCTCTGCTGTTGGGGTCTCAACAGCTAACGAGGCAGTGCTTGGTTGTTTGAAGTGTTTGGGGGAACTTGGAAGGATATCCATGGGACTAGTTTCTTGATCACCTGAAAACTCCATAAATTCGAGCCATGGCCCCGGCGGCCGGGGCGCATGGAGCACCCAATTAGCCTTTTCACCATGGTTAGTGGCTGAAGAGGCCATTGTTGAGTGGTGTTCAGGGAATACAATTATCAAAAGATAGGCACCAGAAGGACAAGGTTTTTGATGCTAAAGTGTATGTCCATCCTAACTGAAGGGCTTTATAAATCCCTCAAAAAGTCATGGTTATTATTTTAAAATTAACGGGAATTTGAACTTGAGATATCCCTAACATTAACATTTGAAAAATAAGTACCACTAAACTGAAAATTAGTAAGTAAATTGAATGGTTGAGAGAATTTTTATTTTACCAAAAATATATTACAGGTCCACATGTATCCAAATTTAGTGGAGGGGGGGTAGACCAGAGTAAAATCTTGGTGGAATCCATACTTTTTTGACATCGACATATCAGGTATCTTGAAAATGCGAAGGTGGTAATTGTTTATACTTAGCTGACATTCCCACTACGTTTCTTAATTAATTTGTTCTACGTGGAAAAGTTTCCCATCTTTCAAAGATATCCAATTTATCACTGAATTAAATACTTGCTTATAGTTTGGCAGGTTAGAAGGCCCTCAAGTATTGACAGAAGGAAACAAAAAAACCCCGCTTAAATAGACATTAGCGAGATCATCAGATGAATCTTAAAGTTCTTTGGATAGATAATTGCAAGTGAAGCACACCTAATTACAATTTGTTAGGTCACTAGTATAAAACAGTAATTAAAAAGCAAAGCCATCCATCCTTGTTTTTTTTTCTTTGAGGAAGTAGAAAATTTTATTAAACTATCCAAGGATACAGACTCGAGCAAACAAATGTGGCCTCATTAAAACTTTTCTAGCGACCAAGTGGGACAAAACCTAAAGCGAAAAAAAAGAGTATGCGCTCCATAAAGGCTACAAACAAAAATTCATGACGAAAAAAACCTTGTCGGGGAACCCAGAGGATGTCATTAATGGCAATCTTGGCCGTCTAATTCAACGACCAACGAATCATAACCAGCATCCCATGCAAAGCATTGATGAACTCTTACAATGTCTTTTAGACTTGTATTAGACCTTCTATTTGAGTTTTAAATAAATTTAATTTACAGTCCTAAGGAATATGGTTTTGGATTAGGACCCGACACTCCTCCAAAGAAATAATGCATTTGTACGTTTTTGCCAAAATCCAAAGGAACTGTTGTGCACTTCAGTGAGTGCATGACGTTTTTACAGCTAGGTGAATCATAGGTCCCAATCTAAATGAACCCTAGAGATGACCCCTACATACATTGTTATGTTGCTCAATGCAATTCATGGTAATAAAAGCACGAATATTAGTCTCAAGAGTGATATTATTCAAGGTCCAATGGAACAACTCAAAGAAAAATTCCAGAGGTTATTAAAAGTTGCTTGGACTATTGCTCAACTTCCTTAAAGACCTACTTAATCACACTAGAATAAGTCACTCAAATCCATGTTGAACAAGAAAACTGCAAGATAGGAGTACAAAGTGTTGAAAGAGGAACCACTTCCACTCGAAACGCACTTCCTCTCTGAATCAATAGGATATGGATGACTGACAGAAAAAAGCTGGACCTAGAAAAAACCTAGTGTTTTTGGATGCTCGAGCACCAACCATTGAGCTCCAACGACCTTCGCCATTTTCACCTAATTTTGATCCATTTTCACCTAAAACTCTTCTGGTCGGTCTCGAAACTAATTAAAATCCATTAATTCTCACAAAATTTTGAGCCGCAAATCCCAACATACATATATGACACATAGAAGTAAGCCATAATGCATGTGTACATTATGCACCCTTTATCCTAAGGCTGTTGTTTCCATTATTTTCCACCTATCATTTTTGGTGGAAGATATAATTTGTCAATATGCCATATACACCATTCATATGTGGCAAGACTCGCAACCATTCGTCTGGGCACAAATAGTTTCACCCAATAAGTATGCGATATGGATGGAGCGTGATGTGAAGTTGCATTTTCAACTTCCATTGGATATGAAGATGTTGTCACTTCAAAATATTATTTGTGTAGAAAACTTGCTATTGGTGTTGCCATATATGTTTGTAATGATTGGTTTCCTTTGGCTCCGGAGTAACCTTGCCCAACCTAACTGCACCGAGAGCTACAGCATATGGCAAAATGGGATATATTCTACTCCCTTATTACGTACTCAGTTCTAAAAAGAATATTGGATTAAGTACCTTCAAAGAGCAGGCAAACTGGATATATATATATGGAATATGGATTAAAATTATTTCCCCTCATTGGGAAATTTAGAATTTTTTTATTTCAAAGATCCCCAACTTTTTTGAATTTAGACATGTCATTCTAGAATTGACTTCTCCTTTAGAATATCAGAATGGATTTCCTCCAGGAAAGCTAGAGATCTTAACAGCTGACCTAACTGACAAGACACCTCTTGACTGAACTAACTAGCCCATTAGTTTCTAATTTTAAAATAGTGCTATTATTTCCACTCACATGTCCCCCCCCCCTATCTTCTCACATACTATGTAAATTTGAAAAAATAAATCCTATCTTTCCACCCACCATTATTCCTAAAATACCTTTTAATTATTAATTCAACCAAACACCATGACATCAAACAAAAAAAAAAATATTTTTTTTATTACTTTAAAAAAAAAAAAAAAAAAAAAAAAAAAAAAAAAACTTCATCTTCTTCATGTCTTTTCAACTTCACGACCAGAAATCCCAATGAAACATCATTACAGTCAACCCCTCAATCCTTTTGGAAGAATTACCCAAATTTACACTACCATATCAATATTCTTATCAGCCCCTTAGCAATACTGGTGGCTTCACCGCTACGACACAACCACCACAACAACATGGCAACGACCAACATGATTGCCATGGATTTTAATTGAAGTGATGTTATATGGATAAGGACCCGCATGTGGGTTAATTAGATTGAAAAATCTTTAAAATGGAATAAAATTAAAGGAAATTTGGCCTTTATTATCAACACCCACCAACCGACACAATATTAAAGGTGGAGTTGTGAATTTGATTTTTCTTATTTGTTTTACTTTTTCAAAGGATTGGGATGGGTAGATCGGTGCTTGCTGGATTTGTTGAGGTCAAGAAGATGGAAAAAATATATGGAGAGTTGAAAGAAAAAAAAAAAATTTCTTTTTAAAATTTGTTTTATTTTTAGGGTTTTAGAAGTCATTTTACAAAGGGATAAATTTGTCTTTAAATTTTTTAAGATAAGGTGAGTGGGAAAATAAGACAGGTGGGTGGAAATAGTAGCACTATTTTAAAAAGCACTCTTGAGAGAAATGTTGGCGTGACTTGTGGATCATTGACTTTCTTTCCTTACACACCAAAGATTTCCATTATAATTATATTTGATTTACTTTAATTCTTGATTTCCTACTGTAAATAGAAATAGGAACTTATTATTTACTTGGCCACTACCTCCTACAAGGAGAGAAATATACAAAAACTTCTCACAAACAAATATTCTCATATTAGATTTCATATTTTAGCATGGTATCAGAGTGATGATCTTGGAATTGCTAACTCTAGTTTCAAACTCCTGCTACCGCTATGGGGGTTGATGATTTTTTTAGCCCTCATAGAGGTAGCACAGCCAACTCCTTCTCTCCTTCTATCCTTTTCTCCTTCTCAACCAATCATAGTCTAGTTGAGTGCCCATGTGGCTCAATTCCTACAAATGCAGACTTCAACCATGAACCCGATTATGAATCAGGATCCTATTTTGATGACCATGAACCCAATCCTAAATCAGGATCCTATTTTGACGACCCTGACCTCGACTACGACGACGATGACCCCGATTCCGATGACAACCCTGACCCTGAATCTATCTCTAATTCAGATCCAAATCCCGACTTTGACCCCGACTCTAACTTTGATCCCCACTTAGGCTCATATCCCGATCCGAATTCCTACTAAACCTGTATCTTATGCATCTTCCGTTGCACAGATTATGACTTCCCGACTAATGATCCCGACACATGGACAAGATTGCGCATATTGTGGTGATCCGAGACACACTCGTGAGACTTGTTTTAAATTGCATGGCTACCCGAATGGTGGGCCACTCTCAAAGATCGAACACAACGAGATACGACCAGTAATGATATTGGTTATGGATTCCATACTTCGAATAAAAGTGATTCCACAAGCTAGATAATTGATTCCAATGCAATTGATCATATGACGTTTGATCTTGATGATTTTCTGAATACTACCAAACCCCAACGAACTTGTATTGCTAACGCCAATGGAGTTACTTATCTTGTGACAGGGGCTGGCACTATTGCGTTTTCATCCTCTCTCTCACTGTCCAATACTTTACTTGTTCCATCTTTATCCAATAAATTGATGTTCGTTAGTCAGCTTACTGAATAATTGAATTGTTGTGTACTCATTTATCCGAGTTTTTCTTTGCTTCAAGATATTCACACTAAGGAGATTCTTGGTTGTGGTACTAAGAGAGGGAGGCTATATTATGTAGATGACTTCAGTCCCGGCATGGCTAATAGTGTGACACATCCCTTTGATAGCAAACAAAAGAAAATCTAGTTGTGGCATCGTCGATTGGGACATTCGTCTTTTAGTTATATGAAATATCTTATACAAGATTTATTTTCAAGTTTCAAGAACTTCGAATTCATAGGTGATACTTATATTTTGGCCAAGAGTTACCGTGTACCATATCCGTTGAGTACGAACAAGTGTACTACTCCGTTTATGTTATTCACTCTGATGTCTGGGGACTTTCATCTATCATCGCTTCTTCTGGCATTCGGTGGTTTGTCACATTCATAGATGATTGTACACGGATGACATGGCTTTATTTGCTGAAGAATAGAAACGAAGTGTTTTCCCGTTTTCAGTTCTTCCACAAATATATGAAAACTCAGTTCAATGCTCAAATGTAGATTCTTCGCTCAGACAATGGTGGAGAATTTGTCAATCATGATTTTCAGACTTACTTCCAACAACATGGAATTATTCATGAGACGACTTGTTCTTAGACATCACAACAAAATGGTGTTGCTGAACAAAAACATCGACATCTTTTTGAACTCGCCCAAGAACTTCTATTGGCGCTCATGTTCCTCGCCATCATTGGGATGATGCTATTGTCACCGCAGTTCACTTGATCAACCGCATGTATTCTAGTGTATTGACCTTTAAAACTTCCTTACAAGTGCTTGTGTAACAAAGGCCCCGACCCATTGTTTTGGTACTCATACCCCGAATCTTTGGACGTGTGACCTTCGTTCATCTCCACAAAAATAAATGTAGCAAACTTGATCCTTGTGCTCTTCGTTGTGTTTTTGTGGGTTATGCCACTCATAAGAAAGGCTACCGTTATTATCACCCTCCTAACCGATGTACCTATATCACTTCAGATGTGACTTTTCTGGAATATGAGATGATCTTCTATGACCCATCATCCAATTCTATGCTTCAGGGGGAGATACAATGCTAAGAACAAAATTGGAGCAACTTGGAAAATGAAGAAATTCGCCTCTCTGTACAGAAAAGATTGATCGTCCAAACCCGACGATTGATCATCCTGAGTCTGGAGCATGAGATTGCTCTCTGCCGAAAAGCGATCAAATGCCCATTCATAGTGATCAATTACTTGACCCACTTAACCTCTGTGAAGATGTTTTTGATCCGAGTCCCACACCTACAGATAATACAGAACAACGAGATGAAGACCTCCCTCTAACTCAACAGTACCAATGCACCAATCTCTTGAGAATATCCTCGAGGTAACTACTCCTACTATACTTGTGAATTTAGAGGATAAATCTATTGGATACCAATTACCTTTTAAGCAAAATCATGGAAAGCCACTAAACCGTTATTCACCAGATATTGACAAGACATCAAACTATCCAATTGCGAATTATGTATCCATTGAGAAGTTGTCTAAACTACTCATGGCCCTTGTGCATTAGTTCTCTGCTATTCATATCCCAACCAAGGTTGCTAAAGCATTGAGAGATCCTAAGTGGGTTCAACCTATACAGGAAGAGATGAAAGTTCTTGAGAAGAATCAGACTTCGACACTGAAAATTTTACCACAAGGAAAAAAAGACTATTGAATGTAGATGAGTTTTTACCATAAAACAAAATGTGGATGGATCTATCGAGCGATACAAGGCAAGACTTGTGGTGAAAGGATACACACAGACTTATGGTGTAGATTATGAAGAAACCTTTGCACCAGTAGCAAAATTGAATACAGTCAGAGTCTTACTGTCCCTCGCAGCTAATTTAGATTGGCCATTACACCAGTTTGATGTAAAGAATGCTTTCCTACATGGAGAACTCATGAAGGAGGTGTATATGGACACTCCTCCTGGATATAATACTACTAAGATTGGAACAATATGCAAATTACGAAAGGCGTTGTATGGACTAAAATAGTCACAACGTGCATGGTTTGTGTGGTTCACCATGGTAATGAAGAACAATGGTTTCAAACATAGTAACTCAGATCATACTCTGTTCTTGAAACATTAGAAAGTGAAGGTAACAACTTTAATAATCTTTGTTGATGACATGATTATTACTGGTAATGATAAACAAGAAATATCTTAGCTACAAGACTATTTAGCTACTAAATTTGAGATGAAGAATCTAGGTGGACTCACATATTTCTTGGGGATTGAGGTGGCCCGATCACAACAAGGCATATTTCTCTGTCAAAGGAAATATGTCTTGGACTTATTGACAGACAAAAGAATGCTAGATTACAAACCTGTAGACACTTCTATTGTTCAGAATCATCATCTTGGAGAATACCTAGATCAAGTTCCAACTAACAAAAAAGATATTAAGGTTGGTGAGAAGATTAATCTACTTGTCTCATACTTGGCCAGACATTGCTTATTCGGTGAGCATCGTTAGTAAAATTATGCATTCTCCGAGTGAAGACCACATGAATGCAGTTATTCGAATACTTAAATATTTGAAGTATGCACCCGAAAAAGGACTTATGTTCTCAAAACATGGTTATCTGAATATTGATGGTTACACATATGTAAATTGGGCAGACAATTTCCAGTAGAGCGTTTCACAATTCATTGGACTAGTTTGGCATTGCTGACATTTATGCACCAACGTGAGGGGGAGTGTTGGCGTGACTTGTGGACCATTGATTTTCTTTCCTTACACACGAAAGATTCCCATTATAATTATATTTGATTCACTTTAATTCCTGATTTCTTACTGTAAATGGAAATATGAATTTATTATTTACTTGACCATTAAGGCTCCATTGTATTGTAAATATAACCTCATACAAGGAAAGGAATATACATAAAATTCCCACAAATAAATATTCTCATATATATATATATTATATATATAAAGAAAAAAATGGCAACAGTCCAAATATATTAGGTTTCATATTTTAGCAAGGAAATGTCTTTTGGAAGTGGGTGTTTATGCGCAATTCCTTCATGTCATGGAAGTATTACAGCTTACGTGTCATCTGTTACAGTAACACATTAAGAGCATCCACAGTGGGAGGGTGTATAATGAGGTGTATGTTAAATATACACCATTTGTGATCGGAATCACCTGCAATGGAGAGGTGTAAACGAGTGTAAATTTGCATCACCACCATGAGATGGAAATTTAGATGCATATATACATCTTTTTTTACATCTCTTACAGGTAGGACCTACATGAGAAAATGTGAGAAAAAGTGGGACCTACAACAAAAAAGGTAAAAGAAATCAATTATACATCTTTAGATTTAAATCTTTCACACTGGAGCAAAAATCACATTTACAACTCCCGGAGATGTAAATGAGATGTAAAAGTGGCTTTATACCCCCGAAAATACACCCTACTGTGGATGCTCTAATTCTTAGGAAGAATGCTACCGTTGGTCCCGCGCCACGTAGAGGGATCCATAATTATCAACGTTTTGAGACGGTTCTGTGACTGATGCTAGCACTCCTTTGGGGTTTGCAAGACGAAGAAAATGGTAGTGTAGTTGGATGGGTTTTAACCCATAATTTTTTTGTAGACCATCAATGCATTTGCATTTCTGATTCAATCACTACAACCACTTCCGTGGAAGACATACATTCCTTGTTATGGAGTACATACATGATTTGATGGTAGGACACGAGGGAGATAGTGATGAAGTTAACAATCATTTCTGGTGATAATTAAGTACTACATGGACTCCACATACTATGTATGTGAAGAATTATTTATTAATTTCATCACATGACTAAATCGTTTGCGGTTTATAAAGCCGATTATTTGACAAGCAACCTTAAAAATGAACGGTTCGCATAAAAAAAACCATATCGTGAGAGGTGAATTCAAATGATTAGTTACTGCTTTATTAAGTTATGTACTTACCAGCCTTAAGTAAATTTTTTTATAGTAGGATTAGAGTTTTAAACAGGAGTGGAAAGTTGAAACTTTAAAGTGATAAACAAGTAAATTAGTCCAAGGAGACCAGAAGGTCCGTTCCCTTTTCAAATTGATAGAGTGAACTTTCTTATGGACGTCTAAATAGTTGAGCATCCAAACCTCTCAAATTAATTAGCAATAATGGCTAGAGTCCACTCCTTGCATTCAAGTTCGATTCTCTTTCCCGTATATCAGATTAATTTAGAGTAATTTAAATTATCGCCTGTATAAAAAGAAATTATCGACTAGAATTGGAATCAAGAAAAAGTATCATAGAGGCGATGCTGGCTTCCAGCCACTTAAGTGCAATTAGTGGTGGCTGCTTTTTACAAGTGCTACTTTGACTGAATGGGGAACACGAGATAATCTAATAATAAACTACGAATGCTTAAAGTGATTCGTGAGATGAGATTCATTTATGTTACCACAAGAAGGGAATTAGATGCAATGAATCTAGACACTTTCTTTCCATCATGCGAAAATGTCTCGGGTCCAATAATGAGTTTCACGCCACTTACGTGAGAAGTTCATGAATGAAACACAACTCTAGATCAAAACATACGTGAGAAGTTCATGAATGAAACACAACTCTAGAGCAAAACATACGTGAGAAGTTCATGAACACTTTCATAACAACAACAGCTAGCCATATACAACACTAAGTAGACGGGCAGACATGTACACTTATAGACTATAAGTTATAGCGATAACAATGTAAGAGAACAGCAGCCCGATCGGTTGCCGGATATCCACCTGCCGGTAGCCTGATACCTACCGAAGGGTTGCGCAGGAAAGCCAGTTGGCTGATATGTTTTTATTTATATTTACCTACGGACTCTTAACACATAGTTTCACCAATATCCTTGATTAAGCCCATCGCACAACAATGATTATGTCTGAAACACTCTGTTTTAGTCAAAAAAAGTGTTGTGCAGAGGTGAGGTGTCATAAACTAGGCAATAGATGTTGGTTGCTTTTACCACTGCACCATGCTAGGGCCGCCCCTGAGTGAGTGCATGTAGTTCAAATCGACACTATCAAACATAACATGTAGTATTGTTATAGGTAGTGGAATACTTTCCAAAGATTTGTTTGGTTGTAAAACTGACAAACTTGCTTATATATTAAAGATCAAAAGTGGCAACTATAAAAGCAAATTAGGTTAGGGTTCAACTAATAGTGGTGGAAATCTGTGGAGAAAAGTTTCTGTAGCAAATCTACGTATATTGTCCAAGAATGGGTCCAGATTCAAGATGGATGACAGCCACTTTAATTTACCCAACAGAAACAAAAACATCATCATTTGGTATCATTGAGAAAGACAGAAGTTGAAAAGCAATTGGAGATGGACAGTGCTCTCAAGCAAAATTACTCTTTTAAATCTCCTAAATCTTCATTTGCCGTCGGCATGTGCTAAAGGTATTTTATTTTGTCTGTACAAAACTGGCATTTGCAAAACAGAACCGTACATATGGAAACTGCCAACCAATCAACATATACGACAAAATTTGTACTGGTTTTATGTCCATCTTCAAATAGCCACTGTTTTCATGGATGATGTTTTTCTTTGTTATGTCTAGTATTCGCTTTGCAGAAAACCCTTGTGGCTGATGCTTTTAGCTAGCTATGAGGATGATCGGTCACTAGGGTTATTCTTGGTGGTCTTCAGTTCCTTCTTTTGCAGCTGCTTTCTATGTGCAAGATTCAGGTATCAGCCAGCTTATTACGTCATGTTAGGGTAATAAAATCAAATATTATTATTCCAACATATAGACAAATAGAGTTTAAACATACCACGTCTTTAAAGTATATATTGCTTTTTTTTAATAGTTATTTATTTATTTTTGTTCGGTCAACTATATGGGGGCCACCAATAGCGCAATAACTTGTTTATTCCATATTGTATATCATTGTCTTCCTATCTTTCTCGTCACATAAAATAAGGGATATGCAAGTTTCTCTCCACCGTTGGAATTCGAATCCAAGGCAAAATCTTCAGAAGTGGTGTTCTAGACATCAAGTAATTAATGATGAATGATATTGAAAAATTAGATACAGTTTTGATGAGGACAAGCATTGATGTTGAGGCAAAGTGAAGATATCAACTAAAAGACTACATATAATTTGCGGTCTAGAGAGGAGTCAACAGCTTAATTAGCTTTTTTGGTGTTTCAGACCAAGCGGCAAAGGAACAATCAGCTCAGTGGTGATCTCCCACAGCTTTGCACCCACTGCCATTTTCATGTGAAATACCACTAGTCCAATTCGTGGGAGGATAAAGAGTTGACCAAAATTAATAAATTCAGGATTTTTTCTTCTTCTGTTTTTGGAATGGATAATCTAAATTACACGACCTAACAGATGACATGATTGTTGCATATCCTAATATTTGCATGCTATCTATGCAAAAGATGAATGGTTTGTGATTCAACATATAAACATCCTCGCAAAATGATTTAGTTCATAGACTGTTTGGTCGTCTAAATATGTGAGCACAAAAGAAAAAAACACAGTTTGTTAGAGAAAATTAAACAAAAATATATACAAGGCAGAAAAGGTGAGTATGGGCGATGACCCATAGTAGGCATGAGTTAGGTCCCCCACCGCCATTTCCATGCATGGTAAGGAGTAACAACAGGGTTTTGCGAAGGGTAAAGAGAAAAGGTGAAAAATGGGGTTGTGTACTAGAGCGCTGGATGGAAGGTGATATAGAAACACTGGAGGACCCAGTACATGCTCACTGTGGGCAGCTGCTGACACTTATAAGTGTTTTCTTCACCCATTTAAATTGGCCGCTGACATCACACTAACGTCAGCTTGCCTATGAACCAGCCCATGCAGGTTTTGCCTTTGGGCTTACCCAGTTTCATGGAGCCCACTTCTTGTCATGGCAATTTTTCCTTAGTAGGGGAATGTTTTGGAGCCTAGCCCCTTTTGCCATGACAAATGTGAATCGATGGAAGTGCTCTTATAGAAGTTGCAAGTGAGCGTCTTATTGTACAATAAAACTCGCACAATATTGAAATTTGATTTGTCCAAACACAAAACAATAAATAATATTGGAAAAGACATAGCTGAGAGACAACTCGCAAAGAAACGAAACTACACCAAAATTTTAAAACGATAGTCAACTGTATTGCATAGGTTTTCTGATAAGATGCTCAAGCTCAATCACCAGTCATTTTTCTACTCACTACGATATTTCTAGCTAGGTCAAATTTCTTAAGAATAACTAATAGTCGCGTGAAGCTCAAGCAGCATTCTTAATAATTTACAGTTTTTGAAAAATGGAAATTGTGTCACAAAATTTTAGGCCAAGGTGGCTGACAACACTACTACAAAATAGTTAAATCACGACATGAAATAGACGACGGTGTATCTTAAAATCGTCGTTGTGTTTTAAAAGATGACGGTATTATCTTATACACTACTAGTGTTGGGTTGATTTTTAAAAGACGACGCTTGTCACTAACAAGTGTCCTTTTTTAAAACACACTAAACGAAAAAATGCCGCTAAACTAAATTCGCGCTCGACCTAAATTTTCATATTTCCCTCCTTGAAACCCTCCTCAACTCTAACACCCTCATGAAACTCTCTGAAACACTCCCTCTCACATATCTTGAGCACTCATCTCCCTACAAAATCATCAGAAAATCGATATCACGAAGGAGTTGAGAGATTAAGGTCTTTGCAGATCCACAAGATGGAGAGGGAGGTTCTGGATATGAGAATCAAAGCTAGTTGGATGCGGTGAAGATCTCGATCTCCACTCTCTTCAACGAAGATCTCCATCTCAGGTGCTCAACTCACTCATTAACCTTAACGACTTGGTCCCGTTAGCTCTCCAATTTCATGGTCGCAATCTAGAAAGACTCGTAGAAAGGCAATAATTTGAATGTTGGTGATGTATGTGTCTTTGTGTTGATTGATGACACATACATCACCAACATTCAAATTATTGCCTTTCTGAAATTGGTGGCTCGATTGTGATGAGGAACATAGGCTCATTTAGTACATAGCTCCCACTGGTACGATTTCATATCTCTTGGGATTTTCCAATATTTCTCTTATATTCATTTTACTATGATTTCGTTTTATATATCCATGAACATATTTATTTTCCAGTTGATTTGTATATATACCTCTTCTCCAGCAATCATCCATTGTAAGGCAAGCAAGGCAAGCACTCTACAAATATGGCTTGTTTGTTTCTCTCTTTCTCTGCCATCATATTTACCTATGTCTTTCATAATTTAAAATTTTTGCAGCTACATAGTTTGCTTGCGTAGATTTTGACTGCTTAGAAATTCTTAACATGTGAGCTATTGTTACTGTTGTTTGAATTGGGCTCCGACTTGTGCTTGTGTTTATAGAATTATGATACTTAAACTTTGGAATTGTAGTTGCATTCATTTTCTTAACAATCAATTTAATTCTCTCTATTTTTTTTCTGTCTTAGCCCCAATCAATTCTTGAAAGAGCAAATAGACTTATTTGGCAAAAAGATCTTGTGCAAAAACCTTTGAGCCTCAAAAGCACAAACTCATCTAAGAGCTCCAAGAATGAAGGCTCGCAAACCAATGAACTTTCGGTATCCATATCCACTTTACATGTAACTAGTTGAAGTTGATTATGTAGAATTCCTCTCTTTTTTAATTCTATAAAATATGTATGTTGTAGAATCAAGATTGGTTAACTATGTAGAATCAGTTTTGTTGGTAAAGTGCTTGATCCCAAATAATCCCTTTAGCTGTTGAAGATCAATGATAATGGCTGCACCTGCCATGAACCCAATGATAGCAGCATGGGACAGAAAATCCACAAGAAACCCCAACCTGTAAATTGAATTTGGAGAGCAAAAAAGGAAATGTAACACAAATTTTTGAGTTAGGACTGCTAGTCAGTCAAATATTATTAAGAACATTACCAACCTGAAGACTCCACAGGCAGTTTGAAAGACTCGTGCAAACAAAGTTGTAAAAACAATCTTTTTGTAATTGATGGCATCAACTCCAGGATATGATTCCAGAATCACTGAAGATAAAAGCAGTGAATCAACGGCTTCTGCTCCAATCACCAAGTCTCTTGAAGTCCCCTTCATTGCATATATAAGAGGAGGGACGAGACTTGTATCTGTGTAAAAAAAAAATTTAAAAATAATTCTGATTACTGTTAGATTTTATAATATGTGTGTTCATAATCTTTCCCACAATTTGAAATACTTAAAGACATACCTGGCGCCATCTTTCTTGAGTACACGACCTTTGAACTCATTCAACCGCAGCGCTACAATCCCAGCAAGAACATGAAAGGCTCAAGACTTCTGCTCTTTCTCAAAACTTGTTTAAGCTCTCTCTTTATGATGAGATTAGGGTTAGAGAACGTGTCTGATTAGAGCAGGGCCTAAGCTTATATAGGGCTAGGTCAAGCCGTCTCTACTCATCACCAATGTTTTGGGCCTCAAGGTATAACCTAATTTAAACTCTTATCAAAACCTAATATAACTTAGTATCTAGTGCACCGATCTAAATAGAAAACATAACATTCTACCACTAGATCAAGCACTAGAGCACTAAACTTTTGTATTCCAAAAGGTTTGATAATTTTTTATTGGCCATGAGTTTAAAACAGTTAAGTCCTTCCCTTCAAGCTATAGTGAAAAGCGATTAGACAAAACGAACTATAGACAAGTGCTACTCTCTTTAATAAAAACAAGCCATCTATAATCACCTAATGAAATTTCAAAGCACATGAAGCACCCACCAACGCAAACCTTAATATGTACTAATCCGTAATGTGAATCTTTATGCTTTTCAGTACATGTACCCGTTTACGACTTAGCAAGAGTCAATATGCAATGTTATTAAAAAAATTGTATCTCAAAAGAGTCCATAAACTCATATGCATAAACAAAATGCATAATAAGTTTAAACAGCTAAATAGTCAAAATGGTAGAAATTTTTTAATAATTAATAAAACTGTCAACCAAATTAACATCCTTAAATGCAAATCCCTCAATCCAGAAAACAACAAAATTAGACATACTAGAAAACTATCAGAATGGGAAACCAAAACTCCCACTAGATTACAACATCAAAGCTAGGAAATAATCCCATGCTCTCAACATGTCTCAGAAAAGCTTATGAAGACAGAAACTTTGTGAACGGATCTGCAATCATATCTTGGGTTCTGATATGATCAAACTTGATTAGTTTGTCTGCTACCTTCTCCCTCACTATTAAATATTTTATGTTAATATGTTGAAGTTTAGACAACATCTTGTTGTTTATGCAGTGAAAAATAGCTGCAGTGTTGTCATTATATATCTGTATTGGTCTAGAAATCGAGTCCACCACCTTAATGTCTTTAATAAAATTCCTTAGCCATACTACATGAGAAGTGACTTCATAGCAAGCTATGTATTCTGAAAACATAGTTGAACTCGAAACACCAGATTGTTTAGCACTCTTCCAAGCAACAACTGCTCCTGCCATCTTGAAAAGAAAACATGAAGTGGAGATGTAATTATCCTCTGGTTTTCCAAGATTCACATCATCATAACCAACAAGATCTAAATTCTTTGTGCGTCTGTAAATCAACATATAAGCCTTTGTTCTTTGTAGGTACCTTTCTTTCCAGCTATCCAGTGCTGCATTCCTGGATTTTACTGAAATCTCCCCATGTGCATGTCTAAAATGTGCATTTTGGACATTTCCTCTTCTTCTTTTTTAAGTAATTACCTGCCTATTGGTTTATGTTAATAAACATTCAAGATTCTTTTAAGGGCTTCTTAGATCTAGATGCAAAACGATTAGTTGTCATTAGGCTAAGTCCTCGCCGTTGGGAAATTATAGAGTAGTACCATATCACCACGTCAGCCGGTGATACTCCCACTCAAAATATGCCATGTATCTTTATTTTTTAACAACTCAAACTTTATTTTACAATTGGACATTAACCTAATTTTTACCCTCTAAAATTAAAAAAAAAAAAAAAAATAAAAAAAAAAAAAAAAAAAAAAAAAAAAAAAAAAAAAAAAAAAGCATAGCCCACCCCCACACACGCCTACCCCGCACCGCCGCTCTAGTCGCCACCCCCTCCCTTTCTTTTATCTCTCTCTCCCTCTGTGTTGCCGTTCTTCAACTTTCTCAACCTTTTGGTGACTACCCCAAGATCCATATATATTTTATCATTGATGAAGGTCTCACTAGCAGATGTGAAGAAGGTTGGGTCTATAACAAACAGGTTACAAATTGACCAGCATGAAATTGATATGGAAAGGGTCGATTGTGTTGGGTATTATATTGGATCTAATAAACTCCATCAGATATTAAGATTCATTGACAATGAAGATGAAGTTTCTTGGTTGCAAAAATTTATTAGGCTATGGGGATTTGGCTCTCTTACTTGTGTGACTAATGACTGTTGATGGCAGTCGGAAGAAGAAGACAGAGGGGTGGTCTGGGGGTAAGGGTTGGGTTGGGTTGCTAGGATATTCTCTTTTCTTTTTCTTTTTTTCTTAAGTTTTTTATTTTTCTAAGTTATTTCAGCGGATAAAAATTAAATCCAGTTGTGACAAAGAATAATTAATTTAAAAAAAAATTACAAATGGCATATTTTGAATGGGAGTATCACCAGCTGACGTGGTAGTACGGTACCATTCTATAATTTCTCATCGCCATTTTGATTTTAGATGCAGGTCCTTTAACTTTTATTACTTTTTTTGTTGTGTCGATTTTACCTTTTGATGTAAATAAGGAAAACACATTGAAAATCCAAATTTAATGCATTATTTCATTGTAATTGAATTTCAGAATTTAAAATTGAATTTTTTCCTTGTGAATATTTACCTAATATATGAATAAAATACAATTTAATTAATAAAAGTAAAGACATACAAATCGATGAGACAGGTACCCACATGAAATTATGTATCTATGCATATAGTAAACACCCAAATACTGAAAACACAATATGTTTAATACTTATCACATTGATTCGTGATGTTTAAGCATAGCAACAAAGAAAAAACGAGAAAAACAAGATAAACAAGAGAACTATTGATGACGTTATTATATACCTAATATGTGATTATTTTTGCCAAATTGGTGGCATTTAATGTTTTTGTTTGTTTCTTTTACAATTCATTTGTCTTCTTTTGGTGTGGGATTTTTCCTTTTTTGCAATATATTCAATTTCATTCCATCAATTCTTACAAATTCTCTTTAATTTATTTTCATTTATTGATTAATGTGCCCATTCTTTTAAATTCAAAATTACCATGTACCTATCTATTTAGTCACGTATTAGATATGTAGGGGTTTTTTTTGGCATATATCACCATAATTTTCTGATGAACAATTACCTAATCAATATTTTTTAGGCAAAAAGATTAATTTGTATGTGGTATATTTTCATTGTTTGTTTAGCTATAATATTATTATTGTTGTACACATGTATTATATGTATAGGAAAATAATAGGGACACCAAATTTATGTACAATTTGAGTCCCAAATGATGTGGTATGTGCCACATCATCATATGTTAATTAAAATTAGGAAAAATACTTTTTTAGTTAACTTAAAAGTCCACCGCACAACACCATGGCTTTACCACCACCAACCCTCCCCCGTTTGCGCTGCCTTCCGCACAACCTCATTGCCCCTCACTACTAATAGAAAAACTTACTTGTACCAGATATAGTATTGTTTTGCTATCCCCAATTAATTACACAATGACACATGAAAAAATTATCTCACGTCTCATTGCGTTATTGACTGGAGATAGCAAAAAATGTTATCCCCGTTGCATGAAAATCTTTCTCCACTACTAGGCCACCATTGTGGCTGGCTCCCCAACCCAGCCGCACTGCCCTCATCACTAGACTATAAGATATCCAATTCCTCATATAATGCATCAGAACTAGTTCTTTTTTCTTTTTTTTTTGGGCCAACAGTTGGGTGTTCAAGGATCAAAGCTAGAAGCCCAAAACCAAGAGTTGGGATGGAATAATCCAGAAATGAGAGAATTCCTTTCTAGTATTCATATTAGTATTAAATTTATAAAACTCTTTGTTATTCACATGATATTGGATGCAGTGGCAGTGAGGTGCGTCTGGGTTGGAGAGCCACATAGGTGTTCTTATGGTTTGGGGCAGTGCAGTTGTGCGGCAGAGGGAGGATTGGTGGTGGTAAAACATGGATGTTGTGCAGTGGCAACTTTTAAGTTAACCTAATTTTTCTAATGAATAATGCTACTCTTACCACATTTGTATACCACATTCTCATACCACCTTATGTGGCAGATGAGGTGGACAACACATCAATTAAAATTAATTTAAAGTTTTCTTATCTTTTATGATTTATTGACACTTTTTAATTGATATAATTGTCCACTTCATCTGCCACATAAGGTGGTATGAAAATGTGGGATATAAATATGGTAAGTGTAGCATTAATTTGTGTTAAAATAAATTATTAATAACTGTTAAATATATGTTTCAATTTTAATTAACATATGATGATGTGGCGCATGCCACATCATTTGGGACTCAAATTTGGTGCATAAATTTGATGCCATAGTATGTAAATATTTTATTACACTAGGACAATTATTAACCTACATTCAAAGGGCAGACCAAAAAAAAAAAAAAAAAAAAAAAAAAAAAAAAAATACAAAAGGCCTCAAATCGGGCCAGGGCAACCTATCTCACAACATTTTTATTTGTTCTTATTTGGAAGTACAAAATGAGGGATATGCCATCTCAACAGTAGGAAACCAAGCTTAGTTCTTTGCTGACACGTAAGACTTGGAGCAAGGCCCGGAGCAAGAATCCACGCAAGCGTTTACTTTGTCTTCATCTGAAAACAAAAATTGAAAAGCAAAAGGTGAGTCAAATGAGTAAAATCCCACATTTTGTATCATATTATGCACTACATCTCTAATACAAATGTGACTGAATCGAGCTATAAATTTAGGTAACACCGTTATTAAAGATGTAGGATCAAAATGTAGTGCAAAGAGAGTAATCCAAGTTTAATGAACAAAGAGAGAGAGAGGAGAGAGAGAGAGAGAGGAGAGAGAGAGAGAGAGAGAGATTACGTACTAATGTTATCTTTTGTGCTAATATTGGAACACAAAGATGTGGCACAACCAAGCTTGCAGTAGTGTTCGGGTTTTGCTTGGATGTCCGTAGGAATTACGAAGCAGGATTTCAGACATTTTGCAAAGCAACCAATCTTGTGTTGTTTGATAAAACATATAAGCATGCAACCAGCATAACATTCTTGGAAAGTTGCTTGGGACTGGCCTATGAGCAGCCCCAACAAGAAACAAACGACCACAGCTGACCTAAGCATTTTGCTCTCCATTTCTCTTATATCAAGCACTTAGTTATTAATCTATAATTGACTCAGTTCTGAATGGTAAATCTCCCATGCTCCTAGAAGGGTTTATATAGTGTTGGTGGAAAATATGGCATGCATAAGTACATTGAAAATAACATTTATGAAACTTGGATATGCCACACACATTAGAATATGCTTAAATTTCAATTTAATATTGATGATAAGATTGTATTCCATAATGATTGTGTCTTTCAATACATCTTCCTTTTATAATTGTGGTAATTAAGAACGAATTCTAGAAATATGAGTGATATTGGACATTTACAATAAATGAGTATGGGAGACTGTCACTAGTGTACAGTGAAAAGTTTGTCCCCGGTGGGTGATAATAAAAATATTTCATTTTCATGTTTGGAAACATTGGGAAATGATAATCAGGAAATATCACTTTATCCCATTTTCATGTTTGGCTTGTGTATTATTAAGAATGAAAAATTGTTCAGTTTTCTAATAATACCTTTAACTTTTTATTTTGTTATAAAGGAAAAAATACGAAGTGTTTTTCTAATGTTAAAACATGAAAATTTTAAAATAGAATAGGGGTAAATTAGTCATAAATATTTGCGTTAATAAATGGTTTCCTCCGAATAGCAACAAAATGGTTAGGTTAAGTCCGATTCATTTGACATAAGTAAAGCTTTTGGCACCTCAGGCTTACTGAATATTTCTTCATGATACGTCCTTGTCTAGAAGTAATAGTATTGGATTTTATTTTCGTAAACAGGGACGGACCTAGGATTTGAAAATTGAGTGGGCTAAATTTGCCTTACGTACAAATCTATTAAATTTTGATGGTTTCGGATCAGTAGCCCAAAAACTAGAAAATACTGACAAATTATTGATATTGGTACAAATTTGATAAAAAAAGAAGATTGAAATTGTGAGAAAAATATGGAAATTGTTAGTGAAACTTTAGAAAATGTTACATATTATTTTAACATAAAAGAATTGAAAGAAATTTTTATATATAAAAAAAGGAATTGAAAGAAATGTATTGCACAGTGAGTTTGAGTGATTTAAGTGAGCATATTGCGAGTTAACATATTAATGTATACTAATTAATGAAAGAGTATTAAAACAATATATAGAAGCAATAAATATGGGAGTGTGTTAAATATTTAAACAAAAGTTGTAGTAGTTTGTTGATTGAGTCTAGTGGAGATTGCCAGGATGGACACATGTTGGTTACAAAAATTACTTTTTTAGCATTATTTTTTACTTTTTGGGTGGGCTAGGTATGATATTGTGGGCTGGTGAAAAGAAAGTCACATGGGCTATAGCCCAGGTTAGTCCAAGGGCAGGTCCATCCTTATTTGTAACTTATTATTTATTTGGATATTATTAAAAATGTTGATCAAACTAATTTTTTCCATTTAGTTATATCGGTTCACTTGGGTCATTTTGATATTTCAGGGCCTCAATCTTGCATAAAGAAAAATACTTCCCTCCTTACCATGTAAGTAGGAGCTATATTCCTGCCAATAGTATTGTGACATGTGTGCAAAAGTTTTTCTTTTTGTGTTTTTAATGAATTATTTTGGCATATGTGTCAAACTATAATTACATGTCAGAACCAGTGCAAAAAAAAAGTGAAAAGGAAAAAAATCCAAGAAAATATTTTTTAAATAATTTTCTTTTTATCTTTAAAAGCCACTAGTCACAAATGGCCAATACAAATTAGCCACAAAGGGCCATTACAATAAGGAGTGGTCTAACATCAAAATTAAGACAATCGGGGTGCACCTGCACTAACAATCACGTAGGATCGAAGAAACTCTAGCATAGGCATCCCAACTAAGATTGCAAACTCAGAATAATCAAAAAGAGATAAAGCTTGAAAAAAACCAAGCCATAACAATACAAATAAAACTCTCACAAATGATAGATGAAAAGCTCTCACAAAGGAGAGGTGAAAAGCTCTCATAAAGGAGAGGTGAAAAGCTCTTACAAAAGAGGAGGTGAAAACTACTTAGAGAACTCAAAGAGTCTCTGTTGGATCAGGATTTCTTTCAGGAAGAAATACCTCCACAAGTTATTGACTGAAGTCCGCACACTTCCTTGGTTGAAAAAGAACTTCGGATCTCGTCCCCGAGAACAACTATGGAAATGGGGTGAGTACCTCCAAAAGCCACTTTGACGCTCAAGTCAGTGTTTGTGCAGCGGACTCTTAGTGATCAATTGAATTTCTCGTACCTTTGTTGTGTCTCCCTCGCTCCGCACTTCTCTAATGGGAGGGAAGTTCGATCATCCCACATCTTTTAATCATAGCATATGGGTTAAGTCATGACATGTGAGATTTGGTCCACATAGTGCCCCCCTTTTTTCCTCTCTACATGCTTCACGGGTGGAGAGGGAAAAATAATTTAAGTGGGATTTTGGAGCAGGATTTCTTTGGATTGAGCTCATGATGTCATGATAATGAACCCAAATAAACAATTTTTTTTTCTTTCTTGGGCTTGCTGGTCCAACCCAAAGATATAATTCATATTGCACCATTGCCAACCCATGCAAGTTGTTGACCTTTCATGCATGTGTATCCTTGCTTTCATATCCCACATGTGAAACGTCCAAGTATGGATTTTTCATGCATATTGTTGACCTTTAAAGTTTCAACTATAGATGTTCAGTGCTTTGGCCAACCCCATGTGAAATATCCAAGTACGGACAGCCAATCCCATGCGCAAGTGGACCCTTTCTCTTTATTTTGGATTTTTGCACCTTTGTCGATCCTGCATGGTTCCAGCAATTTTGAACTTTTCTCACTCCAGCCGATCCCAGATGGACCCTATGCAAATTTCTCTTCTTTTCCCTTTGTGCTTCAGCCGATCCGGTGGGCCTATACAAATTTCCCTTCTTTTCCCTTTGAGCTTTTGCCGATCTGGTGGGCCCATGCAAATTTCGCTTCTTTTCCTTTTGCTCTTAAGCCGATCCGGTGGGCCCATGCAAATTTCTCTTCTTTTCCCTTTGTGCTTCAGCTAATTAGGTGGACCCCATACTCTTTGCTTTCTCTTTGCTAACTGATCCCAGATAGACCCTAGCGCCTTTGGTTTCTCAATTGATCCCAGGTGGTCCATGACTTTGTTCTTTTTTTTTTCCAGGTGCACTTGCACTTGAGCTAACCTCTTGGACCCTAGCGCCTTTGATTTCTCAACTGATCCCAGGTGGTCCACGACATTTTTCCTTTTCTTTTTTTTTCTTTTTTTGGGTGCGCTTGCGCTTGAGCTGACCTCCTGGACCCCAATGCCTTCGGTTTCTCAGCTGATCCCAGGTGGTACTTTCTTTTTTTTTTTGCAGAAGTGCGCTTGCAGCACTTGCACCTTGAGCTGAGACCCCAGTGCACTTGAGCTGACCTCCTAGACCACCAGCGCCTTCAATTTTTCCTTCTCATTTCTGCCGATCCTAAGCGGTCCATAACTTAGTCTTTGCATGAGAAAGTGAACAAGCCTAGCTCTGTAGGTGGTACTCATTATCTTGCACCACTTATTGCTTATAACTGTTGAATTTCACTGTCTTTTGTCAAAGTGCATGCAGCTTTCTGTCAGGGAAACACATGCATTAGGTAGAATAACTTCTATTAGTCATATCAGACTAGGCTTTGTTGTGAGAGCCTAAGGCAAATATCTAAGTCGGCCGAATCAAGTCTTATCTTTTCTTTTGAAAAGAGCTTCTCCCCGTGACTTTTGTGACATGTCTTTCTCTAATGCTCACACCTTCTGCTATAAAAGCTCGGGCGATAGAGATACCTTTCATTCATAAAACCGTTCATACTTTGCTTTTGTTCTTCATATAAGCTCTAGGTGTGAAGAGAAAGGAAAGTGTTCTGTGCATTTGAAAACTCTGTTGAAGGGCTCTTATTCTTGCTACGACCTAGTAAATATTATTTTCATCTTTGTTATTTTCATGTCAAGGCACAAGATTTGGCCCAAGTCTAGTGGTGCCCCACCGGGCTACGAGGTACTTGAGGCTCGCACTAAAGGATGTGTTCCTAACAACGTGGGGATCAATCCTTTTCCTTTGGGGTTGGATATGTACATTGGTGCCAATATCCCTGAGGGCTCCTTAATTCTTTTGTCGGCCCACCTAGAGTATGTTAGGTTTCCACTACATCCCTTTTTTCATATGCTCTTGTTCTTCTTGGACCTTCACCCTATGGAATTGAACCTTCTCATATCCGATTTACTGGCCGTCGGGTTGAAGTGGGGTGTGTCCCTTAGCTTTAAGGATTTCATCTACCTCCACAACTTAGCCTCTTTTAATCACTGGGGAGTGGGTGGCACCTGAGATGTCTAACATGCTTATCCCATTGGTGTTTGGCTCGAAACCTGATATAATGATTTATGCCTTTGAAATATATCTTATTGTGTTTTTACGGGTCTAACTAACCTTTTCTTTTGGTAGCGCTTCCTTCGGACAAAAGGTACCTCATTTCTACGGACTGAATCGCTTGGTTGGAGGAGAACATGGCAGGTCAGGGGTGGGATATCACACTCTTCGCCGACCCTGCGACTCTTATCCATATCTTCACTGCTCGTTGCACAGTGACTTACTTCTCGTTCATTTTGGCTGATTTAAACTTGCATGGAATAGACTTGTTCAAGAACATTTGTTCTGTCAATGTCGAACTTTGTTGCACTGAGGATTCGGTGTCCCTTAACCAGACCAGTTTTCAAGAAAATAAAGCTGAGTTAGCTCAGCATAGTAGCTCCGAGAACTGCGCATCCGGGTCTGAGTCTGATGCTTTAGATATGTCAGCGACACGTTCATTGTCAGTCCCGGGCCGTAGGGAAATGAGTCCCGAAAAAGAGACCGAGTCCTCTGGGTCCACGAAAAAGTCTCGCCATGCTCTGTAGGTCGTTTTGGGTTTGAGTCGCCCAATGTTGCATCCACCTCGAGTACTCCGTCCCGATCTCAGCAAATCCCTTGTGCTCCCACTCCTGCTAGCTCACCAGTTGAGAGTGAACATCACGGTCATGACTGATGAACAAATGTAGGGCTACTAATCACACTGCTTGAGTGCGGTACAATAACGTTTAGGGTTTGTGTTGGTGTCACCGATTATCGTGTCCTATCATAGCTGCCTAATGCTCATTTTCATATGCCTCACAGATGGTTGGAATCCGCAACGTGCAAATGACGAGGTTCCAGGCTATGAGCCACGAGATATGCATTACAACGACCTTCGAACTCAACTGGAAATGCATCAAGGAATATGAAACTGGGCTTCTTAGATATAGGTCCAAAACAATTAGTTGTCATTAAGCTAAGTCCTCGCCATTTTGGTTCTAGATGCAAGTCCTTTAACTTTTATTACTTTTTTTATTGTGTCAATTTTACCTTTTGAGGTAAATAAGGAAGCACATTGAAAATCCAAATTTAATGCATTATTTCATTGTAATTGAATTTCAGAATTTAAATTTTAAATTTTTTCTTGTGAATATTTACATAATATATGGATAAAATACAATTTAATCAATAAAAGTGAAGACCCACATATTATACTAATCGATGAGGCAAACATGAAATTGTGTATCTATGCATAAGGTAAACACCCAAATATTGAAAACACAATATATGTTTAATACTTATCAAGTTGATTTGTGGTGTTTAAGCATAGCAACAAATAAAGACTTGAGAAAAACAAGATAAATAAGAGAATTATTGATGACGTTTTTATGTACCTAATATATAGGTACTATGAGCTAATGTGCTTTATATATTATGTATATATATATATAGGTAGAATGCTTTAATGTACCTAGTTACTTGGTAAATATAAGATTATGTACCTAATTACTAGGTAAATGTGAGATTATTTACATGACTTACTAGGTAAATATAGGATTGTACCTGATTATCAGAGGAAATATCAGATAATATATAATCTACCTGACATATAGGTATTTTGTTATTTTCGATATACCTTTTTCTTGGTTTCTTCAATTTACCTAATAAAGAGGTCGTAAGCAATAAGAAAGAAAGCCAACGATTTTTTTGGGTTACTAGAAGGAAAACAAAAAAGAGATAACGTTAATATACAAAATCATGGCCGCAATTAATAGAATTCATGGATGCAATTATTAGAAGAAGAAGAAAAAAAAGGTAAGTAATTAATATACCAAAATTATTATGGTTATAAGCACTTAATTTGTTAATTAATTATGGTCATAAACAATTCTTTCCTGTAATTTTCACATAAATTACAGTTACCCGATTCAAGGCATAAAGGACAACATTGGAACAAAAATTAATTTAAAAGAAAAGGAAAAAGATTACATCAGAAAATATTTAAAAAGAATGTAATCCTATGTGGCACAAAAGTCAAGACTTGTATCAAAGTCACCAACTCTGAGAATTGAAACCAACTTTTCTATTCTTTGAATTTGTGCACGGTTCAATGGGAAATGGTGGCAGCCACTAAGCAGTTTGTTTGTCCAACAAATTTCAGGTCCAACATTAAGAATATTTGACCAACAAGGGCCAACCAATATATTTTCAGCATGGCCGGCCCAAAGCTTCTTTCATTAACCACTAAAACGTGCAGTGAAGCTAAGTTTTTTATTTTTTTATTTTTATTTTTTCTCTTTTTCCTTAGCCTGAGAATGGAAATCTTAGTGGCCTAGAACTTGGTTCTTTGTGTGTGTGTGTGTTTTTTCTTTTAGAACTAGGAGAAGAGAGTAGGGATTTGTATCTTAAGTGCTTAAGAGTCATTATTTCCATGTCTGAAGTCTTGTGTTCGAATCCCATATTTTCAATATCACTTGTATTAAAAATAAAAATAAAAACTAAGAGGAGAGAAAAAAATATGCACGTAGGCAAGACTTACCCTTTGTTGAGAGACTTGGAGAGCATTAATTGGGACTCATTCTATTAAGATAAGATCACTTGCCTTATAATTTTGCAAATACAGAGATTGTCGAATTTTCTTGGTCAGACATCTTGTTCTAGGGATCATCCAAATATACAGAACTTAATATGACGGAAATCCCATTTTCAAGTCCTAGGCCCAACATACCATTAGGGATCCTATTAGAGTTTAATGTTTCAAGGCATATGGCTATCTTTCTAATTTTATTTGCCCTTAGTATTCGTGTGCAAAAGTGTTATGCAAATAAGCGTTGTGGACAAGATTACTCAAGGTTCCTAGAAACTAACATATGTACTGTATTAGTTTCTGCATGTATAAACATATATGTGCTGTTCTTTATTAAATCTTCAGATAATATCCCCCTTTATATAAAAGCATATGTGCCTCTTCAAATGGTATGTAACTCTTCAAGTACACCCAATTGAATTCGAGACATTGCTTCACGGTTGCAACTTTTCACTCTTAAAATTATGATGATCAATATAATAGAACCATGCACTTACTTCAAATTCATACAAAATCAAAGTTCATCGACTGGATGTTGGGGGATTGGAGAGCTGCACTGTTGCATCTCCTTGATTATGCATCTCTTCCTGCTTCTGCTTCCATCTGTCCATCTCCTTCAGCAACAAGCCCTTACTTTCCTCCTCCCCATTTCTGCCATCATCCTTCTGCTTATTGAATTTGTAATTGTATCCCAAATTAAAACACATCTTTAATTTTTCTGATCACAATGGTTCATAGAAATCCAATGCAATGCATGGAAAGTTTTAGATCTTCGCTTTTAATTATATATGTTTTTTTTTCTTGCCTAGAGGGGCAAATAGTAGCTTTTTCGTTCTCTTAATTTGTCTGCTTTTGTGTGATGCCGGGGAATACAAGAAAAATCGTTTCTTTTTTGTTTAGGACAAACAGATGTGGAATCATATCCTTGGAGTAAGTTAACTGACTAGCTTACAAGTGCTAAATTTAAGCTTCTCATGCTTATCATCATCACATTTCAACTAAGCCGCCACCCAATCCGTAATAGTGTTCATTCAAGTGCTAGACAGGCCGAAGTACAGTTGGAAATAAAATAAAATAAAACAAATAAACAACAACAACAGGTCACTCCATTTTAATTAATACTAATCAATAAATTAACAAAATTAACAACACAAGCACAAGTCCAAGAAAGATGAAAACAAAAGAGTGTCGGGAAAAATTGGTTGAAAAATTATGTTTGAGCATCAATTATAGCGCCCAAAAAAGAAGCAAATCATGTTGTTTAGATTTTCAAGTTGCTTGAGCAACAAGCAAAAATGACTTCTCACAAGATTTATATTTACATTTTTATTTGTATTTCTAGAATAAATATTCTATTAGGATATTCTATTTTATATTATTTTATGATTAGAATTTTTAATATTTTCTTGTTAGTTAAGTTTACTACTTACGCAACCTTGTGGCGTTGTATTTGTAATCTTTTATCATATTATTAATTAAGTTAAGAGACTTTTCTCTATTTTCTGGTGGATTTCATATGCTCCAGTTTATCCTTCCAGTTTAAAATTTATACACATATTTTTTGTTTATTGTGTTTCTCGCTACGTCAAGTTATGAATTATATGTTTGGAACATGATCGTCCCTTATATTTGTGAACCTCAGGTCGACTATGTAAATATTTTCTAATAACAATTTCACTGTGAAAGTTTTAGAGAGAGATGTTCTTCTCTTCGTGATCGCCGATCCCTTTCTTGGGTATGAGCGAAGGTGTTCCTTATTTTTAACCATCTTTCAAGATTTGGTTCTTCGTGTCTACTATGTTGGTCTCGGCCCGATGGCAGTAGATTTGTAGCGCGGTCATTAGTGGACTATGATTTATGAAAAGGGAAAATTTCCCTTTGGACCAGAGTATGATGAAAGTCTATTCAGATATTCTAGTGTTGTAGTAGGCTTATTAGTAGTCTGAATAAACAATAAACAAAGTTTGTTTCCATGCAAGCGTTAATTACATTTTTTATTGCATAATTCTAATTTAGGAGCATAATTAGAAAAATAAACAAATTTTGTTTCCAATTTCTGTATAAACCAAATATGAGAAAGAAAATAAAATGATTTCCACAAAAACATAATCTTCCATCTCCTTTCCAGTAAAAAAAGATATATAAATTGATTTTCAATCAACTTCTTTCCGTCTACAAAAACGGGTGAAATTACTTGAGAAATGCTAATTTTTGAACATAATGCATAAATTTATGCGTTAGTGGAATACACGTGACACAAAATGAATAGGAAGGCAAGAAGAGGAACGAAAAAGGGAATATAGTTAGCACTCCAGTTAGAGCATCTGCAATTGGCTCATCAAACCAACTCCTTAGACAAATTTTAGGAGGAATTGAAAAAATACAACTCCAACCACTTCCTATCCACCTCCTAAAATAGAGAGACTTCTAGTGTAGGAACTCCTAAATCCCAGGAGAGAAAAATGACTCTTAGTGGCTCTCAGTTTGGGATTGCTATCATTTTTTTTAAAAAAAGTTACTTCTATTATACTTTGAAAATAATTAGTTATAAAGTAAAGTAACTCCATGTTTGGTAAACAATACCTTTAAAGGGTTAGTACAAAAAGCAATGTCAAAACCATTTGGTAAATTTTAATATAAAACTATTGTAATTGTAAATAATGACTAAAATAGACATTATATTGAAAGTGTTATTGGTTAATCATGTAGTGGTAGTGGTGGTGGTGGAGGTGGTGGTGGTAGGGACATCAGTTATGGAGGTGGTGTCATTTTTTAAAATTAATGACGGTATTTTAGAAATTAAAAAAATTTATTAAAGGCTCATCTCTATTTCCTTTGAAAGCAGTTTTGAAAAGCAATCCATAACCTACTTTTAAAAGCTATTGTCAAAAGACCACTGCTTTTAAAATAATCGGGACATTTATTTTTTACCGAACACTTTAAATTGCTTAACTTCAAAATTAAACATATTTTTTAGCCAAAAAATAAAACAATTGGGACCTTAATGATACTTTGTTTTATGAATATTTTAAATTTTTAATTAATCTTAACTATTTTTTAATTTTATTTTATTTATAAAGATGGACCAATTATATTGAATTTAAAAATAATTATAGTATTTATGATTCTTTAAACTAAGAAGTGTTATTGGAGTTCAAATTTTTATTTTTAAAAACTCCTAAAATAACTTTTGTGTGTTTTTAACTAAATTTTAATTAAAAAATAAAGAGCATAATACTATTGCTATTGCATATAAGTATTAAAAGACAAGCTTGATTGATGAGTTCTTAAAAGGACAAGAAGCTATCTTTGACTTCACTTCTTTCAAAGCTCCACCAACAATAAAATAAGCTATAATAATTATCACTAGTGCAAGTCCAAGAAAGCTGCACCATCCTCCTTTCCACCTACTCCATACAAAGCTTGCCAGCCAACTCCCCACCCCCCTACCACCCGATGGTCCCATGGCACATCTCTCAAACCTTTGACCCTTGAAACGCTCTTACAAAACGAGCATTGATTGGCACCGTTGTCTTCTCCAAATCCCAAAATAAAAGAAATATAAGAAGACAGTTGGACTTGCACAAAATTGAGAAAATTTTATGTTACTTATTAAGCAAAGGAAATAATAGAAAAATTGTCCTTTACCTGTTTTGCTTAATAAAAGAAAAAAAAAATGTATTATAAAGGTGACACCCCATAATCTCATAAGCCTTTTGTATTATACATGTGGTTATGTGATTCTGTGCGGCCCTGCCCATTTTTGGACAATCACCAATGCCTGCCTTGATGAGAACCACTTCCTCCTCCACCTTTGTTCTTTGCAATGAAAGAATTCTTTGGTTTTGGTATCTCATGGATGTCCATTACTTGAATTGTTCTCTGCTTTTTGGCTTCACAAAAAACAGCACAAGCACATTCCAATCAGCACAAAGCCCAATTTAATCAACAAAAGCTAAACAATAAACCAAGAAGTTGAAAGTTATGAAGCAAACCATTTTCAGCTTCTTTGTAATTCGCCTGAAGTCGTTTTCTTGCAGAAGCCAATCTATCATTGTCAAAATTGCTTTCCTTCTGTTCTCTCTGTCTCTGCAAAACCAATTGAGTGACAAAGAAGAATTCAGTGGAAATAATTTACTTCGACTTACGGTTTTACGAATTCACGTTGTGATGCAGTACTGAGATAACTTACACTTGCACTCAACTAAGCTATAAACAGAATTAATTGGCTTAGTTGAGTTCAGTTTCTTATATTTTGGAAGCATAAGCTTCAAAATTTATATTATCTCCCTCCAATTTTCAGCAACCAAACATAGAATTTGGTATCCGTACATTTTGAGGAGCAGAAGCAGACATAGGGATTGATTGTGCTGGTTTTGGTGGAGCTTCTCTCCTAGGAACTGCCTTTGGCTTGCGTTCTGGTTCTGAATTGTTCTTATCTGACCCAGAACTCCCATCTGTGTGAACAATAATAATAACATCAAATTAAAAACAATAAACAGGCCCACATTAATTAAACTCTAAACGAGTAAATTTTCAGATAAGCTGAAATGGAAGTCTGGAATCTGATTCTATACTTACTGTGAGGATTTGGAGAGTATGCAAAATCAGGAACCTGAAAAACAGAAAGAACAGAATATTAGAAAGCAAGAATAAAAGACAGAATTTTCCACAACTTTACCATAAACAAAGATTTCTTTGACCTGGTGAAGACCATTTTGGGGAATTTTCTGCTGGGGCGAGTCTTCATCAACTGCCAATAACATATGTTGGCATTCACAGTCAGTCGGGTATGATTCCCATTTCTGAACATCATTTTAATTTTTTCCGGAGAGAAGAAATCAAATTAATTAGGAAGGAATAAGGATCTTAATTTTACCCATGGCCGATGAAGATGGCAGTTCTCCATGTAACTTCACCCATTCATCCACAATACCTTTCCATTTCCTGTAAAACAACAACCAAATGAAACAGAATCTTCTTTTTTTCTCACTGTCCAAGGTCAAGAATTTCACAACCAAGAAGTCAACAGCAATGAAACATGTTCATACCTGACAACTTGCTTTGCCAATCTCCTAACAACATCACTTGGATGCTGCTTCCGCAATAGACTCACATGCCTTCCAATATCAGCCTCCTGGAAATGCCAAACAACAACTAAAAAATCACATATTTGATGGAAGTTTGTTTTCTCTTTATTAACTGAGGAGGGGGATTTGAAATTGGAATCTCTTCCAACATCAGAAAAGGAAAAAGATAATACCACAAATCAAGAGATCGTTGGTGCAAGAAGTTTGTTTCTGTTTGTGAAAACAAATATAAGAGCCTCATAATTACCTTGAGTTCTTGGAATGATATTTCCATATCTGCTAGACTTTGAAGCAACTCAACCAAAGAATCCTCAGACTGACACGAACAAAGTTGCACAAACATCAATATAAAAGAAACGAAAAAAAACAAGACACAACCTAACCAAAAAGGGAACTGAATTGAAGATTGACAGAAAAAGAAATTCACCTGATGTGGATCCTCAAGCTGCTTCTTGATTTCTAGAATGTTCTTCTGCTCATCATCGAACAACCCTCCGTATGGATCCAACCCCTCCTTGTCCTCCTCCTCATCGTCATCTCTATCAACGAACTGCGGCGTGTACGGTGAAACTCCTTTGGGTTGGTTCCCATTGGGCCCATCAGTATCACAGTTGGGGCACCGAGGCGGCATGCAAGTTGTGGCGTAGAGGCGCTCAACAATGCCATCCCTCCGGTGCTTGAGCTCAGTGCCATAATCAACCGAAGCTACCACAATGGCAGTGTCAATGAACGTCCACACATCCACACCCGAGGTTTCTAAGATGGTCCGCAAGTCATCATGGTCCATGGCGTCCGCCTTGCAGTCAAATACAAACGCTGTCGTTCCGATGATGGATTGTTCTCAGATCCTGAGATTGCATCACCGGATCATGAATGCAATTATAAAAGCCCAAGCCTCCTCAACAAAGTAGAGTTAGAAAGGCACAGATCTGTCTCAGAGTTGCAGATTCACCAGTCCAAGCTCCAAAAAGGAATTCCCAGGCAGAAAGACTGAGAAAAATATCAAGTCTTCCAAGCAAATATCAGAGAAAACTGAATTGGATTTCTGGGGTTGCGGGGAATTCCTTGATTCTTTTCTTCACTGCCCAACTAATTAGATATCCGTTGAATTTGTTGGACAATCGGAGATGTGATTGGCATATTCTATAAGAACCCTAAACACTGGCTGAAAAACTCCATATTCTTCCCTCTTTCAAATCCTGCCGAGCAATGTTCAATCCAAAGTTCTTTCACTTTACCTCGTTCACAAACTGCTGAAAGAAAGAGAAAAAACAAGCAAGACTAGATTTTAGCCCGAAAAAGAGATAAATTCATAAACCAGAAAATCCATTTTTACAGAGCATCCTAGTTCATGTAGTGCTACAGAAAAAAGTGCATGCAGAGCAGCCAAAAGAAAAAAGCTTACTGAACTAATGAGCAAGCCAAAAGAATAAATCATCCAATTAAAAGAGAACAATATGATAAATCCTAAAACCTTCCAAATTTTTTAAAAAAACATTATGGCAACACACAAATTAACAATACTCCAAACAATCCATCAGTGACCTTGAACAATTTTTAAGCAGAATTAAATTATTGAGAAAACGCCTAAATTTGAACAAACCCCTAATTTAGAAACAACAAAAGGATTAAAACCCTAATCCTGCATTCAGAGAAATTTAAAACAAACAATAGATTGATGAGAGGGAAAATAATATAAGTTTATGCGAAAAGTCAGAGAAGGTAAGAAGAAAATCAAAGAATTAGGCAGAAGCCCGATTAAACAGAGAGTCAATCAGATCTCACCGAAGAAAGAGAAGGAGACATACCAGAGAGAACGAACGAAGAGGATGCACGGAGGAGGCTGGAGGAGGATGTTGCTCTGGAGCTCTGGTCTGGGGGTTGTCTTTACTTCTGTTTTGTGGCGTATTTTTATTTTACAAAACAATTAAATGACGCGAATTGCGAACCCACTTTTGGCCTTTGGATCAACAAATTCAATCCAAAGGTCGTCAATAAGTCTTAAGAATAAAAATAAAATAAAACAGACCCAAACATGGCAAAACCAGTCTCTATGTTATATCAAAAATTCCGGAAAAAGTATAAAAATTTTCCGAGAAAAGCTTCCTGGGGTTGTGGGGGAATTCGTTGATTCCTTCTTTCACTGCCCAATTAAATTATACATGCGTTGAATTTTCTTTGGACAATTGGAAAAAGTGAAAGGTATATTCCAAATTCCAAAACAAAGTTGGGTTTATTTTTTTGAAGTTATATATTTGGTTTTTAAGCCTTTACGAAGCACACACACAAAGCAAGCACATTGGTTTGGTTAGGTTTGGTGCTTCGGATATTGTTGGGGCTTTTGGTCTGTCTCATAAATAAGAAGGTTATTTGTTTGTTGTGGTATGGGAGATGAACGGAGAGAGAGAGAGAGAGAGAGAGAGATTGAGAACAGCTTTAAAAATTGGAATCAATCAATCATAATGAGTGGGGTTACTTTATTTTAGAGCGTGATGGGTAAATCATTGGTGGGAATATTGAGTGCGTGTTGTGGGTGGGTTATGGGAATGGATGCGTCGTATATCCGGCTTGGATTTGCTTCCTCACGAGAAAGAAATTATGACTGTCCTCCGAACGAATAAATTGGATTTGCAAACGCAACCATCATCCGAATCTAATACTCTTATCATCATGTTAAGTTATCCAATCAAATATAGTTGTGTGAAGACGATGAATCGGACTTTTTTTTTTTTGTAAGGATAAATTTTCTCAAAGAAAATTGATTAATTCCGTTATTGTATATTCAGAATTTCATATTTCAAAACAAATAATCTATATGATGCATGTCGCTTCAGTTTGCGTATCAAATAATTGCACAATGGAAGTCTTAGGTCCAAACTTGTTCTTAAGCAATACATGAATGTATGTATATATGAATTGATGTGATGTACACAATGCAAACTTGTTACTTAAATAGACACCGGATATACCAATTTGGTCCAACAGTTGCAAGTCAAATGTAAAGGAAATGTCTGAATTCGAAAGTTGTAATAATATGAAATTAATTGGGTCACACAACTCAAAGACCCAACCCATTTTCTTTAATAAAATAAATGTTAATTAATTAATCATTTAGCCCAAAACCAAGTCAGTGCCTGTTGGAAACAGAGAATAAGCAAGTTTTGGGAGAAGTTATCTAATAGAATTGAAACAACTGTGACAAGACTCGATCCAAATTTCACTTTTCAATATGCGCCGAACCCTGTGCATGTCCGAAACCCGGTAGGTGCCGAGCATACTTGACCAAATTGCCCTTCTAACGAAATCCACAGCTTCTTTAGGTTTTGATTTTTGCAGAAAATTCGGCAGAGTCTCCCCTGTAAATTGCTCATTTCCCAAACTTTTTCACCTGTACAACAAGCAATTTAAATATCCACAACCGTTCAACATACACAAAAATAGAATTCAGGCAACCAAACATCAAATCCATATGGCATCAGGCCTCTTTAAATCAAATAAATCGTTACCCAACTGAAATCGATCCCAACTCTTAGAGCAACATAATATGTTAACATATTTCAAAACAACTTAACTGAACAGCTTTTCAATCATTTAGTCTCATGGCTACACCTAGTAACTCTAGGTTGCCTAGGTACCCTTAACAAGGGATCAAGCCACACGTAGTTCTTCCTCTTTGTTTTATTGACCAGTTATGTACTCAACTTATGTTTACCACCTATTTTGCAAAATCAATTATGAAAAGAAATTAAAAAGGGAAAGAAAACAATGAGAGGAGAATACTTTCAAATTGGAAAAGAAACACAAGGAGAACAAAACGGGTATATAAAATCAAGTAATGACATAGTAAAATAAAACTTCACTTAAGAAAATAATTGTGAATTTTACAAAATCCTTAATACTTAGAAAATTCTTAATCCTTGTCTCTTAAGTAGGAAAACATATAACAAAACCTACGGCCATAAATACCAAGATAAAATCCTCAATATTTAGTTTAAAACATCTCAAAACTTAAATACTCTCCACGTAGGCACACCCCATTCATGATTCGTCAATTCCACAAATTTTCCGTCAATTTCAATAATATACCATCAATTCCTCACAGGCCTTGGAAATACAAAGTCAACACAAGCCACATTCCTCGTAAGCCTCGGAGACACAAAGTCAACCCGAGCCACAATCCTCGCAGAACTCGAGGGACATGTAATCAGCCCGAGAACGCACATCCTTGCACCACACGGTTCAGGCGTCCCTGAAACTGGTGGGCATTATGGTAAATGACAAAACTGTTTCAAAGGCAACTGGGGGATGGTACTCTTGTGGTGGATTTGAAAACTATATTCCGAAACTTATCATAAACTTTACCTTATTCCATAAATCCATTTTCCGACTCTTATATCAACTATCCAAAAATCAGTTCTCAACTACCCTTAAAATGTATGCCACATTCTGATAAGAACTAGTGTTCATAATCCATCATTTTCATATCACTGAGTATATATATATATATATATATATATTAAATATAAGCATATAATAAAACATTTAATTAATTTATCTTCCATATCAAAATCCAGTTAATAAGTCGTTCCCAACTTTACACAACCAAACATAGTATAATACCTTTAGAAAATAAATGCGATTACCTAATAACTCATAAACATTTGAATAATCCAATATTACCCAGTCATATACTTTAATAATACCCATAAACTTCGAATATCAAGATATAACATAAACTCATAATCCAAACATAGACAAAATAGTCCACAAATAGTCAAGCCTCATTTACACAGTTGTCTAACACTTCTCAAAGCTGAAACTACCTCGGAAGACTCACGGTCAACCGAAGGTCAAACTTTCTAAATTGGGTCAACCGGCCCCATGTGGCCTATGACCTCCCATTTCTGATCCGGGAGTTTTCATAGGTTCATCAAGGTTTAGTATACCTGTTCTACAAGTTTGGTCCGAATCGAACGGTCAGATCTCTCACAATCACACAATAACCGTCCGATCGCATGATTGGATGGTTATCGTTTAATGCAAACTTTAAGTTATTGAATTGGAACATCCGGGGCTTCGATTCACGATATGCTAAATCCTACACGATCCTAGGGAAGTCTAGATCAACACACATTGGAATGGAGTCGATCTAATGGTACGAACATATCAAACCCGGATAATGCCTACTGTGCAATATCTGATCGACAATCAAATGATAACCAAATTCAAATTCGAGCATACCGTCGTACTCGGGACGACGTGGGGATCATTTGAGGACTTAAAGACAGGCCACCAAGTGGCCAGAGAGTGGGTGTCCAAAGCAGTTTTCGGCGATCGAAAAAGCTCCAAACCGCCGGCCAAGACCTATATATCACACTGAGTGGAGCAACTTTTGTTCTTGGGCCTACCCTAAAAAGTTGATGGAAGTGGCCGGAATTGGGGGCTAAAACTTCCATCTCTTATTTAACCACAAAAACGCAGTAATTAAAACTAAACAACACAACCAACAGCTAGAACACCTCGAGAGGATGAGAAAGCATACATGGATCGCACGATTTGGTTGCAGGAAGCGTTTAAACGAGCTTGAGAAAAAAAAATGAGTGGATTCGGCCGGATTTTTGCAAAATTCGGTGGCCTAGGTTCACAGTGGACGCTGGACGACGGAGTCTGGACAGTCGTTTTGCGACCGGTCCTAGCTTCGATGGTTGCCGGTGGAAGTAGCGGCTGCTCGGAGAACTCGCGGCTGAACCAAAACAGTCAGGAAGGATTTTCTGCACGAGGAGAGAGAGAGAGAGAGAGAGAGAGAGAGAGAGAGAGAGTGTGTGTGTGTGTGTGTGTGTGTGTGTGTGTGGGGTTTTTTTTAAAGAAAAATCCCTTTTTTGAAATAATTACGATTTGCCACTAGACTATTTTTATCGTAACTTCTTCATTACAACTCCGATTTGAGCCTACTACATGTCTACAGAATCATCTCAACGTGCCCCACGCAACGGTACTACTCAAATCTCCGAATTATTTCCCAAACAAAAAGTCAACTTTTAAACCATTAAAATATTCCCGGGGTAAAATCGTCTTTTACTTAAATAAATTAAGAATTAAATATTAATGTAGGATTGGGTTATTTCAATTGAGTTGGCTACTAAATAGCCTTACAAGAAACTTGAAAACAGAAGTAAAAGCAACCCACGTCTAACAGACTCTAAGGACGTGGTTACTAGCTAAAGAATAGGTCAACAAAAACAAACACTCCCTAAACAATAGGGATTATTAACAAAGCAGTAATCCACTGCCAACACCACATTTAGAAATAAGAAAAACTAATAACTTTAACATTCTCCCTTAAACTAATTGCTACTTAGCAATTAGTTTATATATGGTTCTGGACATACTCCCAACAATCCACACAGCTTCAAAAATGCATCTAGTTTTAATAGCTTAGTCATCACATCTGCTACTTGATCTTGTTTACCACAATGAACCATCTCTACATTGCCTGCTTTGGTGAGCTCAAGGAGAAAATGAAAGTGAACGTCTATGTGTTTGCTGCACCCATGCATCACTGGATTTTTTGACAGCTTAAGTGCTGAATTGTTGTCACAGTAAACAATATATAGTAGACTTACTTTGAATATGACTTAGCTTTTCCAGAATTCTTCTTAGCCATACTGCTTCACAAGCACAATAGGCTGCTGCAATAAACTCAGCTTCAGTGGTGGATAAAGTCACTATTGGCTGCTTCCTTGAAGACCACGACACTGCCCCTGAACTCATTTTAAAAACATACCCTAAGGTGTTCTTCCTGTCTTCTAAATCCCCAGCATAGTTGTTGTCTTTGTAGGTTGTTAGTTACTCTTCTTCTCCCTTTTTGTAAAACACACCATAGTCTGTTGTTCCTTTTAAATACCTTAAGACCCTTTTAGCAGCTTGCAAGTGAAGCTCATAAGGATTTGTCATGTACATACTGATAAGATTCACTGCAAACATCACATCTGGCTGAGTAGTAGTTAAATACATTAAACTTCCTGCAACTTGTTTATAAAAGGTGATGTCAACCTTCACTCCATCTTCATCTTCTGAAAACTTATAACCAGGAACAATGGGATTATGGACTGGCTTGCTTTTGTCCATTTCAAACCTCTTCAATACCTCCAATGCATACTTCTTTTGATTAATAAATATTCCATCCGCCCTTTGCATCACCTCAATACCAAGAAAAAATCTCATCTTCCCAAGGTCAGTCATGTCAAATTCACGCATCATAGAATTTTTAAACTGACAAACATAGACTCATCATTCCCTGTGAATATAAGATCATCAACATAAAGACTTATAATCATAATTTTACCTCCTATCTTGTTTTTGATGAACAAGGTATGTTCACAATGACATCTATCAAATCCCCCATTCGCAAAATAAGACTTTATACGACTATACCAAGCTCGTGGAGCTTGTTTAAGTCATTATAAGGCTTCTTCACTCATATTCTCATGACCATTTTTTAAATATCCACAGGGCTGTTCCACAAAGACTTCTTCACTCAGTTCACTGTGTAAAAATGCATATTTTACATCTAATTGATAAATGGTCCATTTCTTTTGAGTTGCAAGAGCAATCACCACTCGAATTGTATTGATTCGTGACAGGACCCGACCCAAATTCCACTTTGGAATCCGAGCCGAACCCTGTTCGTGATCGACACCTGGCGGGTGCCGAGCACAATTGACTTGGTTGCCCTTTTTCTGATTAGAAACTTAATTCCCTTAAATCCTGACTTCTACCGAAAATTCGGCAGAATCTCCCCTGTAAATCAAACGTTCCCAAAATTTACACTTGTCAACAAGCACTTAAATATATACACCAACTGCCAGTATACAAAAATAAGTAAGTTCCAACAGTTAAATATGTTTCAGGGCAATGTCAGAGCAACTATACAGATTTATTTACAAAGGAGGTAACCACTTGTGAACCAAGGAACCCTACATCAAAACGGGGAAGAGCGGGAAGCGGGAAATGCCCTGTGGTGGCCCTTGGATGCACGTCTACAGCCTGGGGGCGCAAAACATTAAAAAGGTGAGTGGACCCAAAAACAAAGTTTAGAAAATACATATGAACATACTAACCCCACTGTAAAAGCAGTTATAAAAACTAAATCATTTTCTTCTGTATATACGTACTGAAACCAATGCACTCATATATACATATATAAATATACCAATCATGCTCATGGTCAACATCAATCTCTTAAAAGCATTGAAATCAGTTTAAAACTACCACCTAGGTGTACCCCTTTGTTTCAGTCAATTCCTGATATCCGTCAATTCCCCTCGCATCACCATTGGTGACACGTCCTCGCAGGTCTCGGTGACACAAAGTCAATCCGAGCTGCAACCTCGCAGGATTCAGGGGACCTTGGTCAACCTGATCCGCGTCCTCGCTCCACACGAGTCCGGGTACCATAGAACTCGTGGGGCAGCCGTCAAGCATGCTGACTAAACCGAAGGCAACTGATAAAATCCGAAGGCAACCTGGATGTCCGTGGACATCATCGTATCCGAAGGCAACATCTGTATATCTGGGTACCTAAGGTGGCTTAGAAAATAACAATAACAATAATAAGTAAAGTTTTTGAAAGATCTGATAAATAACTGAATTTCCGTTAAGACTAGACTCTGCTACCATTTATCTGATGTTTTACTAAAATTCTCTTTCTCTATGTCCCTAAAGGATATTCCACTCGGCAGCATGCAAATTATAATTTTAAAAACATGTCTCACTTATAAAACACTATTCTTTGAATAAAACTTATTCAAGATCAAATACTGAAACTAAATTGCATAAATTCATTTATGAAAACAAAAAGTCCACTCACGGTTGGTCCGACCTCGCTGGACCTTTGGAAGGTCCCTCCTGCGGGTCAACTGGTGCTCGAGTGCCTGATTCAAATACCATAATAAAATATATTAATAAAACTGCTCAATATAAATATTTAAATAAAACCCTGACCCCCAACGGTTCGAAACTATTGAACCCGGATAACGCACACTATATAAAAGTCCGCTTAACACTCAAACGACGTCCGAATTGAGATCCGCAAATTTCTATACACTCGTAAGAATACTAGGATCATTTTGAAAATGAGAGTGGTCCCTTCCAGACTGCCCACGCGCTGACAGCTTGGGTGGCTTGAGAAATTTCCGGTGGCCGGAAAAACTCCAAACCGCTAGCCCAAACTCCTAACTTAGGTAAAACACCCAATTTGGAACCACTTTTGTTCTTGGACCTACCCCAAAAAGTGGCCAGAAGTGGCCGGAATCCTACCCTCAAAATTGGCTGAAACTTAAGTTGAGAATCGAACGATCTACGCTTGAAATTTCTAAAATCCTACCCAACCACCAGCTAAGTCACGAAAAATAGGTAGGAATCCATACCTTGATCGTCCGATTTGGTAGCCGGACGACGAAGATTGAAGGTTGTGAAAATCAATTGAAACCGGCGGGTTTTTCTCCAGTTTCCGATGAGCTCCGAGGTCGGCGACGACTGAGGCTGGTCGGGAAGTGATAGGGGAAGGCTGACGGTTCGAACGGATCCGGTCTCGTGGCCGGTGGTTCACGGTGGCGATAGTTATGGAGGAGAGAAGGTGGCGGGTTGAAACAGGGGGGGCTGTGTTGCGAGGAAGAAGAGTGAGGCAGGAGAGAGAAAGTCGGTGGTAAAAAAAAATCCTGGTCTCCAAAATTACCATTTTGCCCCTGGAAGTATTTTGACCGTATTTTCTTCGTTATAACTCCAAATCGAGCCCACTACATGTCTACGAACTCGTTTCGTCGCGCTCTACGCAACGGTGCAAACAAAATTTCCAAATTCATCTCCGGTCAAAAGTCAACTTCTCATTTACTAAAATAGTCTAAGGGCAAAAGTGTCATTTTTTCTTAATAAACTAATAGTTAAATATTAATTAAGGTTTGGGTTATTACAATTCGTGCCGCAGGTGAAAATACCTTAGTGTATTCTATACCATGTTGCTGAACATACCTTTTTGCTACCAGTCGTGCCTTATGTTTATCGATTTCTCCATTCTTGTTGTGCTTAGTTTTATACACCCACTTTACTCCAATTACTTTCCTTCCAGCAAGTAACTCCATCAACTCCCATGTGTTATTCTTCTTGATTGCCTCTATTTCTGAATCCATAGATTTTCTCCACTTTTCATTTTTCAAAGCATCTTCAAAATAAATTGGATCATCAATCAAAAGAGTAGTCAAAGTTTGCTGTTGTTTCTTCATCTTTAAAAAAATCTTCTCCACTCACATAATCTCTCATCCAAACTGGAGGTACCCTGTGTCTTCCTTCATCGGAGCTTGGTGAGTTTTCTTCAATTAAATCACCTGAAGAAGAATTCTTTATTCTTTCATCTGTAAGATCTACACCACTTTCCTCTTCATTATTATCAATTTTAGCTGCTCTGTCTTCACTATCACCCCATTCCAAGTCATCAATAATTTTCTCTTCATGACTCTTCTCCCAATCCCAGCTCTTATCTACTTCAAACACAACGTCTTTGCTCCCTATGATTCTTTGAGACATTGGATAATATAGCATATACGCCTTTGAATCTTTACCAAGTAAAACACAACTCATGCTTTTGTTATCCCAGCTTTTTTCTTTTAATATTAGAAACATGAACATGATAAATACATCCAAAAACTTTAAAATACTCAATTGAAGGTTTGACTCCACTCCACGCTTCTTTTGGAGTCTTATCTTTTACTGCAAAAGTTGGACTCCAATTCAGAATGTGTACGGCCCAATTGACTGCTTCATACTAAAACGTCTTTGGCATCTTCTTTTTTGAGAGCATGCTACGAACTATATTCATAATGGTTCTGTTCTTTCTTTCCGCAACTCCATTCTGTTGTTGAGTATACGCAGCCATCAACTGTCTAAGTTTGCCATTTTCACGACAAAAATTAGTGAACTTGTTTGATGTGAATTCTCCTCCACAATCAATGTGGAGACAAATTATGTTTGAACCTATCGCTTTCTCAACTAAACTCTTAACATTTTGAAAGTAACAAAAGCTTCTGACTTTTCAAACAAGAAGTAGACCCAAGCCTTGCGACTAAAATCATCAATAAATATAATCAAATACCTCTTCTTGCTGTTTAAAGTAGGTTTAATTGGTCCGCAAATATCAGCATTCACCAATTGAAGAATATGAGAAGCTCTCCATGTGCTCTTCTGCGGAAATGAATCTCTGTGCTATTTACCCGCTAAACAATCGTTGCACACCTTTGTAGAAGTCTTCAGTTATGGCAAACCATGTACCATCTTCCTGTGTTGGAGAGTTTTTAAGCCTGTGAACCCCAAATGTCCATTTCAACAGTGCCAAAGTTGTGTTGAATCTTCTGTGATTGTGTTGAAGCAAGTAGACTCTTGTGGCTGAGATGCAACAAGCAACATAAACATTTTGTTTGAAGACATCACAGTTTCCATGATCAAGCCATGTTCAGGATGGTAGATCTTCAGCTTCCCATGTTGAATGAGAATTGAAAGCTTATTTCTTATAGCTATCCAATGCTTAATAAATTGTTCTTCAGATCAGGTAAATAAAATACCCGAGTGATAATTTGAACAATCCCATTTACAATAAGCCTTATGTTGCCTTTTCCCATCACTGTCATACTCGAATTGTTTCCTAGCTTCACAGATTCCCTAAAGTTTGTAGCAAGATCCGAGAAAATTTCTTTTTTTTCCACACATGTGATTACTACATCCTGAATCAAGAAACCACACACTCTTACTGCTAGCATTCTAATCATTCACATAGGCCATCAGCAACATCTCCTCATCAGCTTCCACATAGTTAGCCTTCTTCTTTAGCTCAGAACATTCATATTGAAAATGTCCTAGCTTATGATAGTGATAGCACTCCATAGTGGCCTTGTCAAAACTTTGTTTGCCTCGTCCTCTTCCTCTAAAGCTGCCAAGACCTTGACCCCTTCCTCCAGATTGGCCTCCCTAAATGACCTACAAAGCTTGTTCTTCTTCAACATGAAAACTCATGTGTTGTTCATGCACAAGCAAGCTGGTTTGCAACTTATCAATGGTGAAGGTATCTATATCCTTAGATTCCTCAACAGAACACACACATAATCAAATTTGAGAGTCAAAGATCTCAAAATTTTCTCAATGACAGCAACATCTCCCAAGGTCTCACCCTTTGCTTTCATCTTATTGGCTATGGTAACGGTTCGAGCAAAATATTCATTCACAGTTTCTCCTGCCTTCATGTGGAGGATTTCAAACTCCTTCTAGAGAGCTTGCAATTGTGCACGTTTGACTCATATGGTACCTTGATATTTCTGTTTCAAAGAGTCCCAAATACTCTTTAATGTGTCTTTGTTCAGGATAGTCTCCAGAATATAGCGACCAATTGCTTGAAAGAGGTAATTCTTTGCCTTCAGGTCCTTCAATGTTAAATCCTTAATGGCCTTCTTTTGTCCGTCTGTGAGCATTACTCATGCGGCTATTGCAGGAATACCATGCTCCACCAAGTTCCAAAACTCCTTCGATCTCAGAAAGTTCTCCATTAGCATAGCCCAATGTTCATAATGCCCATCAAATTTTGGAATCGCTAGTTTTACAAAGCTGCTGCTTTCTAGTGCCATGGTTGCTAGAATTCCTACGGATGGCAATGTGTCAAATTGGGGGTGGGTCTGCCATTCCCATCCCCATCTCCGTTAAGTTTTTTTTCCCCTATTCTCGCATTCATACCCATAATATTCAAATCAGGGATTTCCCATCCTCACCTTCATTGGGGAACGAGCTACCTGACCCTCCCCATTACGAAAAACATAATAATAAAAAGTTACTTTGTTAAACGTGAAAAAAGCATTATGAGCACAAGATATGTATCAATTCCATTTTTATTAACTAAAAATCTAGACTATTTAAAAATAATAATACATATTCAAGACATGATCATCATTATAGATGTAGAACCACCATTATACATCTTAATAAAATAAATTACACACACACACACACACACACATATATATATATGGGGAGGGTTCGGGTCGGGGACAAGAAAACTATCGCCCCCCCCCCCCCCCCCCCCCCCCCCCCCAAACACCATAAAAAAATCTCTGAACCCAATACTATACCCATTTTTTAGCCTTCATACCCGACCCATTAGGGTCGAATCCCCTCGAAGACCCTTATCTGTGGAGAAAATTGTCTTCCTTCAACATTCCCCATTTAAGATTCTCTCTGACAATTTCATCGACAAAGTCCAACCAAATGAAAAATTTGTTCAACCATTTAATTGCTGGGCCAACTGAACTTTGGCATCTAGCCTTGGCCTTGACATTGTTAAAGTTATTAGTTTTTCTTATTTCTAAACGTGGTGTTGGCAATGGATTACTGCTTTGTTAATAACCCTTATTGTTTATAAAGTGTTTGTTTTTGTTGACCTATTCTTTAGCCAGTAACCACGTCCTTAGAGTTTGTTTGACGTGGGTTGCTAATGTTTTCAAGTTTCTTGTAAGGTTATTTAGTCGCCAACTCAGTTGTTTCAATTTTATTAGATAACTTCTCCCAAAACTTGCTTATTCTTCATAAGAGTTACTCTGTTTCCAACATCTGGTATCAAAGAAAGGCTTCACGTGTTGGGCTCAAAGGCCACACGTGCTCCCATGTCACACATATGTGTTGTCCACGTGTTAGGCTTGAGAGTTTGCCACACGTGTAGGGGCGTGTTGAGAGTATTTGTCCCACATTGAAAAGTTAAAGGACCAAGCCTGGGTTTCTAAGGAATTGGGCTACATCCCCCCATTGTCAATTGTTTTTGGGGTGGAACCTCAACTTCCTATCTGGTATCAGAGCCCCTTCACAGGGCTTAATTGAAATTCGAGAAGTCGCAGTCTTCCAAGCGTGTAGCAGTTACAAAAAAACAAAAAACATAACTATATGCTACAATGTAGTCTCATAATTTAAGATGAGGAAATTTGGCCCTAACCCTATCCCTGTTCACCCCCTCCATTCTTACCCAAAATTCACCCATCCTTACTCACCTATTTTCTAGCTACCCAATCATAACCATTTCTTACCAAAGGGTTGAAACTTTGAATTTACCCAAACTATTATTTTGTTAGGGGCATACAAGCCATCCTGTAATCACGATTCACTTACAAATATGATTTCATCCTTTGAGATGCAAGGATCTGGTGGGTCTTCCAGTAAGAGCACTTCCACCACTACAGTTTGGCACGGGCAGGAGGGGGCCCAAGCCCCATGTCGCGCTTCCAGCGGGTTTCAGCATCCCAGGCAGGAGATGGGTCCCAGCAAACTGGGCAAGCTCAAAGGCAAAACGAGCCCGAGCTCGTGCCTAGGGACTGCTGACGTTAGCAACGAAATTTTTTAAAAAAAATTCTTAAAAAATAAATAATACCTAGTCATATTCTTCACTTCCCACACCAAAACTATATACAAATTCCTCTACTCATATCTTATGTGAATAGTGGTTACCCTTGGGTTGCCATGACAATGGACAACAAGCCTTTTGCAAGGGCTGCCACTATTCACATGAATAGTAACAGCTCTTGCCTTGCCCTTACCTTTTGTCATGGAAAATGAGTGGAAGTGATCTAAGGAAGAAAGGGAGATGGGTGGAGGGAATTGTGTGGAGGGTTGGGTGTGTTGAGAATTTTTCTTGGGGTGGAAGGGGTAGTGGTGCAGAGGGTGGGTGAGAATGGTGTGTTTGAGAATGGGTTGCACTGGTGAGGAGAGGCTAGAGGAGGGTGGGTTGGGGGTGACAATGGTGGGTGTGGGGATTCGTAAGAAGGTGGTTGGGGAGAGAGGGGTCGAGGGAGAAGTTTAGGGAGATAGAGATAAGATTACTTTTTTTTTTAATAAAAAAAATTAGAAAAATATCACTTTTTATTATTATCAAGTATTAGATAATATTACTTGATCCTTTATGTTTTCATTTTTTTTCATTTTTTTTTTAACTTAAGGCATAAGGGTAAATTTGGAAAAACAAAAGCTCAGTTGTCTTATGTATTAATTACATTGTTTTTACTTTTTATGATAAGCAATAGAATATTATTAATGATATTGTTTTAAGTGTAACAAAAATGACACATGTTATGTAGAAAAGGGAAAATGTCCAAAAGAGATGCCTTTATTAGAACACCATAAGAGTACACAGTGAGGATGAAAACATCTGAAACCCAACATGAAAACCAGGAACATGAGTGTAAATTAAAAAGATTCGCGCTTGAAACAATCACAAGGAAACAAAAAAAAAGAAAAAAGATGATTACTGCCCAAAACAATACATCAGTGGAAACCAATGATGGAGCAATAGTGACCTCGTTAAAACCTTGTCTTTAAAAACCCCCAAATGGAGGAAAATCCGGTCAAGGAAAAAGAGTACCACTGTAAAACTTACTCATCAACAGTAACTAAAAAGCAAAACTTGAGCCAATGGGCAAAAAAATAAATGCTGCACAAATCGACCCAACAAAGCCCACTTCATGAATAAGTTGCAAGACCAACTACAGTGATTGAAGAACACCAACTACTCAGGAACTGCTTCACAGCAAAAACATCTTGTAACTACTGAACTGGCTGCTATGGTACTCCAAGATTGACAAACAAATGAAAGATTCTCGCAACTAACACCACAAAATAAAATAATATTTTGTTTGAATGCTAAACAAGATGGAAACTACTGGCCAAAATGAAACCTCAATAATAATAAAAAGGAAATGAGACATGCAGAAATTAAAAATCTTGCAATTGAACAGAGTGAAGAGCAAATAATAGATGAAAATTAATACCACATAGCAAAAAGAAAAAAAAACAAGATGCAAGAGTAAGGAAATATGTACTTCCTAATATAAAAGATGACAATAACTACATATTTGTTTTTCAAAAGGCAAAAGAATGCAAGACAAAAGCCTACAAAGATCCATGGAAACTAACCCCAACAGCAGCACCGTGGGCGATCAATGAGTTCCGCACTGCATAGGAGAAGACGACCGGCCATAATCGATAGCATCCAATCCTAACAGATTGAAATTCAAGCAACTTCGAAAGTGTGCGATGAAGCGAACGTGACTTTTGAAATGGTGACATGTCGTTTAAGGATTGATCGCGCTATGATGGTGCATATCACTCCAACACTGACTTTCTCTTTGTGTCACTGTGTCTAGAACTAGGATAAAAGGCTTCAATCTAGTTCTCATGTGTCGCTATTTTTTCGCATATCTCATCGCTCATTACCTAGAACTTCGCTATTTGGGGTGTTGCAGAGTCCAACCATTTGCAAAGCAAGAAGAGAATAGGTATTAAAAACTTTTAAAAAATCACTACGAAAAGAGAAAGAGTTATATAGTTCCAAAACATACATAGCCAACCAAACAGTACTAGGTAGAAATAAGTACTAGTCATTCAAACTGATCCCAAAAGTATGAAGATAATAGCAAAATATCCCTCAAAATTCTCCAAGAGGATAAGGCATTAGCAGATATGGTTGTGGATGGTATGGTTGGGGATAATACAAGTGAGACGACGGCTAATATAAATAAGGATGATGCTGATAAGGCAGATATTGATGTGAAGAGGGAGTCTCTGGGAAGATGACTGATGCTGGGAGGGAGAACGTTGTTGGGAGGAGGAATGCTGCTGAGAGGATGAACATTGCTGCTAGGAGGGTGACCACTCTTATGAGGAAGACTGTTGATGTGTAGGTGGCTAGAATGGTTGTTGATGTGAGGATAATATCATATGCCTCAACTCCTCTATCTTCTTCTGTTGTCTCTCATAATTTTCTTGCAGCTCTAAAAATTGAGACTCTAAACAAGCATAATCTTGTCCTCTACGTGATCGACGGGATGAAGAAGTTGGTTGAGTTTGTACCACCCAAGGCACCATATATGGTGTCACAACATTTTTGCAACCACGAAATCTACCACGACTCTCAACACCTCTTGCTGCTATATATTCTTGCAATCTTAACTCTGAAGTCTCCTCACCATGGGTTATAATTAGTTGTGTTAATTCCTACGAGATCTTATTCTAACCAAAATATATTTACGAAGATTAGTAAGAAAAATAATTAAGTATTGTCTACACAAATAATTGAATGTTGTGTTTTTTTTTTGGGTCAAAGCATATAGGATGATTAAGAAATCTAGACATCTGAGCAGTACAAAGGTGATATACTAACTTCATGGAAAAACAACATATAATATATATTTTGTACCACTGTATTGAAATTTAAGAAGGTACATTAACCAAAACCTAAGAAAATATAAAGATGTAGTATGTCTGGAAATAGTATAACAGTAAAATTCAATGTCATATTGTTGTCTTTGGTCAAGCATTTTTAATAATTGCAAACTAACAAAATGCAAGGCCTCTCAGCATGTCAGGCTATCATAAAACTAGAATTCAATATCAAACTTACAGTGATTTGCTTTGGTGCATCATCAAATCAACTATTGTTTTCATCACACCGCTTATGCACCAAATAAAAAAAATCAATAGGATCAGGTGCACGACCATGCTCTTGCTCCTATTAATAAGAAAACAGTTAGTTAATTCAATATTTGTGCATCTTCTTAAGCTTGTGTATGGATGCAACTTGAAAAGAATCAAAACATTGAATATGCATAAATCTAGTGCCTAACAGTACTTATAAATTCAATTTACTTACATATCCGACATGGTATCGTACAAAAGTCTTCGTGCCATGATGGTCCTGCAGTAGCAGCCTCATCAACTAAATGAATGGGTAAGTGGACCATTGCATCGAAGAATGAAGTAGGCAACATTTTCTCCATTTGACATAGGGCCAATACAACCCTAGATTTCAGCTGCTTAAACGATGTTTAAGATTCTTTTTTAAGACATAAAAGTCTACAGATAGAACTCAACTCAAGCAATACAAGGGTGATTGGTTTAGGCAAAACTCATCAAATTGCAAGTGGAAGAAACTGCTGTATTAAAACATGATGGTCATGGCTGTTCAAACCATATATCTTCTTCTCATTTACATTCACACATCTTGCAATATTTGTTGAATACCCATCAGGAACATGCACCTTCGACAATACTTTACAAAATAAACATCTTTTCTTCATTGGTCAAGAAGAAAACTGAAGGAGGTGTTTGTGCCTAATAAATCACAGTCATAAACTGATTGAATCAACTTCCTCTCGGCCCTGGCGCCTACCGTTTCGTCAAGCATTTCACCTTCCTGAAAACAAAAGGAGAACTGCAAAGGCAGAATTTTCTCGACCTCGCGACCGCAGTGTTGAAGGCCGAAGCCGAAGGCCGTAAAGGACACGGCCAAAGAAGCTGTGGTTAAATCGCCACGTGGCCTTAGGGTCCCACGCCCCATTTAATGAAGTAATGCCCTTTCGCAGCAAACCCACTAGTCGCAAGGAGCATTTAATGCACAAGGGAAGTGACTGAAGTCAGGATTTGGTGATGGAAATCAGGGTGGTTAGGCGCAGACATTCTCACAAGTAATCTTACGACTTAAGTCAGATCACCAACCACCAGACCAGGGCATTAAATGCGTTCCCACGGCCAAGGGGGCAGAACCCACGATCAGGGCGGTGGCCGAGATTTACCGAGATTTATGGGGGTCACACCACCATGCTTCTCAACCCCAAGCCACCATACTTCACGATCCCAAATGCCGATTTGACTACCCAATTGCCCCGGTCAGGCTCCACCACTCAGGTCTTGTCAGCCTCGATTGTCCCTCCAGGACTCCTCCTATAAATACTAAGCTCAGGACTACATTCAAAGGGTTCAAACACCAAACCAAAAGCCTCCCACGGAGCAAATTATATTTTCCTGTAATGCACTTTCAATACCTTTATTTGCTTTCCTAGGAGTAGTGGTAGATTGTAAGGAAAATCCATTCATCAATATATCATACGACCCTTGATTTTCAAGGCGCCGAAGCACCATCTCTGTTATCGTCTCACTCACCTCATATATCATACGACCGTCGCTTTCTGAGCAACACGCCGGAGCACCGCCTAAAACCCGCCACCAACGCCACCACTCAACGGCCTTGTAGCTCAGGCCGTGAACCTGACGGCCGAGATCAGTTCCTCTCTAGGCCACAATCGTTTGATTAGGAGTCGAACGCAAAACAAGCGCAACATTTAAACCATTTTCTATCCGAAACTCATCATCATCTCGACGCACGGTAGACCGTGTTGGCATGCCCGCTCACAACCGCACCGCATCCAAAAGAAGGACGTCACGTGTTGATGCACATCCCCTCGGCCAGGAGCACCAGGCCGTGAGATTCGCAATAGCCAACAGGAGGTAAGTAAGTCTTAACTCCTTCACAAAAAAGATGAAGAGCTTTCCTTATTTTCATTTTTTCAAGCCCTACACGAGCTTCAATGTCATCCTTCATCTTCACTGAGGTCCCCAATAATATCCCCAAAATCTTTTCAGATACATTATTCTCAATATGCATTACATCTAGATTATGGCACATCAAAAGATGTTGCCAATAAGGTAAACTGAAACATATGCTTTTCTTCTTCCATGGAGTTTTAACACCAATTCTTGGCTTTCTTGTAGTATTATAACCCTTCTTTGTCTTTGCTTTATTTGTCCAATAACAGGTTCCACAGTTGGCCTTTTTCCAAAGGTAAAGACAAATTAGACAATTGTCTTAAACACTCAATTTCGGTTAATGAAATTGGAGTTGGATCTCTCTTGCGCTTGCCATCAAATAGCGTTGCATTAGTTCGAAATCTATGCCTAATGGGTAAAAATCGTTAATGACCCAAATAGCAATGCTTTTTACTATTCGATAAGCACTTTAAACGTGTTTTGTGATTACAATGCAAACATGCAAGCTTCCCTTTCATACTCCATCCTGAGAGGTTGGCGTACGTAGGAAAGTCATTAATAGTTCATGTTGAACGTTTTATTGGAAAACACATCATACGTTCTGACACCTACCTCCTACAACTCAATTAACTCACCAAGGGCCTCAAATACACATCAATATCATTTCCGGGCCCACGAGGGCCAAGAATCAACAACGACATAAACAAATTAGGTTGCTTCATGCACATCCATGGAGGCAAATTATACACATAAATTACTATAGGCCAAGTGCTATAGGAATTGGTCATGTTCCCAAATGGATTAAACCCATCACTCGCAAGTCCTAAACGTATGTTACTAATTTCTGACTCAAAATCAGGGTATAAAGCATATAAATGCTTCCAAGATGGGGAATCTAATATATGTCTCATGAATCCATATTCCGGACATTCAATCGCATGCCATCTCATATATTCTACAATATACCTTGACATATTTAACCTTCGCAATCTTGGTATTTGTGGAAAATATCAAAGAATTTTAGCTGACACTTGCTTGCCATAACTATCTCCATCTTTATTAACTATATATCTTGAAGCACCACAACGAGAGCACACATTCAAGCTCGATGTATCTTTCCAAAATAACATACAGTCATTACAGCAAGCATCAATAATCTTTTTGGCTTGAGAATAGGATTTTGGCAAACACACTCCATTAGGCAACATATCATTAAATGCCTCTAAAAACATCGAGAAAGCCATATTAGTCACATTTCCTAAACACTTGATTTGGTACAACTTCACAACGGCTTCCAATTTTTTATACTTCTTACATCCATTGTACAACTCCTTATCAACATCCTCAAGCAACTTATAATACCGTTCAGCCTCGGGGGTTCGACCCTTAAAAATAGGTTTATGCCTTGATGAACCCACATTCTCTTCGATCAATGCCTCGCCCTTACTATTAGTCAGATCCATTTACCTTCTTTCACAAACTGGACCATTTGCCTTGCATCGGTGGAATCGATATAAGATTCCCCATGATGCATCCAGCAAGCCGTCATATAAAGGGGATCCATTCCATGCCAAAGAAGATGCCCTCCTACAATAATCTTATCTTCATAATAACGGTTGCAACATTTCTTACAAGGGCATATGATCTTATCTTTACAAGCAGACTTGGACAAGGCTTTATTCAAAAATAATTCCATCTTATCTTTGTATATTTGTGTAGAACGATGCAAATGTACCCAACTTTTATTTATACCTTACCTATTACACAGATAATCCATCAAATATGATGGATAAAATTAAATGTAACAATCCCTTACACCAACCATCTTTCAATCCCTATCATGTTGATGTTTCCATATCCTGCATGTAGCAATTAAATCTAACAATCCCTAACTTATGTATAATTAAATGTAGTAGTTATATCTAACTATATATTTAAATATAATTCCATAAAGCATCAGTTGCTATATTCACAGTAGAAAAGAGACTACACATATACATACGCAATAGATCAATACCCTATCTCCAAGATTGAAAAGAGGCGACACATAAATTATAAATTTTTAAAAGCTAATTGGGTGCACCGGACACTTTAATCATATAAACTATGAGAGTCCCATTCATATATCATATATTTATATATATGACCTACAATAATATATATCAATGAGCATGTAAACACAGATAGAATATGTCATTTCAATAACCTATATATAAATAAGAGAAGCAAAAAGACAAATTTTATGTACCTTCAAGTGCCCCACAAATTAAATTATAATGACAGGAAAAGTAGAGACGACTGATGCTATAAGAGAGGAAGATAGATAATTCTTAGATTTTGAGGCATTAAAGGCTGATGTAAAACAAGAAAATAAAAAATTATTAATAATAGGGGCGGAAAGAAAAATTAATAAACATGATATAAATATTAGGGGCTCTTGTTTTAAGCCTCTCTTTATTTTAAGTCACGTTTGCCAAAACTTTTGGCACAAAATTTCTCTCCTTAACCCACCTATTCAATGGGGGCATGTTTATCCACCCAAAATATCATTAATAAGGGCCTATCGGTTTTCTGCCCTTAATTAAAAATTAATATGGGCGTATCATATTTTATGCCACTAAAAGGACGCCCCTAATACTTCTTTTTTTGGTAGTGAATGAAAGATATCACAAACGGACAACGTTGGCATACCACAGTTAGATAAGGCGATTGATAGCTCCATATCTCCTCATCCATCATGGCCTTGTACTCGACGACATCGCGAGGATGGGTGAGACTCCGTAGGAAAGCATTTGAGCGCTTGGATTATACCAAAATCCATTGCCGAGGGTGACCAAATTTCCGTTTGATTTCCCAAATGCAGGCCTCTAAACCTCAAGAGGATCGAAGTCATTCTCACCACTGAAGCTAGCAAGAACAGGAACATGAGGGATAAAGTCTTGCTGAGGGTGCCTGTGAGAGCGAGTACTCGAGGTGGACTCAGCATTGGGCGAGTTCAAACCCAAAACGACCTTAGGGGCATGACAGGACTTCTTTGCTGATTGCTCGGGTTCCTTTCCCTATGGCCTGGGGGTGACAGTAAATGTGGCGCGGACATGTCTAAATGTTCAGACTCACATGCGCTGTCCTCTACTTACGAACTCCTGTGCCAAGTTGCCTTAGCCTTCATCTCTTAAAAAATGGCATGGATAAGGGATGTTGAATCCACAGTGCAACAAAGCTCGACGTCGACGGAGAAAATATTCTTGAAAAAGCTCTATTCTACATAGGTTCTGATCAACCAATATGAAAGGGAAATAAATTACGTTGTGACTGGCAATAGAGATGTGGACAAAAGGGACCAAGTGACCTAATCCTCATGAATGATGCACCACTTGTTCGGAGGAAGCCCTGCCAAAAGAAAAGGTAGTTCAAACCTCCAAATTGTAATAAATTATATTCGAAAATGCATGCATAAATCATTATACCATGTTTCAAACCAAACACCAATGGGATAGGTATGTGAGACATCTCGCATACGATCTGAAAAAGAGAAGGAAGAGTCACGCGGTTTCCATATCTCAATAGAATTCTGGATGCTCGATCTCATGAGCATTTTCCTTTCCCTTCATGCCTAGAGCCAATCTGAGGGACAAAAGGAAATATTGATGGTTTTGAACAATAAAATGTATTTTGACTACCCATCCTTCATTGTAGAGGATGCAAGCTTGAGAGGAATATATATAATAGGAGAATCACAGGAAGAAGTTATTTTCAAGAAAATAATTGGATGAAACTTGGCACGCCCGAATCAGACTTATAAAAGAATCACCTTTGCTTGCCCTGACAAAGGCCGGGTTTGATATGATCAGTCAATATTGTTTTACCCATCGCATGCACTTCTTTGATAGAAAGCTGCATGTATTTCTTGGACGGACAAAAGACAAAGGGTGCAGCAGGTTTGAGCAATAAATGGTGTCAAACAATGAGAACCACCTATGGAGCTAAGCTTACCCTTTTTCTCATCAAAAATTGAGTTTTGAAGCAGCTTGGTCCATCCACATGGAATCGGTAGCTCGACACATGAATTTGAAAGTAGAAGACAGTGCATGTGAGTCCAAACATTCAGACATGTTGGCGCCACGTTCATTGTCACTCTCGAGCCGTAGGGAAAGGAGATCAAGGAAATAACCCGAGCAATCTGTGAAGACCAGTACTCCCTCTCGCTAGCACCCTCAGCAGGATCCTATCCCTCATGTTCCTCCTCCCGTTAGCTTTGTAGGGGTGAGAATGACTTCGATCCTCTTGAGGTTTAGAGGCCTGCATTTGCGAAACGAGACGGAAGTTTGGTCAAGCTCAGCGATGGACTATGGCATAAACCGAGCGCCTTTAATGCTATTCTACGGAGTTTGACCTATCCTCGTGATGCCGCCAGGTACAAGGCCAAGACGAATGAGGAGATATGGGGCTATCAATCGCACTGTCTAACTGAGGTATGCCAACGTTGTCCGTTTGTGATATCTTTCATATTTTTAGTTGTTTAATACATATTTTCTTCTTGCTTTGCAGATGGTTAGACTATGCAACACCCAAATAGTGAAGTTTGAGGCAATGAGCGATGAGATATGCAAAAAAACTGCGTCCCTCTAGCTGAGGGGAAAGCATGTCAAGGAATGTGAAGCCGAGCTTGAAGGGTAGAATGAGGAGCTGTGCAGCTTGAGAATGATCAAGACACCTCATTATCCAAAGTAGATCATCTCAAGAAGAAACTGGAAGATGCTTCATGCAACAGGGACCTTGAGTTTCAGACAAATAGCAAACAAATTAAGGTTGAGGCAGCGAGGCAGTTCGAATACGGTTGGGTTCAAGGCTAGCAACTCCCTGAGCATCGGTTCATGGTAGGTCCAGATGATTATGATGACGAGTTAGGATTTGAGCTTGGCGACTATGAACTATTTGAGGGCATGCAACCTGATGACCGCCCTTTGATAGATTATCGGCCTATTGCCATCTGCTTTAGCAGCTTTTCCTGGGTCAAAGGCTTTTTCTTGGCCCGTTGGGACCGATACCTTTGGTGTCAATCCTAACGCTATGTCATCCATTGCCAGCACATGACTAATCCTTGGATTTACGGGTTCTACTTATGAGGGACCTACTTCGAAGGCTGCTCTCGATCCCTTGATGATATCCTTGGATTTACAAGTTTCATATCATCCTACTTAGGAATTTTTATCTTTGTTTATACTTGTTTTATTTCGGCTTTATCTTTGCCCTTTAATTCTTGTACTTAATTAATTAGCTCATGCACTTTGTATCTCGGGTATATTCCCCGAACTTGAATTTTTGAGTTATGCCCCAAAATTTCGGATTCGTTTCACTGAACTTTATAAGATATTCTTCCCGTTTGAATTTATCCTGAGGATTTATTTTTCAACCCCGACCATGGGATAACACCTTCCCACCAAATTCAAGGTCCTTCCCACTTGAATTACCACTTTCAAATTCAAAACTAACATGGCGGTTTTTCAAACCCGGCCAATGGATAACACCTTCTCAACAAACTCAATGTCACGACCCAATTCTAGAATAAGGAATATTCTCAAATCAGGGTGTGAGTCATACCATATTCATAAGAATAAAATCCTACAACCATGATATGATGAGAAATAAGGCCACAAATAATACAAATTTACTTAATAACACAGAATTAAAGTCGCAGTAGCTCGTAGTTAACTACACACTAGGATATTTATAAACGGTTGACTACTTACAAATATAATTTACACAAATCAACAACAAAAGCCTAGTAGGTTGGTTGAAACCCGCTTCCTCAAACTTCGCCTTGAATCCTATAGAATCTATTAGGGTATGAGCATTCTATTGCCCAATAGAGTAACCTCAAACCCCTCAAGGTCAGCTATCACAATTAATCAAAGTGTCATGCATCAAAAAACATAAGATACATAAATTATGCAACCAGACCAGATAAATAAATTTGCATATGCAGTGATCCCACTAAATCATACTTTAGGGCACCAAGCCTGCATATCTCATACCTGCATTTTACCATTGTGGTTCTGAATACCCTAAAATATAAACTAGCATCCATCCGTCCCTTACTCCATTTTTCTTTTGATTACGAATTTCTCAACTTTCACTTTTCATTAAAGGCCCTTCTCCCATCACCTCAATATATTCAAGCCCTGCTCCCGTCACCTGAATATATTGCACATTTTTTCCACTTATATCTAAGGTCTTCTCCCACCCCTTAACTATATCTCGACTCAAACACAAATCCAAAACACAACCGTATTTATGATGCATATGTAATTCAGCTTAAACATCATTTATCTCTGCGGAATAATAATACAAATAATAACAATAACATTTCAAGTTTAATCACATGAATAATAATATTTACCCAACATCAAATAATTTCCACGGAGAAACATCAATAATAATATTCACATAACATTCACCGAGT